AAAAGTGATTTTTGTAAAAAATCTATTTTTTCTGGTGTAGGGAGTTATAGAAAAAAAAGAGTAGGCCTTGGTTATTGTATATTATTATTGTATTGTAATATAGGTATTGTTTATTTTTTTCTTTTGGGTAAATTAAGTAGGCCTATGATATTGTTTGTGAATATTATTTTTCCTCGAATCAATTTAACTACAAAGTACTTACAGCCTATGCCCATATACAATTTAAAAAAAAGCTTACGCTGGTTGCTTAATGGCTGCAAAGTGGTGTTGGAGTTTAAGACATTACATCCACACACCCTTACAATACTTTAGTGTTCAGCAGAAAAAATCAATTAAAAATAGTGTTAATGTTGTGGGGAAAGGCTAAAAATTAAGTAAATATATGTCTTAAGTTATTTTTACCCCAGATAGTGCAAAATAAAATTATTGTCATGGCTAAATACTGGTGGTGGAAGGTAAACACCAACTTTCTCTAATGTCAGGCCTTGCCCGCTATTTATTGCTATAGCAAAATGCTAATTTAAGGGGGCTAGCCTAGCTAAAAACGCACGTTTATAGAAAACATTTTGCTGTGAATAAACTTTTTGACCTAGGATTTTGAATTTTTCAGGACATTTTAAGCACAAATTTGGGCATATAATCATGTAAAATATTTTGAAAAATGTTGATGAGTTTGGGAGTTATGATAAAAAAATTAAATTTTATATTTGTAAAAGCCTAGGTAACCATTTTACACATTGTGTTTTTTTTTTATTTAATTTACACAAATAAATTTGGTATGGTTCTTTTCTTTATGCCTAGGGCTATAGCCTGAACTAAAAATATGTTTATATAATTGAAATTGGTTAATTGGCTTAAAATTTTAGATTATAAAAAAATATTTTATTTTATTTTTTTGTTAAATTTATATATTTTGTCACTTAAACCAAACCTACTGCTATAATTCTAGTTCAGGTCATAGGTACTGATGGTATAAACATCCTGTAAAAATTTGGTGATGATATCTCAACTGGCTTAGAAGATATCATGTAAATAGTAAGAAAAAAACACTAGTTTTGGACACTTGCCCCAAGTCGCGGACAAGTATCGGATAACTAACAATAAGGCATGTGCACTGATAAATGTTTTTGGTCATATCTCAACTAAAACAATAGATATCTTTATAATTCTGGTACCAAACAGTTCAGAAAGAACTCACAAAATAAAAAAATATATTTTTAAAAAATTGAAAAATTTGAAATTTTTTGCTAGGCTAGCCCCCTTAAGAAATCAAACTTTCATAATTATATTTAGAAAACCTACATGGATGAAGCTTTCCATTGACCTTTTCATTAATGAAATTGGTCTAGTATAACTGCAGGTTTAATTGCACAAAGTTAAAAAAATATCTCTACCTGTTAATGATAGATAGTATGAGTGATTAGTTTTTACAAAATAAAAGAGATGAAAAACAATTGATGGTTTATTAACATGGTTGAGAACAAAACTGATAAAAAGTAAACAAAAAAGTAAAATAAATCATAACAATTAATAACATATGATTTCATCCTCAAATGGCAGGCAGTTGATAGTATACATAGTACTTCTAACATACTCCCCCCCAAATTGCAACAGGGAACTGGGCAATTTTATTCTGTGACAGGAAGAGAGCACAATTTTGCTATTGGTCTTTTGAGTATTCCAGTAGCTGTCTTCAGTGTTACCACGCGAATGAGATTGTCAAGCCCAGGATGAACTTCTATGACCTTTGCTAAAGGCCATTTTGATGGAGGATATTGTTCGTCAATAATAAGGACTACTGATCCTACTTTAAGTTGTGTGTTTGGAAATCTCCATTTATAAATTGTCTGCAGTTGCTGAAGATATTCCTTTGACCATCTTTTCCAGAAACTTTGTAACATTTGCTGCAACAACTGCCATCTTGAAAGTCTATTTGTTGGTACTTCCTTGAGGTCTGGTTCTGGTATTGTAGATAGTGATGAACCAACAAGAAAATGTGCAGGAGTCAATGTAGATAGGTCATCAGGATCATCAGTCAATTTACAGAGAGGTCTCGAATTCAAAACCGCTTCGATTTGTGTGAGAATGGTAGTGAATTCTTCGTATGTTAGTTGAGTATTACCAACAATTCGTTTTAGGTGATATTTCACTGACTTAACTCCTGCTTCCCAGTAACCACCGAAGTGAGGAGCAGATGGAGGGTTAAATTTCCACAATGTTCCATCTTTAGTTAGAAGATCTCTTAGTTTGGTACTTGTCGTTGTTGAAGCCGTGAATAGACGTTTTAGTTCTGCATCAGCACCGATAATTGTAGTACCACAATCACTGGACAGAGTGGAAGAAATTCCACGGCGAGCTGTGAATCTCTTATATGCTGCAATGAATGCTTCTGCAGAGTAATCGGTGACTAATTCGAGGTGGAGTGCAGATGTTGACGAGCAGATGAATACTACAATATATCCCTTGTATGTTTTTGCTGCTTTACCTCGCCAAGTCTTGATAACGAATGGACCTGCGTAGTCCACACCAGAGTGGAGAAATGGTCGTGAAGGGGTGACTCGAGATGTAGGAAGCTGTCCCATAAGTTGCTGAGCTCGTTCAGCTCTGTATCGAGCACAAGTGACACACCGTAGTAGTTCTTTCTTAATAGCTGGGCGACCACCGAGAATCCAAAAACGTTGTCTAATGGTTGATAATGTAATGCTTGTACTACCATGTAGTGTACGAAGGTGGGAATCAGATATTATTAATTTTGAAAGATTAGAATCTTTTGGGAGGAGAAGTGGGTGTTTTGAGCCATACTCAAGAGTGGATTGGTTGAGTCTACCTCCAACTCTGATAAGTTTATTTTGATCAAGTTATAAACATTAATTAGTTTTTAAGAGATGAAAAACAATTGATGGTTTATTAACATGGTTGAGAACAAAACTGATAAAAAGTAAACAAAAAAGTAAAATAAATCATAACAATTAATAACATATGATTTCATCCTCAAATGGCAGGCAGTTGATAGTATACATAGTACTTCTAACACTACCCAAAGTATTTTGTCACCACTATAAATTTGAAGATTGCTTAGCAGTTTTGCAAATAACTTTCAATGGCGAGGAAATTATCCAAAGTAGAAGTAAATATTCTGAAAGAGAATGAAACTTCCTACAATTTCCTTTTATGCATTTCTTGAAAATAATCAATAAAGGAAGTCAAAATTTGTATCCAAATAAAAAATTTTAAAAACCTCGTTTTCAATGTACCTATTTGTTATAGTAAAAAGGTTGTATTTAATTTTCACCATAAATCCTATCAAAAACAAACTTAGACTATTGCTGAAGTACACTACACGGGACAGGAGGACGGGACTGGTAAGCGCAGCACAGCAGCCACGGCGCGCCATGTCTGTAGTTTCATGCTAACTTTTCCCTATTTTCAAAAAATAATATCAGCTGACTGAACAGCCATAGAAAAAAAGTTTTTAGACAAAAATTTTTGTTCATTTCGTAATGTAAAACTTTCTGGCTGGTCGAAGTTTCCTGACCAATAAATAATAAACTCCCTCACAGGTCACATTTTTCATTTCACATTTCACAATATTAAAATTGTTCTTGTACATTTTTTGTTGAAATAAGTATGACTAGTGTACATGTTGCCCGAATTCAAGCAATTGCAAAGTATTACAGAAGATATTTCAAAACTAATAACAGTCATATCTAGGCTACAATGAGTTTAAAAGAGTCAACTTAAAGATTACCGGTGTGCAACTCAGACCATGCTTATCTTCGTTATTGATAAACCTAAAGCATTCCGGCCGGTTTTCTTCTTCTCAAAATGCCTCGCTGTACAGGCAACACGAACACAGGTCATTGATAGAGGGCCAATTGAGAACGAAAAGTTGTTTTGGGGTAGTGTTAGGGGGCATTTGTAACCTAATAGTTGAGATTGTCCAGGGTCCAGTGCTGACTGTGATGAGTTAAGCCTATTACGCGCCACTGTTCTGTAGCTGCGGTCGTTATCACTACGACTCCTGTCTATGTTTCGTTGTCGTCGCGTCGGATGCATTTAAAAGAAAAAAAAAACAACAAATAAACAAATTATAGCTACACAGAACAACGATAAATGCACAAATTTAAGTTACAATCATGCTAACACGATCCGTCATAGCGACACAAAACAACGATAAATACACAAATTTAAGATACAACCATACTAACACTATCCGTCTTATGGTTTCCGGGGTTATGTTTACACACACTCAAATAGTAAATAAATGTACTCAATGCGTTTCATTGAATTGAAAAATAAATAACAGCAATGAAATTGTACAGCTGATCAAAATGTAAACAATTATTTTCTTCATAAGGATAACATGGGAACTTTCAAATCCACTGTGGCAGAGCCCAAGAGACTTTTTCAAAAATGTAAGGCCAGTTTGCAAATCTACGCGACACGCTCTTTCCAATGAGACGTCAATGGATAAAATCGGTTAAGAAATGGCGGAGGAGTTCAACCGACAAAGTTTCATGTAGCGTATTAATTATATAGATTATTGTTACAGTAATAAATTAGTTTGATACCATATTAATCCTAGGTTTATATTCTAACAGAATACCAAAATTCAATTTTTACTTTACATTAAGTGCACAAAAACACAGTGGGAATGACGCCCGAAGCGGTCTCAACTGTGTTCCGAGCCTCACTCTCTCCTCAAGATGGCGGAAATCGGCTTCACTACTGGTATAGTTGTAGATATAGGAGTGGTGATTCTATTTTTTCCCCTGCTCTGTGGCTGTCCCCCATATAGGTTATATCCAATTACCATGTACACAAAAAAGTTGCTTACTATTACCACTTCCCCGTAATGACATGCCAAATTTGGTTGTGATAACTCTTTTAGTTTTTATTTAAGATATAATGTCGTCCTAAGACTTAATTATCACCCTGTATATCACCTAGCAAAGCTATTTAAATTTTACGATAAATGTTTCTTTTGGTATGCTTAACAGATTGGACAGATAAAGATGAAGACGATAAAGATATAAATGTATGGGAAGATAATTGGAATGATGACAATGTAGAAGACGAGTTCAATGATACATTGAGGTTAGTCAACATTTGTCAATTATAGCTGTATAAGCCTATTTGATCATAAAATAATGATACATCCCATATAACTAACAGTTATAAAAGAGCATAAAAACATAGATCACAAGCTTGCAATCTATGTTTTGATAGGTAATAGTAATTGTAGTATGTGTTGGTTCTGTTGAGAGCTTAAAGTAACAAATAACAATTTAAAGGCCGTTGTTTTTATCATGAGAACAACAGCTGCTGCATTTTGATGGTTGAGATCTACAGTAGTCCTAGGTAGATCTACTATATATAGTTGTTATCTCCAACATTCAACACTCATCCTTAACATCAAAATACACTCTCGTATTGGGTGGGCTCGAGCCCCCCCCCCCCCCCCCCATAAGACCCAACCTTTACAACATTTTTTAGATTATGCAGTATAAACATACCGTACAATTTATTAAATCTTGCATATGACCAACAAGTTTAGATAAGAATTGCAACAAATATAATATTTTGTACCTAAGTTTTAACTATTTTCCATGGGAAGCCCATGGGACCCCCTATTTACGAGGAGTAATTCAGTAAACCCCAGACCCTCTAATTGAAAAGTTAGATTTTTAGTCCAACGACACCGTATCAGTGTTATTTTTTTATTTGTTGTGGGTACTTGAGATATTTTTCCCGTGACATAAATGGATCTTGTTGAATTCATATTTTAGTACAGGTAAAATAGGGTTTTATAAACAACAAAATTTGTACATTCATGAAATTTCACCTGTGAGTTACTAATAATATGAGAAATGAAGATCCGATGAGTTCCCAAAATTTTGGGCGTGCTAAGGCCCTTTTTGGGGCCCTTTTTGTTCCGAAGGGCCCTTAATCCTGAATAATTTTGTTTTTACGTTTAAGGTCGTGTGAGGTGTGGTTTTCGATGGTTTTAGTTATTTTAAATCGATTGGGACTAGTTTTATGTGTATTAAACCACTCCGTACAGGGTGTTTAGAAATATTATTACTTTTTACAATATTTAAACATTTATTCATAAAGTGATAAAATTAGTTACTTCCATGCATGCTCCATATAAAAAGGGATTATTGAAAATAACTGTAATTCTTTACTATATAAGAGAGAAGGATCTCAAGGAGTAAGAGAAAATATTAAATACCCCGTCACAGCAAACCTGCAGACTAAGCTAATTTTAATTTGTCCGATTTTCAATTAAATCTAATAGTTTTAATGAAAAAAGGGTCTAATAGTTTAATGAATACTTAGGTTTGCTGCTACAAGGAGGCTAATAAAGTGTGTTTATAGTAAAATCTTAACAGCCTAGTATAAAACAAATACCACTCCATACAGGGTGTTTCAAAATATTATTACTTTTTACGATATTTAAACATTTATTCATAAAGTGAAAAAAATTAGTTACCTCCATGCTCTATATAAAAGGGGATTATTGAAAATAACTGCAATTCTTTACTATATAAGAGGGAAGGATCACAAGGAGTAAGAGAAAATATTAAATACCCCCGTCACAGCAAACCTGCACACCTAGCGAATTTCCGTTTTACTTACATGATTTTCAATTAAATCTAAAATAGCGTTGCGTTTAATGATAACCTAGGTTTGCTGCTACAAGGCGGCTAATAAAGTGTGTTTATAGTAAAATATTAAAAGCCTAGTATAAAACAAATAAATTAAATAAGTTTGATCAAAATATATCTATTAACAATAAAAAAAATCATTTTACACTATTCTACATAAGAATAACATGGGAATTTTAAATTTATAATTTTAGTATTTTTATCCGTAACTAGTATCATACAAAAACACGTTAATATACTAAATTATTTTTTAAGCTATTTAAAATGTTCTAGAGAAAAATTGGGAAACTTTGTGTTTTGAGGGTAAAGTAAATAAGAAAACCCAATTTTTACCCCATAAACCTCGTTCCCATTGTTCAGGACAAAAATGCTTGTGCCGACAATGCTGCTCTGATGTCTTAGTGCTGTCCTGGTCGTCATAACCACGAAAGATAACTGTACTTGGATTGATTGAAAATAAGTTTGAGGAACTTAAGATACAAGTTGCAAACGTCAGTATGTATGAAAGGTGTTTTGCACCACATTGTTCGTGCTTTAAGATTGGTGTTGCCTGTTCTGCAATATGCAAGGTTTTAGGTTTGTAAAGGGGAATCCTGCTTGAACACCAACTTGGACAAAATCAGTAAAGATGGACAAGTTGCTAAGAATAATAAAATTTTTAATGAGTCGTCTGAGAATAATTATTGTGATAATGAAATTGTAAAGAGAGATACTACATAAATTGTAGAAAAATAGCTTTAGTTTAAGTACTTCATTTTAATATGTAATGTAAGGTTATATACAAATGCAATTGTTTTAATTTTTAATAAATGTAAAAAAATAACTTAAATACTACCTTAGAAAAATACATATCAATTTGAAATTGGTCTTAATAGATTTGCATAATAAACACGTTGAAAGATTATTCACACCACCTTAAAAGTTGAAATTTTTGCTTAGTAACCTATGTTATCATGTTATAGTGTGAAACTTCATCCATCCCCTTCATCCCCTTTTAGCGAACATCCCATTTAGGAGATAAGCTATTACCGAAGGTCTCATGATAAAACATAGACCCGAAACCGATTTACGTTTTCATTTTGATGGACCCAGAAGCCTAAAGCACCATCTACTCAAAATAGTATATATGTGTTTATATCCATATATAATATAATATATCCATGTTATATACGTGTCCATAAACATGATAACTCGAGTAATTTAGGTTCAATTTTAACAAAACCGGCATAATCGGTCCATGGAACAGGGTTTTATGTGGTAAAAATATGTAATCTTTGACCCTCAAAAGACAAAGTTTCCCAATTTTTCTCTACAGCATTTTAAAGAGCTCAAAGAAAACAAATAATTTAGTATATTAACGTGTTTTGTAAGTGTGTTAGTTACGAATAAAATTCAAAAATAGTAAATTTAAAATTCCATGTTATTCTTAAGGAGAATAGTGTAAAATGATTTTGTTTGTTTGTTTATAGATATGTCTTAGTAAAACTTGTCAAATTTATTTGTTTTATACTAGGCTATTAAGATGTTACTATAAACACACTTTATTAGCCTCCTTGTAGCAGCAAACCTAAGTATTCATTAAACTATTAGACCTCATTTCATTAAACTATTAGATTTAATTGAAAATCGGGCAAATTAAAATTCGCTTAGTCTGCAGGTTTGCTGTGACGGGGGTATTTAATATTTTCTCTTACTCCTTGAGATCCTTCCCTCTTATATAGTAAACAATTAGTTATTTTCAATAATCCCCTTTTATATAGAGCATGCATGGAGGTAACTAATTTTATCACTTTATGAATAAATGTTTAAATATCGTAAAAAGTAATAATATTTCTAAACACCCTGTACGGAGTGGTTTAATACACATAAAACTAGTCCCAATCGATTTAAAATAACTAAAACCATCGAAAACCACACCTCACACGACCTTAAACGTAAAAACAAAATTATTCAGGATTAAGGGCCCTTCGGAACAAAAAGGGCCTTAGCACGCCCAAAATTTTGGGGACTCATCGGATCTTCATTTTTCATATTATTAGTAACTCACAGGTGAAATTTCATGAATGTACAAATTTTGTTGTTTATATGGAGTGTTTTTGTATTATTTTACCTGTACTATTTGTCCACAGTTGTCAAACAAACTCTTCACCTGAGTTTGTTTTCCAAACAGCTGATTCCTCAATAGTTTGAAATACAGCTTTTTTCTAATTTAAATACTGCTGATTTACTTTGCCCACTACTTTGCTCACTCTGAATGATAGCTGAACTAAAAATAAAATAGACCTAGCCTATCAGAGAATGAACATTTTGCTACAACAGTGCTACAATAGTTATTTGTGTAACTAGTGTACAAGGCATATCAACTTTTTTCCAGGGCGGAGATAAAGGAGCGAAATGCCAAGCTGGAGTTGGAGGAGCAAAATGCCAAGCCGGATTTGGAGGAGCACAATGCCAAGCCGCAGAAGTAGCTGCTGGATTTTGAAATTACTGTTTGATAATCAATATTTTTGGTTTCTATAATTCATCCAATGATCTTATAATAAAGATTTTTTATTGTTTGCCCTTAAGTAATTCTCAGTTTCAAAAAAACCATTGTTTGTAATTTTTATTTTTTAAGAAATATGTAAAGAAATTTGTCTAAGAATTTGTTGTGTTATTTTCCTTATTGATCCTATAGTTTTGAACAAAATATTTTTTCTTCCAGCTATGTAAAAAGCAATTGTTTCAAAACAACTGCTACCCTTTGCTGCTCTGGTTATACCTACCTGTACAAAACAGAATTTAAACCCAAAAATACAAAAAGATAAGAACATAACAGTGAGGATGTGTATAAGTTACTTGAAAATAAGTTCACAATCCTGACTGTATAGTAAATACTGTGGATTAACTGGTTGAAGGGTTTACGTTTTGAACACAATGCCAATAATTGACCCTTATTGTAACATATAACATATAAACTGCTGAGTGACAATAATTGTGATCATAATTATAGTGATATAGGTACCAAAAGGGTTTAGAGAAACCGTCAAGAATGTTTTGCTGAAGTAGAACAACTAACTGTAAGTTTAAAAACTAGCAATACCGGTTCATGGAAACACAAATGTTTTGTGATTTTCAATAATTTGTTTTTTCCCAAATTTTTACCCTAGGGCTAAACAAACAATTTTGTATATTGAAGCATTGTAGAATACTAACAACTGTACGCTAAGTTTACAAACTAGCAATACGGGTTCATGGAAACACAATGTTTTGTAATTTTCAATAATTTGTTTTTTCCCAAATTTTTACGGCTAAACAAACAATTTTGTATATTGAAGCATTGTAGTATACAATTAAAGGTTACAGTGAAAATTCCAAAAAAATAACTGTAGCCTACATTTGAAATTCCAAAGTTATTCAAAATATGTAGTTTGCTTGTTTAGAGAGATAAATGTTTCTAAATCTTGTAGATTTATTTCATAATACTTCATGATACTAGTAACATTTTACAGAAAAACACGTTCCTTTCCTGCAGCAACAAACCTAGGTACTCATTAAATTTAATGCAATTTTAATAATATGCGATGAATATGAAAATAGTAAAAAACAATCTGACGAATTGAAATTTGCTTAGTCTGCAGGTTTGCTGCAGTGGAGTTACTTTTAATTGAAATGTCCCCTGAGAGTGATCAGTAAATTTATTAGACTCCTGATTGTATGTGCATTTTCTGTCAAAGATAACTTTCTTGTCTACAAAGTGACCAGTAGCATAGCAATCTGCTTACTGTGTAGTGTAGTGTGGCAAAATTATTGAAAACTAGCATACATGTTGCTCGAAATCGAGCAACTGCAAAGAAGTAAAGTAGTTATTAAAAAAAAAAATAGGCCCCCCTAATTTATTCAAAAACGAATAAAAGTAATAATTTCCAATGAGTTTTAAAAGACTCAACTCATTGATTACGTACCTAACAGTTCCATATAATCAACATTTCTTCTAAATATTTTATCATTTTTCAAAAGCTGATCTGGTATTTTGTATTCTACAAATGTTTCCCACTTATAGCACTTAGCACTAGGTTGTCCATAGTGATCTTCGTCAATGATAATGTAGTCTGCATGGTACTACCCATTGTCACCAGTACTTTACAAATTTCAGTCATTTTTATATAGCGATAACATTTTGTTTATATTTCTTAAGAACTGCCTGATTTTCTGCATAACCTCTCTTTCACAATTTTATTTGCTTCAATTGGCATTAATTTGGCTAGTTACTGTTATAATGTAAGTTATATTTACCAGAAAATATGCAGAATTGAATGGCCTAATGTTGTTCAGATGGTTTTTTGTTTCCCTTAAATGTGAATAATAAAGTGAATAATGCGAATCCTTCAATGAAAGTTTTATTATGGTTTCTTGGATGTAGTCGTATTAAGTCCATGTTTCCTACAAAATAGTAGTACTTTGGCTAACATCCTTGTTCATTGTTTGTGGGAATCTTCATATTGTAGGTGTTCTTCATTATATAGGATGAAAACTATAGCTGTAAATGTTTTTTTTTATCTCTATTTCTTCTACTTCTGACTTTCCTATGTTTCCATGGTTAACAAATCGGTTCTTGCAATGATTGCTCAAGAAATACAGTACCCTGTCAATTCCTTTTCTCATTTGATAAAATATATCAAATTGCCCAGGCTTTCTCGATTTTACTTTCTCCCCCTAACTTATACCATAGTAAATGGAGAAAGTATTGTTTTCGTCAAAATTTTTGAGTGGATATATTCGTTTTGGGTCCCCCTGGACCCAAAAAAGTGGTTTTCGAAGTGATGTCTGTGTGTCTGGATGTGTACAGAGATAGGGACTACACCTGTGGTCCGATTTCGATGAAATTTGGTATGTAGGTTCTAATCCATGGTATCTCCAGGCATTTTGAATTGAATGCATTTTTAATTTTGAAATTGTCATTTTTATTTATATTCTTATTTATATTTTATATTCTTATATTTATATTTTCAGTGAAAGTGTTATATGACTGCCACCATAGAAGACAGACTTTTTCCCCTTGCTGTATTTATTTATATATTGTAATACTCTGTTAAAGTTATTTTTATATGATTAATGCTACAGAGTAATTGGCATGTGCTGTTTTGTAGCATTGGAAAATAAAATAAAATAAATAAATAAAAATAAAATAAATGAATAATTTTTTTTTATTTTGATTTTTAATGGGGATTTTCCCATAAAAAACCGGAAAAATCAAATTTTTTCAAAAATGGCCCGAACGATTTTGATAAAAATTTAGTATGTTGTAGCCCTTTAAATTCTGAACAAAATGGCACAAATCCTATTTCTGTAAAAATGACAGTTCAAAAGTTATTGTAAATTATGTTATTTTCCCATAAAACCCCCATAAAATAACAAAAAATAGGGTTTTAGAAAAAATCCGGTTTTGATTTAACATAGTATGGCGTATGGGTATGTATAGTATGGTTGGTCCTTACAATTTTGGTAGTTTTTTTCATTTTTATAAATATAGATTTTTAATGGGGATTTTCCCATAAATCCCCATAAAATAACGGAAAAATAGGATTTTTCCAAAAATGGCCGGAACGATTTTGATAAAAATTTAGTATGTTATAGTCCTTTATATTCTGAACGAAATGGTAGGTACAAATCCCATTCCTGTAAATATTACGGTTCAAAAGTTATTGTAAATTATGTTATTTTCCCCATAAAGTAACGGAAAATCGGATTTTCCCAAAAATGGCCCGAACAGGTTTGATAAAAATTTAGTATGTTATAGTATTCTGAACTAAATTGTACAAATCCCATTTCCGTATATTTACTCTCACCGCTTACAAAGGCTTATAAAGGCTTTCTGTTGACAAACTTATGGGAGAAAGTATGTGTCAGAATGCTGATACCGTTTATTACGCACGATTTTTATTTCAGCTGCAGTTTTTTAATACGGACAAAATGAGAGTTTAAAAATTAGAAATTAAAAAAAAAAATTATTGTAGGCCTAAAACTAAAAAAAATATATAATTAATTTATTAATTAAACTATCATAACCTAACCTAACTAACCAAACTTGCTGATAATGACAAAATTGAATGAAGGTGTACTAATAGAAGAAATAGTTCTGTTCGTAAAATAAAACTATAAATGCCTCAAATTAAATTTTATATTTTTTAATTATAAAATAAAACTGTCATAACCTAACCAAACTAACCAAACTTGCTGATAATGAAAAAATTTAATGAAGGTTTACTAATCGAAACAATAGTTCTGTTCATAAAATAAAACTATAAATAGCTCAAATTCAATTTTATAAGGTTTTAATTATAAAATTTAACTGTTATAACCTAACAAAACTAACCAAACTTGCTGATAATGCAAAAATCTTAGACAAAAAGTTTGTGCCTACGATGGGTTTCGAACCTGGTACCATAAGTTTCGAAGCTCGGCACGCTATCCACTAGACCACCGAGGCTGATGGCTTCAACTCGTTTTATTGCTATAATGGTGTTCCCTCAGCCAATAGAATGCTCTCATTTTGTTCTTATTAAAGTAACTGCAGCTGAAATAAAAATTGTGCGTTTATTACAATCATTGAGGTTATCCGGAAGTCAGAAGCCTAGCATATAGCTCAGTGAGCATACTACACAGGCTGTGTAGCCAACCTTACAAATACAAATCACCAACAACCTTATCAGGAAGGTGTTTATATATAACATATGTTTTAAGAATAGGAAAGGTTGATTACTCTGGTCTATGAAAATATTGACTCCATTTCAAATGCGCAGAAATAGATTTGCAATTTATATTGTTTTGGATGGTTTTCAACTCTATGTTTTTATTTTCAATCTTTTAGTAAATTTATGTTCATAAATTGAAATAAATAATATGCAAACTAATGAGCTGGGGCCTATTTCATAATAAACTACCAACTAATATAATTAGTAAATCAGCTGATCACCCAATGCAAATCTAATGGAAATTACAAGTTACAAGTTGTAACTTGTAACTTGTAGTTTATTATGAAACGGGGCCCTGGTGTCACTTGTCTGCCGTTTACCTTATGGAACGTCTGGCGCTAAACAACCACGGCCGCCTTTAACTCCAGCCTGCACCTTCGAAGTGGCAACGTCGCAAGTGGTGTTGTAACAGCTGTTTTGTTTGGAAGCAGCTAAATGGTATTATTTGTGTATTTACGAAAGATTGGTAACTGGACTATGACAATATTTACTCCGCTTAAAAATGTACAGATATAGATTTTTTATTCATATTTGTTTCGGTTTTCAATCCTGTGTGTTTTATTTTCAATATTTTAATAAATTTATGTTCATAAATTTAAATCAATAAAGTGCGAATTAATTAGCTGATGTCAACTGTCTGCCATGTTATCTTATGGGACGTCTGTCACTAAACAACACCACTTGCGACGTTGCCAATTCTACGGGTCTGACTTAGGGGAGGTACGATTGAGGCATTAGTTCAAAATTCCTCCGTGAACAGCGCTGTAGTAGAGAGCACTTTGGCAATGAAGCACTAATCACTAAATAGTTCTGTTCATAAAATAAAATTATAAATGCCTCAAATTCAATTTTATTATTTTTCAATTATTAAACTATCATAACCTAACCGAACTAACCAAACTTGCTGATAATGAAATAATATAACAAAAGTTAAGTTAAAAAAAATAATTCTGTTTAAAAAAAACTAGAAACTGCTCAATTAAAATTGTATAATGACTAATAATAAAATTAAACTGTCATAACCGAACCAAACAAACCAAACTTGCTGATAATGAAAAAATCTTGGACAAAAAGTTACTGCTACCGGCAGGATTCGAACACGGGACCTTCAGCATATCGGTCCGGCACGCTAGCCACTAGACCACCGAGGCCGATGGCTTCAGGTCGTATTGTTACGCTAATGGCGTTCCCTCAGCTAATAAGAAGCCCACCTGTCATCGTAGCCTCTTCTATACCTCCCCTGAGTAAATACCCAATTCTACTAGGCCGCGTCCTGTAGTTAAAGGTGGCCGTGTAAACAACACTACTTGCGACGTTGCCATCTACCAGGCCGTGGCCTGGAGTCAATGTGGCCGTGGTTATTTGCCAAGTTTATACTACTTCTTAAGCCTTTGTTTAATATGCTGACGTTTCACTCCACAGAGATTATGGAATAACCTTTTAAAATCGTCCACAAATATATTATATTATATCCTAATAGGCCAACTTAGTTTAGAAGTCTTATATACATAAAACATACTACATAAGAAAATATTTGTTGATCCCTCTGTGATTTTACAAGTTTTCTCCTCGTCTTTAAGAAGCTGACAAATGACTTGATCTTAAATGCTTTCATCCAGGGTTAGCGTTTCTCCCGTTTTCGCACATTAGGAGTGCAGTGTCAAGGATTAAGCCGATTAAGTAAGTATATATATACTATTTTTTAAATAAAATTCAAATTTTATTTTAAATTTAAAGTTATTTCTCAACGCTAAAATTACATTACATTAGCATGCCTACATTGTTCAAATTCCCTTATTTTGAATCTCCTTAAATAAACAATGCAAGCAATTCCAACACCATAAAACAGCTTCATTAAAAAGAATAGGCTATATTTTTAATTAATTTTCAGCAATTTACAGTCATTATTTAAATATTGCTAGGTACCGGTACTCAATATTTTGGATCTTGTGACTTTTACTTTTACTTTACTTTTCAATCAAATCGCGACCATACAAAGTAGGCATTTTCATTTTTGTTTTACACAACAAAACAAACGTAAAAACGAAAACGTCAAGGATAAAATAGTAGGAGTTTAACATAAATTTGCATACGATCAAGTATCAATTAATTATTAAGAACACATCGTTGACCAGTTTTGTTCAGTGGTCAGTGACTTTTTGATTGTGTAGTTGCAAGCCTGTACCAACAACAGGTGTGTCTCCGCTCCGATGAAATAAATGTCAAAGCAAAGCTTATCAGGCGAGGGAAAGATTGTGATCCTATTGGCTGAGGATAGTTTTGTTTTGTTTTATGGGTTCAGCGATAGATAAAGAAGGGAGTGGAGTAGGCTACATAAACATGAGTTAGAGATCAGTTAATCAGTTTAGTCTGATGCACAATCAGAATTAAGGACCACACACGTATAGATTCCTAAATTTCTGATCCTAAGTTTCTTATTATTTAATACTGAATTAGTGACAGTAGGAAACCTTAGCATTTCAATTGCAATTTGTTAAAGTAAGTTGACATCACCTTCCCAGCAATCAACTGGATACCTACCCTACAAACTAGTGATGGGAGAATCGAATACTTTAAAGAATCGAATACCGTGAATTCGTAGCCTCCCCTGTATTCGAATACTTTTACGAATACTTGTATTCGAACACCTTTGAGTATGCAAAGCATGGAAAATGAGTGTGTAATTCTTTTTTCCCGTTCTTTTGGCCACTGTTATTTCGTTTTACAGTAATTAATTCGTTAATATAATTTATTCTATGTAATTTTAAATTATATGATTTTTAAAAGGTACATTTATTTTTACTTATAATTATTTCATGGTCAGTTACAGTCTAATTAAGGTATTATTTTCTATTATATTAACTAATTAATATCTTAAATAATATGTCTTATTCATTTGTATGGATAATTTACATCAGATATGCATGGTATTTTGCCATGTAACTATATAAATCGGTTGCAGTTATAATAAATTCTATTCAATTGCCCTCTACCAGTAGTAACCTAATATTTTAAATATCCAATATATTCTAAATGTTAACGATTAATAATAATCTTATGTAAATTATAGGGCTAATGGTAAAACTATAACGAATAGATGAAAACAAATGCTGCAGTAAAAACATTAAATACTCTTACGAATGCTAAAAGGGAATTCAGTAGTTGAAAAAGTGTTGAATACATTTTTGAATCCCCCGAATTCGCTTTCTAGATGCAAGAAATCCTGCAAAATCTGAGGTCAAGAGTATTCACAAAAAAGTATTCGTACGAATCTGAAGTATTCGAATCTACGAATACTCGGGCTGTATTCGAATACTATTCGATTCTGTATTCGATTCTCCCATCACTACAAACATGACTGAGTAAGTGATTCTTTACGTGATTGTAATTAATTTAATTTTTGCTTATTGTTGTTTGTTTTTATTTCGACATTTGTACTATGGCAATCGTTAACTAGCTATTTGATTTTATATGTTAAAGATTATATTATTAAAGGACAAAGATAGTGCAACTTTCTGTTTAATTATTCTTGGTTCATTTTCTTAGTATAGTTTAATCTTTAAAAGTTTGCAATGGTGAGGATAGTTCTTTTTAAACACTGTTAACTGCTTCACAACTAACTTAATTTGGTTCACAAGCGGTTTAATATATAATAAACAAATTGGTAAATGGAATAGGTTAGGCTTAGCATCAATTTGGTAAGAACCAACCCACTAATTTATAATAATGATGTTATATTTGTGATCCATTTGGTTATGTAGATTTTGGAATGTAGATAATTTTAATATTGTAGAAGTGCCTGTTAGTAGCTGGCGGCCCACCAGATTTTTAATTCATATTGTTTCGGTTTTCAATTCTGTATATTTTATTTTCAATATTTTATATTTATATTTATGTTCATAAATTTCAATTTGAATCAATAAATTGGGAATTAATGAGCTGATGTCACCTGTCTGTCATGTTATCTTATGGGACGTCTGTCACTAAACAACACCACTTGCGACGTTGCCAATTCTACCAGGCCGCAGTAGAATTGCGTTCGTAGAAATGTGTTCATGATGCATAGTAGTTGAGGGTTGGTTGTAATACTAGATACTTTTTGAGCAAATTTCCCATCTAGGGAATAAGCCATAGTAGATCTCACGGTATGACCTAGACCCTGCGACTTCTTTACTGTTTTGTATTGATGTCCAAAACACGAGGCTAAATTATTCGTAGCGTACTAGGCCCACATGATCTAGTTTTTAATTTATTTATTTTAATGTCTTGAGTTGTAAAATTTGTGGAAGTGCCAAAAGCAGGTAAAGATAACATTCTCTTGAAAATGATTAACTTACCGTAAACAAAACTTTTATTTAAAATATTCATTTTTCCATGATATCATTTAACTTTAATACATTTAAATTCTTGAAAATAAGCTCTGCTGATCAAAATTATATTAAGTTTCAATCTTTAAAAAAATTCCTTCAAAGGCCAATTCAATTCCGCCTTTGCCATGGTCAGCTCTGAAGCTCGACGAGAGGGTCACACAAGGGATCTAAAATTTCAAGATCCATTACACGTTTACGATTACCACCGAGTAGGTAATCTAATTCATCAAGAAGGTCATGATCCTGAATACGCACAGATCTATAAGTACGACGTTGGCACTGAAACCCCAAAGCACATGTAAAACAATTCAAACAAAAAATGCAATGAAAACATTTATGCGGGAAATAGGGTAAAAATGCCTACCCATTTGCCCAATCTTTTAAAATTGTGGTGGAAATTTGTAGGGACGAGAGCTCCGAGGAGTCAAGTTAGATTCTTATGTGCATTGTAAGAGACAAAAGAAGTGACTTCCCTCGCTACAATGGTGCTACCTGTATAGATGTCGAAGCTATTTTAAAGCTGAAAACAGAGCACCACCTGGCCAAATAAATCTTTGTTTTTTTTATTTTCAAAAACTATTAGTGTTCAACGTGAATCCGTTCTAGATACGTCGTTAAATCCACTCTTATGTTCCCAACCGGAGACTTTGGTTGGGGCACCTAATTTAAACACGCATAAAACAGAACGTTTCGTAAAATTACAATGCTATAGTTAGTACGTGTCGTACTGGTTGGCGTCAAGAGAGGGATATAGCTTGCTAGGTCTGAAAAGATAACTTTACAGTGTGTGGTTGACACCTACGTTGTCATAGAGGGCACCACCCTACCTAAAGAGATCATAAAGATCCTATCATAAAAAGATTTTTTTGTACTTAAGAGATACCCTAACCAAAGCAGTATGAGAACGGATCTATATTTAAATATTGTACCGTAGATTACTTTTATAATTTTTTACAACATGATATTTTTCACATTTCTATAATCAGTCATAATAGAAATTACTTTAGAGTGACTATATGATTGAGGGTTTGCTGTTTATGTTTTTTGTTCTTCATTATTTTATTACAAGTTGCAGTTTTGCTCGATTTCGAGCAACAGGTTATCTAGTTCTTTACAAAATCTGAACCTAAAATCACCTTCCTAACTAGATTCCTCGCTATCAAACATGCTACATTCCAAGAGAAATTGTGAATCATAACCTTCATGGAACATTGACCCATGATATCTATGTTGTTATTTATTGCTTTACAACTGACATTAGCTCCCCTTATCTCCTTCACTAAATTATTTGACTTTAGCTTCTTGTAAATCTTCATTGATAAGACTAACACTACTTCCTGAATCTAGTAGAACATTTTCAGATAAACACTTCCCCATATTTACCTTCAATGTAGGTAGCATACGTAATTTTGACTTTTGGTCTTTTACTGGTCTTGACTTTTCATACTTATTTCTTCTACTTAGCTTATTAAATCTTCTTACCTCATTGCAATTCATTCTCCTTTATATCTGGCTTTTGTTGTAGAATATTTTACTCTTCCTCTGGGGAAAACCTACTTTCCTATTCAGATCTATGATTTTCCCCCACTTACTCCATGTTTTGGAGCAGAAGGTGGTTCGTTGTATCTACTTTGCGGTCCAGGAGGTGGTCCATGGTAACGATTTTGAGTAGCAAAAAGGTGGTCCATTGTAACGGTTTTGAGGAGCAGTACATTGAATCTGTTCTGAGGTACTGGGATTACCTGTCTACTGAAGCAGTTCCTTGCAATGTGTCCCAATCTATTGCAGTTGAAAAATTTGACTGGACTACTTATATTATTTACCATCCTCCCTTGTGTTGTGTTGTGTACCCGCACGGAGCTTTGACAGTCGTCCTCGTATGCGACATTCTGAGCATGTATACATAACTTATCTAAGTCATCAAAAGATTGAGGCATACTATAAAATACCAACTTTGATCTGGTTTCAGGGTACCTACATTCCTATTGTTATTAACTCTACCAATTCTTGTTCTGAATAGGCACAATTTAACAACCTAGCATTTTCCTTGATTTGGAGCATATAACAATTGAGAGCTTCATTAACCCTTTGAGGTCTGTTTACAAGGTTTCTTTTCAAATTTTCCCTTAAACCTACAGATACAAAATAGGATAGTAATCCTTGATGTAGCACATTTAAGCTTACCTTGGAACGCTTGAACTCTAGCAATTTTATATGCAGTGGTCCTGTTGAGTATCCTAGGCTTAAGTCTATTACCTGATCATCGGTAAGCTCAGTTTCATCTTTGAGTTTCAAAATATTACTTATGAAACCTAATAACTTAATTTACATCAAGTCCATCACAAACATGAAAATTTCTTAAATGTATTTGGATTGGATTGGGTAGCTTATAGCTAAATTAGATTGTGATACTTTTTCTATACACTTTAATTTTTCTGTAAAAACATTTTCGAGTTCCTCCTCCTCTAAAATACTCTCACTTAGTTTACGCTCTACTGTAGCTTTTTCGTTTGCATCAAAGTTGAGTTTATCAAATGACTCTTTTGATGAAATAAATGACTACTGTCTTTAAATTGTCAATCAACCCCTCTACTTTAGCTTTTTCATCCACGCCTAGCTTAAACTGACTTAAATTATTTACTCTTGATCCATAGTGATAATTTTAATTTCTGCTCTAATGAAACCATTTATGTCTCTACTCTCTTCAAGATCTTCGATTTTGTTTTCCAAACTTTGCAAATTAGGCTATTAGTTACAGTTTGAATTCCGTCAACAACAACATTTTTTTTAAAGATTATGAGGGTTAGGCATTACATTAATCTTAGCTCTGACACACTGTCATTGGAATGAAACTCAATCCCTATTACTGTTAGTTCATATTGAAGTTCTTGTTTCACTAAAAAATCTACTTTTAATGCCATTTTATGTTACTTCAATAACACATTTTAAATGAAATTAAAGAATTTATATCTTACATTTGACTCCAAACTTTAAAAATCTAGCAGAGTGGCACATTTTGTAGCGTACTAGGCCCACATGATAGTTTTTAATTTATTTATTTTAATGTCTTGAGTTGTCAAAATTTGTGTAAGTGCCAAAAGCAGGTAAAGATAACATTCTCTTGAAAATGATTAAACAAAACTTTCATTTAAAATATTCATTTTTCCATAATATCACTTAACTTAAATACACTTAAATTTTTGAAAATAAGCTCTGCTGATCAAAATTATATTAAGTTTCAATCTTAAAAAAATTCCTTCTTCATACAATATACCAAAAAACTTCACTTTATTTTAAGTTTATAAATTCCTTCTTAATCATGAGCCCAAAAAAAAATTAAATTAATCAGAATCTTTGTGAACAATATGTAATCAAAATCTGGAAAAGAGAGGACATCTGATGTCCTCTCTTTTCCACATCTGTTATCATATCTAAAATAAAACTAACTTAATTTAAAATTTTAAAAAGACACCCAAAACGTGGGGTACTTGACCTAGTTAACCAACAAATTATAACTTAATAAATTATAACTCTACAACTGAATTAGCACAACTGAGAGCGGACAAGAAGGGTGATTAAGTTTTGTCTGACCAAGGTAACCCCGAGATTGGCTGAAAACCATGTGCTTCAAACAATGACTGAATTACCCTGGCCAATCAAATTGTCGTCTCTTTTCCTTACAGGATCTTGCAAACTATTTAAATTTCTGGTTTAACAGACAAAACTGAATTGACACGTTTAGAATATTTCATGATTGAGCAGAGCTAAAAAAAAAGAAAATACTAAACATTAAACATTGAATTTGTTTATAAAGTGAGACAAAAAATACAAAATATAAAATGCTACATATTAAAATGTTATACATATACTAGCTATTACCCATCGGCTTTGCCCGACATAGCTTAGTGTTTTATTACCACAACTACTTGGGGGAGCGAGCTGGTCTAGTGGTTAGAGCGCGGGACTTTGGTTCCAGAGGTCCCAAGTTAAAATCCCGCCAAATCACCAATGGATTTTATATATGTGATAATGCCGCAACCCCTAGGTCTGGCCTTAAGTAATGTGAAAAACAATTCCGGGCTCGTGCCTAACGTCCTAGGAAAAAAAAATTCTACTACCTACTATAAACCCATTGAAGACGTGACTTCGCTAAGGGCTAAAATAAATTTTTCATTTATTTACATTATTATATTATTAGAAGTTTTTGAAGTGACTGTAAGAAAAGAATGCAAAACATCATTGGGAAGATGTATAAATATAATATAGTCCATTAGTCATTTTAGGGTAAAATATCCCTCTACATAGAAATAATCCCCTAAATAGTGAAACTTTGCACATGTGTAGTACAAAGGTAGTACTAGTACCCAGTAACAACATATTAAAAATCAATGTTTGTGCATGCTGTGCTACGGCCGCCATCTTGGAAAATGGTGGCTGATTTTCACTTTTTTGAACATATTTTACAAACCGTTGGAAATACAGATAGGTATTTTGTTCAATCAAAGTTAATGAACACAAAATATACTTTTAAATAATGACAACATTTATCTTTAACTTTTCATTGAGGAAAATTGAAAAAAATTAAATTCTCCATGTTATTCTTATGGAGGATAAGAAACCTGTTGTAGATTGCTTGTTTATGGATATCTTTTGATAAAACTTTCAAAATGATTTATTTTATACTAAGAAAGCTATTATTTTGATTAAAAACACTTCATAATCCTTCCTGTAGCAGCAAAACAGAAGCCCAAATCACAACACACACTTCCAAAACTATGTTACCACCAAAAATAACCAAAAATACTCCTCCCACCAACAAAGTAACGCTTCAGCCCTTACCAAAAACGTGGGTTATTAGTTTTTGTGTTTTGATAACATTTTGGGATATTAATTTATTTCATAATCCTAAGTCATGAAGCTACTACACTAAATAACACACTTTATTATTTTTCCTGTAGCAACAAACCTAGGTTCTCTTTAAAACTAATTCTATTTAAATAGGAAATAAAGACAAGTTTGAGTAAAGAATTTTTGTAAAAATCCCATCAGGCTGATGCAAGTACGCTTAGTCTGCAGTTTTGCTCCTGGTGTTAGTGTGTGAGGATAAAATCCTAAAATACCCTGTGGGTAGTTGATACATGCACTAATGGTTAAATTAATGGTTTACAATCACTAAGTGTACTGTATGAAATTTATTATTTGTCTAATTGTATTACAAATTGAAAATATGTATGTCAATACAAATAGGTTTTCAAATATAAATTGGTGATTGTGTTGTGTTGTGTTACATATTACAGTGGAACCTTGATAAGAAGACCCTCGATAACAAGCCACCCTTGATTACAAGTGCAATTTTCAAATCACCTTGAAATTATTTTACCCCTAATCACATGTTATTGCAAACCTCAATAAGAAGTCAACCTTGATAACAAGTCTTATTTAATAATCCCCATGAGAGTCTTGTTATCGAGGTTCTACTAATGCATTCCAAGCTCAGTTTGACCACCCAGACAAATCTCTGTGGGAGTGTAGATAATATACCATTTGTGATAAGAGCTGTTTGTTTCTGGCCCCAGTAACAACAAACGTTGTTTAGTGGCAGCAGATCTGTAGCGATTCTCAAGAAGTGTGACTCATGTGCCTAGCTCAGCTAAATAATCTCTCGTCTGAATGAGTCAACCATTTTATTTTGTTTATTATTTACATAAAGATATTCCAGTGATTTTCAAACTATTTAAATTCAAAGTTTTAATCCTTACTGCCATATTAGTAGTTTTTGGATTTTTAGATTAATCTGTGCTCTTATGCTTTAACAGCTAAAATTCTTTCAGTTAAATTTGTTCTGTAGTTTCAGTTCATTAGCCTTTATTCACATTGAAGACTGGGAAACAAATGCCTTATAAATCATAATTGTATACTTTTGATAGCTAAAAATCTCTGCAAATCATCACAAAACTCATAAAATTTCACAAAGTGATTTGGATCATTTTAGGAATTAGAAACATCCTAACAATTGGTAAATAGTGTTTTGATCTATCATTGAAACTCTTAATACCTACTTTAAGTGTGTGATGATAAATTAATTTAATTTTTAAATTAATAATATTGTATGTTACAAAATAATATGAAACACAACCTTTTTAAGACTCAAAGTGTTAGATACTAGATGGTGTTCGTAGAAAATTGAGCGGAGTTGTCAGGGAATTATATTGTCATTGACCATCACCATTAATCTTCAGAATTATATTTATCTTACAGCAAAAATACAATATCTGCGGAGATACAAACTATTGGGTGATTATAATAGTATAACTGTTACATATTGTTTCCCAATGAAGAGAAGCCAAATACAGAGACCTGCAATTACATATGAGATTAAAACTAAATATCACCGAGAAAACTATTTTATTAAGTTCTTTCACACACACACACATACACTTTCACAAACAGTTTGAACAAGAATTTACTCTGTCTTTAATTACACCTTAGGTACCTAATGCTGGCAGGTCTGATCTCAAAATTAATCCTCGATTTCTCAAAATTAATCCTTGATTTTCTTTTAATCAAAATTTAAATAACTTAAACCAGGATTGTAGAATTGGTTTAAAACCTGCTTCTGTGTGATCCAATTGTTGCTTATTGCCGCAACTAGTTTTGACTTGTCAGGAAGTCATCTTCAGAAATTCCACAGGTCATATTCTTAGTCTTGACTCTTACTCCACCCGATCATTCACCAATAAATTTGATATGGTTTTTAAATTGTTTTAATATTCTGTTCCATAATTTTTATGTCTGCGCTTGTAGTGTTTGTGTTTGTACTTTATGTGAATCGATAACCTTTTGATGAAGAGATTTTGACATCCTCTGAAGATAATTTTCTGATAAGTCACAACTAGTTGCGGAAATAAGCGCAATTTGACTGGACTATGCAGAAGTAGGTAGGCTATTGAAAACCAAATTTCTTATTAAATGTACGGAGGCTATACGCAAAAATAAAATTTAGATTGTACGAGTATTCGTTTGAAAAAAACACTAACCCAAAAATATTGTCTACAAGTTCCATGCAGGGGCAAATATTTTGGGTTGTTACTTCCTCAGTATTTAAATTAAATGCTATGTCATACTCTGTGTTGTTATTGTGAGTTTTTTTTCCATGGAGTGAATCTATAAGCACACTAATTATTTGTTGTCCAAAATTACTAAGCAATATTGTATATACTTTCTTTGGGTAAATGTTGGTTAAAACCACAATATAGATCAGGCTACTACTAAGTTGAGATTGTTGTTGTTTCAGTATTCTAGACATTGTGCTGGATTACTGTGTACCAGTGGAGTGGGAAGCTGTCACCAAGCTCGACTACAACAATAAGCGCTACAAACTATATGATCTCAGTGTCGGCTCCAATGAGTACGCTCATGAGGTTAACGATTTTGTAAATGGTGACGTGAACATACAAGTCAAGAAAATTCAGAGAGTACAAAATCCGTTCCAGTTGGGAAAGTTCTGTATCCGCAAAGAACAGAAAAAGCATAGGGGAGAAGACTCTGAAGTGGTATGTAATATTAATGGATAGACATTTTTAATTAGTTTCTTGCTTAAATGTTGCAAACATTAAGCTTCATTTTGAAAAATAATCAAAGTCAATACTCCCATTATCATTAATTATCTTCTTTTACATAGGCCTATTAGCTATTGTTAAATTGGATATCTCTGATAATTGAACAACTAATCACATCCAATCGGAAATTGTGTGATTACCATCTCAAAAAGCAGGTTATCCTTTGTTTAAAGGTGATAAAGCTTTTTTATAACAAGGTGCATTTTAGTTTATAAAATCCTTAAGAATATACTTTAAAAAATGTCTTTGCTATCCATTGTATTCAACAATTAAATGTGTTATTTTAAAGAGTTTACCTCATTTCGGCGGTATTAATCAATGAAGAGTCTGGTGTGTTAAAATTAATGGCACAAAAATAAAACACAATAATTTCAGTACAGTAGAACCCCTCATATCTGACCATGACGGGTTACCGGCAACGGTAGTAATAGTCTGCCGTGATTACGGCAACATCCACGATCGGCCTCTTGGTGTCGCATTAATATGCTCGAACCGCGTATTAACCGATCACGCTCTGGGTTTTTGCCCCAGACAGGAAACAAGTATACGGTTGGACACTAGGTCGGATATCCCAAGGAGTCAGTTATTGCAAGGTCGGATATGAGGGGTTCTACTGTATGTTACTAATAAAGTCTGTTTATTCGCTTGAAAATTTTTATACCAAACAGCCAAAGATCGCAAAGGAATACACCTTCAATAAGTTTTGCTGATGAATCTACAAAATATTTAATAGATTTATTCAGTGGCGGCGATAGCGAGCCTGCGAGCCTTGATCAGGATTTGTTTTTTATTTTACCGGAGCTTGTACCCTTGACAGGCCTCCCTATCATAATAAATAGTCATATGAGTACTATACGTTTTATAAATAATTGTTTCTCAAGCTCTAATTTGGAACAAGGCAAATACTGATTTTCCCTTGTTCTAAATTTCCTTTCCCTTGCGCTCAACCAGTTCTCCATTTGCACACTGGTGTTTCTTTACCAATTATTTTTATAATTTAAATCAACTGTTTTAAAAATCCTAATGTTATTTGCGTCGTGGTGAAAAGTATCTTACATAACTCCTGCAGAAAGTTATTTTCCAGCACCTGCTCCTTGGCTTCACTTCACACATGCAATTCGGTGTTACTGATACTTGAGCGCACACTAGAAAATATGACTCACTAAAAAACCCCATCTACTATGTTGGACACAGACATGGAATTGTTTGTCACATTGCTTCAAGTCAGGCCAACATGTGACCTAAGCCCTCAGGGCTTGCACCGTTTCTGGCATTTAGATTCTTTATGACCTACACCCTACACTGCATCCCAGGTCCTAACTGGCTTCAGAATACCCTGGACAAAATGTGACACACAGGTGCAATTATCCTCACCCTCCGTCATCATTCGTGACCGTGTCCACCAACAGCAGTCCTATGAACTGTTGAGCCTCCAAGCAGGCCTTTCCCAACGCTGGCAGTGGACAAAAGTATGTTCCGCAACATCAAGAATGCCTGGGCAGTATATGTAATCGGGTGACACGGCTTTGCCCATCCTGGACAGGTACTACAAAACACCCCCCCCCCCCGCACAACCCAAGGTTGGACTTGCTGTATCAGTTGCCTGGTCCAGCATCCCCGTGTCTCCTGTTCCCAGCTCTCCTCCCACAGCTGGTAGGTGCGTGTGTGATCCTCTGTTCGTGCCTGTCCACACGGCGCTGATAATTGTCTTCCTCTCCGCCGCCAAAAGTTTGATGAGGATGACTTCAGCAAGGCGGGATTTGGCCTTGGGATTGGCCACCATCTCTTCTTGAGCCTTTACATAACGTGGAATTTTATTTTAGCACTTTTGTTGCTAAACGGAACAGCACATTATCGCCTCAATTTTGCTCTTGCTCCTGCCGTCGTATTAATTGATTTTTATATTCATTATTATTTTACTCAAAACTTATTTGGATAATTGGACATTTAGATAATTGGGGATCAAACAATTGGATTTATACTGTACGGGTATTAGATTATTGTGCAGTATAATATACTCTTAATAAATTATAATTCAGTTTTAAATATTTTTCCTAAGGTCAAGTATTACCATCCCCTGCGCATCAATGATTTGGAGATGGCCCTGGAGCATAACATGGATGTCCGGAGATACGGTAGTCGACACGCTAGTCAGGTGTCCTCACAGAATCCCAAGTTCTACAAGACTCCGTCACTTGCGTTTCTTTCCATGGAGCCTTGCGATGTGATCCTCATTTGTAACGTGTTGGGTCACACATCGGAGGGCTCGACCACTTACAAAGGTAGTGACTCAGAATACATGCCGACTTATGTTGTGAAGGTCGCTTAAAAACCAAAACTCGTCAGGGCTGCCAAAGTTAAGTTTTGTTCAAGTATTGACACTGATTACCAGTTTTGTTATTTTATTTACTTTAGGTTTAAGAGTTTTCTTAAGAGTTTAAGAAAGAATTTTAAAGTTGAGAAAAGCAAAAAGTGTGGGAAGAAGAGATACCACTAGTATTCATGGTAACAGTGTTCCTAGCTATTGTATTTATGTTATACAGTACTACAGAAATGTCGAGTTCAAAAGTGATAGTAATTAATTGTAAGTGGGAATAACAGATTACAACAGGAAAGTAATATTCAACAGTGAGAGTAATTCTAAGTCGGTAAAACGGGTTAAGGTGTCTCATTGAGTTTCTATGATGCAACTTACCCAACACATAATCAGTTTATAAAATATTAAGAGAACAGATTTTAAATCTCACTACGATGTGCCTTGTCTCCAAATACTGTAATGGTAAAGGTATAATAATGAAGTTTAATGACACCAATTAATTTAGAATAGCTATTTTTTTAGTAGCCTATTAAAAACATTAGTGCTGTTAAAAATATTGATTTCAACTAAGTAAAAAGTATATTTTTGTTCACTACCAAAGCACCAAAACAACCAAACCTAACCAAAGCAGAAGGTAGCTTGAGATCAGGTCTACTTTAAAGATTATATGCCTTAATGATTATATGCTTATATGATTATATGCTTTAATGATTATATGGTGCTTGGTCAAATTAATTTAAATATTTTCTTCTACAAAATCTTATTGAAACCAAACAATAATTATTAGGGCATTTTTAAATTGTTGTATCTGCTAGACAACTTTTGGAAGTATACATTTTTTATTTATTTTTGATAAGCAATAATGTTTATTTTAGTTTAAATATTTAAATTGTGTTCATCAATTATTATCTATAGTTTGATCTAACTTATTTTACTACTGACTGAGCTTATGTGTGGAATTTTGATCAAACAATTCAAACTTTATTTGGGGATTTTATCTTACCATCTTTTGTACCGTACCCATTTTTGTTAAACCCATTGCATGTTAAAAATATTTTACAATGATGTTATTGTTGTTAACATAGATATTAATGCACATTGATTTATTTCTCCATAGCCTCATCATTACTTTGCATTAAAGAGTATGGAACTATCAAATAATGATATAGCTACATAATGAATTACAGAATATAATGATAATGATAAAAAAATATAGATAAACAGAAATAATGGTAAATTGATAAATTTACAGCAAAATGACTGTCTTTTCAGAAATGTTAAAATTTCCAAAATAAAAATTTTGTTAGCAATACTAGTAACTGAAATGGGGAAGTCTGTTTGCCAATTTCCTAATTAAAATGTTGTCTTAGCTCATAGAATCTTTGTAATGAGATTTACTAGGCTACATAGTATTACTTTTATAATACTGTCCAACTAAGTATTTATTTTTATTTGTATGAAATAGCTTACATGAGTTGCAAATTTAAGTATTATTTTGTGGTTTTCATGCAGGTATTCTCTAGTCTAAAATACCAAGGTTAATGTTGTTATAGATTTACAAGCTAAAAGACTGACACCCACAGATAACATCTAAGGCATTTAAACAAATATATACTCAAACTTACTAGTGTTCTATTTTTATAGATTGGTAAATATTTTCAATATTGTACTGACTGTCCAGTGCCTACAACTTGTACATGTACCTTTGTGTAAGCTTAAATCTTTCTTTTCTAGAAATAGAATATTTTGCCTCAGTAACAGTTTTTGTTTGGAATACTTGATTCCTTGAATTACAACACAATACTTGAATGACAACAATACAGGTACACTTTTTGCCTATTTTATGGTGTTATTCTATTGAATCTATTAACAGCTGCAGTAGATAAAAGAGGGAGCCAAAAACTGTGTCAAATGTTAACACCAAAGCCTCATGGGATGGATTCTATTTGACTGATTTTACAATAACATAGATGAAAATATTGGATCTAAAAGATGTAACCCTCATTTTCAACATTTACAATAAAAATCCTAAATTTTCAGGATTCTATTGCCAATTATTGCTCTCAAATCAGATTGATTCATTAAGTCATTGCTTACACATTTGTGTGTTAACTAAGTTACTACATACATTGGTATGGATGGATTATGTTCTCTTAGGTTAGTTGTTTGTTATGTAGTTGAAATGTTTTTATACTTTTTTATAAATATTTGCAGCCCTTTGTTCTGTTTAATGAAAATAAATGTTTCTTTTGCAGCTTGATTATCATTATTAATCCAATCAAACTCTTTTAAGCATAAGTCAGACTAAACAGCTAAACCTTGGTAACCGACATTGTATTTCTTTATTTCAGTAAGAACATAACTTTTGTTTTAGCCATTACAGATGAGCAACTAGGCCCGTTAAATTTACTTAAATCATTAAGTTTTTTTAGGTTGTAGCTTTTAGCTCATGGATTGCTCATTTTCTTCTTACATCATTAAAAAATGTGATTTAAAACAGCATTTTTTCCTCTCCCAGTCTTTTCTACTTAGAACATCTCAAGCAAACAGATATCAGGGGGTCTGCCACAAGGGGGGGCCGTGACGCAGACTGCGTCATTGAAATTCTTGGGGGGGGGCTCAACAAATTCAAATGGGGGGGGGGCTAAAGTTAATTGCAACAGTGTTCAACGTGACGACAATCCAAAATACATTACGAAATCGCCAGATAGAAAGTGGATAATTAATGACAATAGTTATAATATTGAATTAGGATTTTAGGATAGTTTAGGATTCGTGTAGAAAGTTATTATTTAAGATTAGCAAGACGTGAGATCTAAGAGAGGGAGCGCACGGGATGGCTCAACTGCTGTGATAGATAAAAGATAACGCGTGGTGCAGAGACACGTCCAGCTACAAAGCTCGTTAAAATACAATCAAGTAGCAAGTAGCATACGGCTACAATACTTTACACTATTGTGTATACTCGATTACCTGAGTTAATAGGGAGAGGGAGGGGGGGGAATGAAAAATATGGTTAATCCAATATAGTATAAAATAAAAACAGATGACAAACTCATTAAAACGCTGTAAACAGCCATCAAGTCACGGTTTACATTTTTATAAACGAAATTCAATATTGCACAATCATTATTGTTGTAAATTTCAAATCATTTATCTTGGTTCAGTTGTACAAACGGCAACGTTTAAAATTGTAGCTAACTCAAACTCAACTAATCACTAACCAAACATTACATTGCTATAAATAACATAAATATTAAAGGAACCTTTAGAAAGTGTTATAAGGTACTGCTCATGATAGACAGATAGGCTACCGATAGGTGCTGTATCACAGGCACAGCATAGGAATTTATAGATAAGTAATAAAAAAGTGTAAAATTATATTTAGAGATGATTAAAACACTCTTAAAAAAGAATGTAACGAGAACAATCTTGTTATTCTCTTTCTTTGGTATTCTGTTCATAAGGTTTCTCTTCAATTCATACACAAATTCAACAAGTCGCCATATTTAGGCCTACTCATTGGCCAATCACAGCCTTACTAAAGTTACCATGGTTATCACTCAATCACAGTTTACTAAGCATTATATCGTCATCATTCCCCAGCTGTTGTATCTGAAATCTGTTTTAACATAGCGCACAGCAGACAGAAGTGTATAACGGAGCAGACGATTGTTGGCGCAAGCATTGTTTCCCTTTCATTTTTATCAAAGGAGCAAGGAGCTGTGATGTTTCTAAAGGGAGGGAAAGGGAATCGTTATATCGAGAAAGACGCTGACAATTCGTTATGGATATTCTGGCAATAAAAAATTCCTTAAATTGAGGTGACTTATAAAACTCTAATTTTATTTATATAGAAAGATAAGTTTTCCAGTCCTGTACAACACTGATTCACGGTCTTTTCCCTGTAATCAAAAATCAAGTACAACTTGATACACACAGAATCTTCGGTTCCCGACCTGGATGATGGCTTGTTATTTAATTTACAGTTACATATTAGTACTCGTGATAAATCAAACCCGTTATGTAAGCCAAAGCCACACGGTTATTAATCTCACTTGGTTTTTGATTTGCTTACAAACGTGATCGGAAATGGTTAGGGCCTACACAGTATTCTTCAAGAACATGTATGTAAACATATCAGTGACAGCTAGGATTAGGAATCTTTATCAAAAACAGCTGTTCGTAATTTCATATCTGACGTGTTCTCTTAATAGATTATTAGTATTTCATAAATTAATGACGTATGTAGTAAACATGGAGAAAATAAACTAGAAAAATCACACAACATTGTATTTTTGATCGTCCATTATTTTAGTTCCAAAATAGTGAGGCCATATTTTAATGGCTATAAGGACTCTCTCGCCAATCCTGTGGATACAATTAAACCATTAGAATCATAATCGGTACTCTAGTTTTCTTTAGAGTAAGCCGTGAGTAGGCTGCATAAAATGCCTTCTGGGCCGTGACAGACGGACATAAATGGAGATAAGACATGTTTCAACTTCTTCAATGTATAAAACATAAATAACCTAAAATATGTATAATTCTGAGCAATGTACAGACAAAACTATAACTTTATTGATATAGATTAACTGGGTTTGAATTTTAAATATAAAAAAAATTTTAAAACTTCTTTTATAGTTTTACAAATAGTGCTGGGCGGGGAAAAATGTTTCTCATTTGTTGTGTACATCATTTATGGGGGGCTGTTGCTCAATTGGGGGGGGGCTGTTGCTAAATGGGGGGGGGGTGCGTCATGAGTCTAGGGGGGGATGGGCACCTCTGCAGATATTTATATTATATTTATTATAATACCTCTGAGCTCTCTACAATTAAAAAATTTCAAAATTTGAAAGAAGTTTACAAAAATTTAATACTGTAATGTTATTAGTTGAATTTTGTGCTGTTGCTTTTGTTGATTATAAGCTACACACTATCCCTTCTTTTATTAAGGAATCTATCCAGTTTGTAAACTAATCAATAGAAGGTAATGATTACAAAATATTGTCATGATTAAATTGAAATTCACTGTTCAAGAGTTCTCTTCAAAAACTAAATTGGTTGTATGGATTACATTTTCACTGCATTGTCACTATCTCATAAAATTCCTTGAGGCATCAAAGCTTATAGAAGCTTTGCCTATGGCAATAGATAGAATGGAAGTTCTATCTAAAAGTAGTAGAAGTACCTTTCTAAAAGTTTTGTCTGTTGAATGTCATTAATAATAACCAAAGTAAAAAACAAATTTCTTCACCCAGAACTTTTCTTTTTCAGCTGTCTATTTAAAAATTTTTTTAAACGACCATGTATTTTACAAACTTAAGTACCAGTATTTTTTTATCATACTGTCTGGAAAACACCCGTTTTTAGTTCTCTACATCATCCGCAAAATCATCGTTTTCGGGTAACTTCAAATAGGGAACTGAAGGAAAAACATATAGTAAGTTTTTCAGTTCGCTAACCTCAAAATTTGTTTCCTTACAGATACCTAACAATGTACATGTTCTCTCACTGATTTGAGAAAGCAAAAAAAGTGGCCAATTCGCTCATCAGTGAAACAATGTTAACATTGTCTCACTCTAATTACATTGTCTCACTCACTCCAGATTTGCAACGTGAAGGCACGAAATAGTGAGCGTGTAACATGCAGACAAGGTCGTACTCGTGCGAAATACGTTGGCAGCACTGGCTGTAAATCAGCTATGGTCAGCTGTTGTACTGTCGTATCATGTCATATTAAAAATTCACTTCAGTGTAAAAATATGTTACGTCTTTTTACCAATTTATTTGTTTTATGGTAACTGTAGGAAAAATATACTGTGCAAATCGAGTGCAAAGTGCAATTGACTCACTCGAGAAACCATTCCTCACTCGCTTTACTCACTAGTTGCACAAATAACTATTGAAAACACTGCTATACCTACTAATAATACTAATATTATAAGTGAGAAAGTTTGGATGTATGGATGGATTGATGTTTGTGACAAGAAATGCGAAAAATAAAAACCGACAGGGTTGAAATTTAATATGATAATAGCTCACATTCCCGATTAACATGTAGACATATTTTTAACTCAAAAATCCTTTCGGGCTCCACCCCAGTGGCTTCCAAGTTTTCCTTGTTAACCTTATGAGTATTCATATTTAAAAGCAATTAAAGAATTTTGTCAACTGTTTCAACTTCACATGTTGGATCTATGATATTAAATAGCATTAACAAGTTATAAGGTTTACTAACAGGGTGCAGCACTATTATTTTTTGCATTTATGACAACAGCTAATTTGAACCAACTAGCAACAAAAAGATGTGGTACACAATGAGAGTGCTGTAGTATGGCTATGGTATACAGGGTGGCTGAAAGTAACTTTCACCCCCCCTTAACTTTTCAACCATTTGAGATGTTTGAAATCGGTTTGCGGCAACCTTCTTAGATATGAGGGGCCACAATTATGGTCAATTTTGAAAATTTTGCAAATAGGGGTAGCGGGGTAGCTCAAAATTTTCAAGTATCTAAGAGTTTGGTATCATTTTACAGGTCTTGACGAAACATGAACATTGACAGAAAGAAAACCAAAATCGGCTCACTAATAACAAAATGGCACCCTAAAACGTTTCAAATCCAAATAACCATGTAAATTGATAAAAGTAATAATAGGCTACAAATTGCCAATTCAATTCATATCAATGTGGTGGGGTGGGGACGCAACGACCTCTTGCCGTCATGTGCTAACAGCGGGTCTGGAAATATAAAAGTACAAGGGCGGTGGCAAAAAAATTAACTTGCACCCTCTTTAACCTTTTAACTATTTGAGATATTTGAAATCGGTTTGCGGCAACTTGTTTGGATATAAAGGGCTACAATAATTATGGTCAGTTTTGAAAATTTTGCCCTTAGGGGTAGGGGGTAGCTCAAAATTTTCAAACGACAAGTGTAGTCGAGTTTGGTATCATTTTACAGGTCTTGACAAAACACGAACATTGACATAAAGAAAACCAAAATCAGACCATTAATAACAAAATGACAGCTAAAAATGATTGAGACAATGGTCATTTAAACTAATTTTGAACTGCCATTTTGTTAATAATGGTCCGATTTTTATTTTCTTTATGTTAATTGTTATTTTTTGTCAAGACTTACAAAATGATACCAAACTCGACTATACTTGCTATTTGACAATTTTGAGCTACCCCCTACCCCCGCTACCCCTAAGGGCAAAATTTTCAAAACTGACCATAATTATTGTAGCCCTTTTATATCCAAACAATTTGCCGCAAACCGATTTCAAATATCTCAAATAGTTAAAGAGGGAGCAAGTTAATTTTTTTGCCACCCTCATGGTTATTTGGATTTGAAACGTTTTAGGGCGCCATTTTGTTATTGGTAAGCCGATTTTGGTTTTCTTTGTGTCAATGTTTATGTTTCGTCAAGACCTGTAAAATGATACCAAACTCGACTATACTTGTCATTTGAAAATTTTGAGCTACCCCCTACCCCCGCTACCCCTATTTGCAAAATTTTCAAAATTGACCGTAATAATTGTAGCTCCTCATATCTAAGAAGCTTCCCGCAAACCTATTTCAAATATCTCAAATGGTTGAAAAGTTAAGTGTTGTTGCAAGTTACTTTTCAGCCACCCTGTATGTGCTATACTATAGCATACCGTATAGATTAAAAGAACCAAATGATCTTAAACCGTAACTGCAATGAGCATTTTACACTTATATGCCCTTACAAAGGACACCCTTCTAGTTACACTATATTTTATTTTAAGATATGTTTAACCTCAAATTATGTGGTAAAATGTTGTAAGGAATAAAATGTTATGTCCACAATATGATGAAATTAGTGGTTTATCACAAGGAGCGAAAGTGTCTTTTTGGTACTTAATTGTATTCATAAAACTCTACCGCCTGTCAAAAAGAGCTACTTTTGCTTCTAGTGATGAAAACTACTATTGAATTCCATAAAACATGGTATTTATTAGTTCAAATTGATTATAGGAAATATCAAACACTATCATTCCAATAAAAAATAAATATATTTTACCAAGCTATTACTACAATCAACACACGGCCTAACATCAAAAGATTGTAACCCAAACAGGAAAAATTGTTGAAAATATTATTTCAAACCTTAACATAACATTTTTACTTGGTATGATAAAAAAAAAACTATGGTCTCAAGTCATAATAAAAGGACACTAAAAACATTTAGGCTATCATTTTATAAGCTCAAACATAGCCTTTTTTATAGTTATATTTACTAATTATTAGTAAGTAAGCTTCATCACACAATGACTATGATAACATTTTTATGATTGCTTAGGTATTCATTCAAAAATCTTACCATAGAAATTTATAATGTTTTAATAATGTCAAGTGATTTGTTGTTTAACATTTGAACAACAATTACAAACAAATATTTTTTTATAATTATAATGTAAAAATTTTTATTAATAATGTTTTTGTTGCATTACAATATTGAAAAATTACAATATGGTAGTTTACACAACGTTTGCATAAGGATAGTTTCAACGACACAACGACCTAATTTAAGGTACGAGCCTTGGTGAGTGCCTTTACAACTTCCACAAGTGTCGTTAAGACTAAGCGTACACTACTTTACCTACAACTGTTTCTTAATTACCAAAAATCACTAGGCTACTCAGGACTCTCCATTCAGTTTATGTTTTTCCAAGAGAGTTTCAAGGACTTCCAAGGGAGTTTATGTTTTTGTTTATAAATTTTCATAGCCACTGATTGTGATACAAAGATGTATTGTATAACCACTCACTCATTGTTTATTCAATTAAATTAGTCTTAACAGCCGATAAGTTGATGTTCGAAGTATTACAATTTTACTTCTTTTCTCTCACTCCTTGAACCTCATTAGTACTTTACTCGTTTTGTAGAGTAAAACAATAAAGCTGTTAAGTAAGTAAACAATGCTGTTAAGTGAATGTTTTCAATTATAAGAACTGAACTGAAGCGGATAGTTTAAAAATACAGTCGTAGGTAAATTTAATAACGCTACCTTATTTACAGGCAGCAAAACCGATTGTAGAGATTGTTGTTGGTGATGAAAATAATTTTATTTTCAAAATCATCACTTTGTGTTTTTATGTCTAGCAAATTGGCAATATTGGAAACTAAGCTTTATGTTACTAATCATAACTTAAACTTACTCTAAACCAAACTAATCTACGACATCAGGAATGATCAGGATATTTTGTTGCACAGCCATTGTATAGAATTATGTTTTAACTACCTTTGGTAAACCTAGTAAAGACATTCCTTAACTCAGTACATTTATTGTGCTTCAAGCAAACCTTCTAAGGATATTTTGATTTGCATATACACTATACAGAATATAATAATTATTCATCCTGAGCCTTAAACAGCACAAAATTGTTTCAACAGCCATCAATTGACCAGGACCACTGATTCTCTGTTAATACAGCTTTTTCCTAACAGCTCGGAAATATTTTAGATTCAATGGTACTGACTAGATATCACCACCCAGCAGATATCGCAAGATATTTTGGTGGGAAAAGATGTTTTCTGGTCAGAGTTGAGCTGATGGCATTTTCTGAGTTTAAGAATGTTTATGCTGGGCAGTACTTCGGGCCATCCGAATGGAGACCAAATTCATCGGAGCTACTGCACACAGCTGCCCATCTGACCTCTTAAGATAACCTAAAAATTGTCTTTTGGATCACAATGGATTGAAGGGAAAGTAATTAATGTTATTTTTACATCTTTAACTCAACAAAAATAATTTGGCAAATTTTATGAATTATTATACCTATGCGTTAGTTGTGGCCATTAAATGCAGCAGTATGACAACGTTTCTCGGTTCTGTTTCTGGTATTGGTTTTTCAGAACCCAAAGCTTCACTAGCACTCTGTAGCTACCACTACAGTAATTCAGTTAACATTCGCTGTGCAGTACAGTTATGGGAGATAGTCGTCTCATTAACATTAGGCCTACTAAAAAACATAACATTGTCAATTGTCCTCCTTGTTTTATCAATCAATATCAATATCAATCATTGAGATGGGGACGACACCTAGGTGCGTATTTTAACCCAAATACGTGTGAAGGATGAGTGTAGAATAGAGTGTGATGACCTGTGTAGCTTTGTTACTGACTAAGATCAGCAGTTTCATTAGTCAGGATCATTTATTTAAAGCCCAATGATCAGGAACAGCTGGGTCCAGTTTCGAACCATCAAAAAGCTACTGACTTTAGCACAGTTAGTATCACTGTTGTATGATTGAATACCATTTGAAATACATAGCTTGGAAATCTCTGCTTGTGGAATTGAGTAGAATAATTTCTAGTACCGTAAGAGTTTACAGACCGAGGATTTGTATCATATAAATATCAATTCTGGATTTAGTTCACAACCTACTCAGAGATGACATCATTGCTAGTGTCAGTGTCAGTGCTCTGCTGACGCTCGACCAACTCCATGAGTGTAGAGCAGATCTCCTCACTGACCTCTAGTGAGTTGGGTGCCTCACTCATCACCCAGGCGTCCTCATTGCTGGCCACCTCTCTACAGATGGGACATGTCTGGTGGTTGACAGACCTACACAAATACGACATCAATCATGCATCATAACTGATGATATCACAACAATACTAATAATAGACTTAGCAGAGTGTCCCTCACCATTGTTCGATGCAAGGTCTGCAGTAAGCGTGAGCGCAAGGCAGGAGCATGTCAGGCCGTCTCTCCAGACAGATACAGCACTCAGTTGTGCTGTCAGCATCGTTGGTGGCTGCGACGTGACGTAGCACTGCTGAGGTTGTCAACTGCTTGACGTCAGCACTGCTGCTGCCAGCCTGCTGATCTGCTGCAGCCGCACACTGGCTGCTGATGGACTTGTACACCTGCACAACACAGAAATATGATTGTTTTTGTCGGTGTTGCTCAGTAGAAGACTGATCTACAGGATCACTCATGGCAACTATCTAATACTAGCTTAAAACTAACAGGAGACCCCCTTTAGACACACCTCATTAAACCTAAACTTGATTAAGACAAAATCATGGTACAGACACTCTAACAAATTTTAAAATTAGCATTTTGATACTAAATTTCAAGTGAATCAATGAATTATTAGACATAGAGAATAAATATTGTTAGATAATATTAAAAGTACAATATAATTTTATATCTTTCAGTGTCAAAAATATGACTCGGTGACCAGATCACTAGCCACCTTTGCAATGCCGAGCCCACAACATAGACTTGAGGGAGCATGGTTGTCACGCTGTGGGCGTGCCCCTCCCATCATGACAAAATTGTTAGTCTTTGAAGCCCATCAACACTAAAAATACATTTCTTCTACTTTCTTAAGTGGTTACTCTACTCACAAGTTATTTAGGCCTATACCAAGTGTTATGGCGCTGTTTAAAACACCCCAGACCTCCCGGTAGGACGGTGTCCTGGTTGTGCCCCTGAGGGTTACATGACGCTTCTGTGAGGGAGGCTAATAGAGCAGTCGACTGCTTCAATCTAGGGTGGTCCCCAACTCACCACAACACAGTATTATTTTAAGGGTAACATAGAAAATTGATGGTTCCGGGAGCAATTTACGTTTTTGTTTTGATGTCCTCAGAGGCCTAAAACACCGTCAGTTCAAACTCATTTATATATAGGCCTACAGGTGTCTGTTAGCACTACTAGGTGTACAATGCAGTTGTCTGCTTGCAATATTGAGCGGAGCCAGCATATTCAATATCAATGATTTTTTTGCATTTTAAATAGAATGCCTATTTGCAGAGGTATCCAAAGTCAATCATAAGTCAGGATTAAGTGAATGAATCGTCTACTTGCAGGAACCGTATTCTATATGTTTCATCTTGTTCTCATAAATTAAATGTCTACTTGCAGTATCCAATGCCAATGATATATTTGGTTCGCATAAATGGAATGCCTATTTACAGATTCTAAAGTCAATAGTACGTATGGTTCACGTAGACGGATTGTTTACTTGTAGTATCCAAACCCAATGGTACATGTAAATGAATAGTCTACTTGCAGTATCCTCAATAAATCAATGGTCCATTTATTTTGTTCACATAAATAAAATGCCTAATTGCAGTATACGAAGTCAATGGTAGGCTTAGGCCTACTTCTGCTTCACTTATATGGGATGTCTATGTGCAGTATTCAAAGTCAATGATACGTCGGGTTCAAGTCAACGAATTGTGTTATATTTGGTTCACATTAGTGGAATTCCTATTTGTAGACTGCAAATAGGAATTGAACATGTTCCAATCAGATAGATATTCAAAGTCTACATTAATTGCACGTCTTGCTCACATAAAATGCTGTAAGTTATTTACAGATTCCAAACGCAATATGGTGCATCAGCCTAATTCCGGCAACCCTTATTATTGGTTTAAGTCCTGTGGTCCGAATATTACCATTTCAGATTTATACCTTCCCATATGGTTGGTTACATGACTGTGCCAAATTTCCTGCAGATCGCTTAAGCCTGTCAGGTGGAGCCTGACCTGTATTTGTAAAACAAAGGCAGTGAGTGTAGTATAAGAGCTTCGCTTCACTCCGCTCAATAATTTCGATACTGCAAATGAATCATGGTAGGCCTAAGCAATACCTGTATTATTAAAAGGCAATAACGATTATTATTATATTATTATTACCCATTGTATGTAGAATTTGCTTTTCTTTATTTTTTTTCAATGTCTTCTTTCTTCATTATTAAAAAAAGAATCATTTATTTGTACAGAAGACTTATTTGCATTGAACATTCATAAAACTCACCAATTCAATTACCTCAATAACTGTTTACCAGTATTATTGTTGTGAGGGATTGGGGTTAGCCTCACTTAGTATAGGCCTATAACTTAGGTCTAGTTTTATTTTAGCAGTTAAAAGTAAGAAATTGTCGTCAACCACTTTCAAAATTTACCTATTGTGCAATAAAATTTATCAATACAACTATTTTATTGTCTAAGTTACACCATTTAGTCTTAAACCTTACCTGTAAACCACGTGGTTGTGATTTCATTTCGTAAAACGATTTTGTATTTTTAGCTACAAGAACATTTTTTACAAAGTTTCTTGCAAATCAAGGGGTGTGATTTTTGTTGGTATAATTATGTTGTAGTGTTTTTTTAATGACCTCGTTTTATCTTCTCCTTCTCCAAGCAACATAAACTTAGGCCTAATTAGTTAACTATTCATTGTTATTGTTGTTAAAAAGAACAGAACCATTTTACAATTAAATATAAACGGCATGGAGTTTAATCACTCAATATAGAACTGATTGTTAATCATTTCGTATTACATACAATATACTATAATATGCTCTTTAGTATTATCCAATTTTTTCTTTTGTACTGTATTTATCATGTGGTAGATTTGTTGACTAATGTTGAGGCTCTTGTTTACTTTTTAGTGTTTACTCGCAAATAATGACATGGCGACCAATTAACCCATAAGGCCCATGTTAAATTTCCAAAAGTTTGCATTCATGTAGGGAAAAGTCCTATGGTCCGATTTGTACCGTTTCAGATTTATACCTTCCCATGGTTGGTTACTATGACTGTGTTAAATTTCATGCAGATCGCTTCAGCCGTTCAGGAGGAGTATTTGTAATAAAAAAGCAGGAGTGTAGTATAAGAGCTTCGCTCGCTCCGCTCAATAACTTGAGCAAAAATCATCCCATTACAGTTGGTCGAAATTTGGTTAAACCGTGTATACCTTCATTTATTCAAACGAGTTTGTGAACCAGCATGATCAGACCTTAGAAACAGGGTTTTATGGAGTAAAAATTGGTTTTTCTCATTTTTGGCCCTAAAAAAAATTCTTAATTTATGTCTCAACCATTTTGTAGAGGTTAAAAAACAAGTAATTTAGTACAGTAGTCACATTTAGTCTGGACTGTACCTCCAGGAACTTTCATATTAGAAGACTCTGAAAAGGTACTTACCCTCCCAAAGAAAGAGGTATGTAAACTTGAAAGCAATTCAGATGGTTTTCAATCAGCAGAACCAGTAACGTCAGTAACTGATGATTCAATGAGTGGGCTATGGTCAGATACAAGGACAGAACCTAACTGTGTATAAAGCCAACCACTTCATCTTCACCTTTACCGGTAGTTTCATTTTATCTTCATCACCCATAAGGTGTTATAACTAAACCCATTTGACTTTTAAAAACGTACCCTTGGAAATATGAAAATTTATGTTAGTGAAGTTAAAACTATTGTACGTAATTGACGGTTTAGGTTTTTACTTTACTATGCGATTATTGTTATTTAATCAAAAGTAAACACAATATAACGAGCCTTACAGTAAGGTAACGTTGTTATATTGTAGATGCACATAGGCTACAAATTGCCAATTCAATTCATATCAATGTGGTGGGGTGGGGACGCAACGACCTCTTGCCGTCATGTGCTAACAGCGGGTCTGGAAATATAGCAACCCTATCATGCATGGAACCATTATATCTTTTCATTTTAGCGTCTAGTTACTCATCACAGTTTGTATCTAAAGAATGCAACCATGTTGCAAAAAATATTAATTAATTTAACACCGTTAAGTTATATTCCTTAATGCATTTAATATTAAATTTTAATATAATATTTTTTTATTTTAAGAATATCATTTAACCATTCTCCAACAATTCACTTCTGACTTCTATCTTTACTTTCAAAATCGAAATTGACATCCGTTTCTAAATACTTCTTGGAATCTGAAAAGAATTTTTTATTCTTGCTGTAAAATTCCTGCATTTGCTCGGATGGTAGTCTTGCTACGAGAGCCTGAACGGCCACCAAGAGTTGCAACGTTGGATTTGGATTTTTGTTAACAACATCACTCAAAATCTGTAAAGTTCTAGTAACATTCCCTTCTAACAAACATTGTTTTGCTTCAACAACACTTGTATCTTGGGCCTTGACACCAGATCCTTTGAGCATGTTAAACATTTTTATGTATTTTTAAAAATATATTTTAAATTTAATGGAAAATCTATTCACAAAAATATTTATGCCACTTCAGTAGTAGAGTAAACATTTTATAATGATGTTTTTTTAACAGCTGTTAATACATTAACTAATAATCAAGATTTCACTAGGTACATAAATAATAAACTATGTAGGCTATAAACATATATATTGGTATAATATATATTACATGTAACTGAAAATGTCAGAAGTGTTTCCTTCTACCTTTTTGATAATTGTAAAACCTAAAAAAATAATGGTGTGGAATTGTAATGAATGGAAGGTATTTAATTAACCCTCCGAGGGTCACGCGTCAAAAAATAGACGCACAACACACTTTGTGTAGGGTCACGCGTCTAGTTTAAGACGCACAAACATCGTTTACGGCGAAGGCTCTATGACTGACTGAATCGGATTGAACTGGATCGAGTTAGGTATCGTTCTTTTCATTAGATTCTAAGCTTTCTAAAGGTCTGTCTCTAAGCGCTGTTTGTTCTCTGAGCCGATCGTAATTGTTAGCAGACAGCTGACGTGCATATTAGTAAACAGGTTACTTAACCTCGGACCGATGACTGATGTGTTTTATTATGTTTATCATTGTTTTAGTGTTAAAAATCAAAAGTAGTGATATACGTGGTGCATTATAAGAAGATTTAAGTGGTTTTGAAGTGCTGGTTGATGATCCTGAAGAAGTAGGTAGTGATATTGATGTAAATTATCAGCCAGATTCCTAGCTATGGTTAGGCTATGCATTCTTAGCTAAACGCTATGTACTGAAATCCGTTTTTCGCTCATAACTTATTTATTTGATAACTTACCTCGCTATATGATTATATATTTGTAATCCTCATTAAATTTAGAACAAAGTGGCTATTTTTAAATATTTATAGGCCTATAATTTATACAATTTCATTGAGCGCGAACTTATTTTTTTTTTGAAAATTTTCGAAATTATATTTTTTTTACCTAAAAATTTTTTTTTGAAAAAATGTTCCTTATGTTTTATATATAATACTAGCTGTGTGCCCGTTCTACGCACGGGGATCTTATAGTAGTCAGTTGAAACCTTCTTATATTAAGATTAAGAACAGCAATTAGTTTGCATATTTGCAGATATGCTGGAAAAACTATTATATATAAACCTTTGCAAATACAGTATCTGACAGTTCAAGCCAAAATAAATGCTTCGCAATTAAATGTTACCCGGATCATGTTGGTCCATATGTCCAATGATTAAACTAAAAAATGTTTTATAGATCCATGAAGCGTAGCCCTAAAGTAGGCCTATAATTGAAAGTTACTTTTCACATCGGTTAACTTAAACGTATTTAAAGTACTACCTCAACCTCACCATTTAACACTTTATTCCGGTTGACATTTTCAGTATCAAAGGTGCTCTTGTCCATTCCGTGAAACACTGAGAAATAAGGACATTAATGCGTTACCTACATACAACAAAACAACACAATACAACAATCCAACAAAGGCCACGACAATATAAAGGCGTAAACAATTCATGATGGTTTGCCCAACAAATGTTTTACTCAAATAGGTTATCATTTTCTTAGCATACCGGGTAAGCTAAGATTTGGAATCCAGACAGAAAAAGCAAAACTTATACAGAGTTAAGACATCACTTAAATTGAATACGGACGGCTCTAATAAATAAGGTGCAACACCAACGATATCAAATTAGTAAACTACCGGTTCTAAGGAAAAGAACCAGTACCTACGTAAGAACCTACCTAAGAACTATAGTAAATCGGACCAATTAAATTAATTACATTAATATCTAGTCCCGAGGTTATTGATCTCTTGCTTTTGGATTTTCTCGTAAAAAGTTATAGCGTAAACTTATCGGTGTCAGTTTGAAAAAAAGCAACCTTACCCAAACAACTTTTTGTTATTTAATAGATTACGCATTCTCTAAACAATGATTAGTATATCTATTAACATTAGAAGGAAATGTGACGAAAATCACACAATGTTGGGGTTTTGGTCATTTGTAATTTTATTTTTTAAGTAAGTAGGCCATGTATTCTATGGAAAAGTACCGGTATCAAGGATCGTCGTCAAAAAGGTTGTTATGAATAAATATGTAGGCTTACGTACCCAAGATATGAGCTATGGGCCTATTGGCTGTATGGCCCATCGATTGCATCACACGGTGAGTAGAAACAGAAAGTGACACATTGGAAAAGCGAGTTTAGCACTTCCTCTGTTAAACCTCTGTTACAATCACCCACTGCAGTTGTGATTTTTTACTTTACACTTTATACACAACCGCCATTGAAGCGGAAGCGCAGTCAATGAGTGGAAACCTTTTTTGTAAGCTATTGGCGACGATCATTTCAGTGTCACAGCCCTATACAACACTGATTCAAGGTCTTCTTCTTTCTGGTTGTCAAAACTCAAGAAACATTTTATACTCAAAGAATTTCTGGTTCCGATTTGGACGATGTCTAGTTATTTAATTTCATTTACGGTTACACTATTAGACTATATTATTGCACTTGCGATTAATTAAATCCGTTATGTAAGAAAAACGTTTTTAATCTCACTTGGTTGGGATTTGCTTTCAAAACGTGATTCGAAATAGTTGCGGTATTTGTAAACAACATTTGTAAACATGTCATTGACAGCTAGAAAAAAATATCTTGATCCGAACAGCTGTTCGTTATTTCATAGACTATTATGTGATAAAAATTGAACGAAAATTTGACAAAAATCGCACAAAACTGCATTTTTGAACGTCCGTAGTTTTATTTACAAAGTAGTGAGGCTATATTTAAATCACTAAAGACACTCTCGCCAATCCAGTGAATACATTAAAATGACTTGGATTTTGATATGTACTCTGGTTTTCACGGAGAAGATTGCGTAAAATGCCATCTTGAGTGTTACAGACAAAGGGACAGACAGACAGACAGACAGACAGACAGACAGACAGAAATTGAGATAAGACTCGTTTCTGCTTCTTTAATGTATAAAACGTAAAAATAACCTAAAAGTATATAATTCTGAGCAATGTACAGACAAAACTCTAATTTTATTTATATAGATTGAAGCCCATGATTTTCCAAACAAAATGGTATATAGAACATTAGAATTAACATTGTTTTAAGCTTCTCAGATCCGTTTTAATAAAACCTTGCAAAGGGGCCAAAAATAGGTGGACATTAAGGCCTAAACTATGGACCTTTGGAGGGTTAAACTAACATTTATTTCAGTATAAAACTTGAAAAAATAATTCTGCAATAGCATCTGTATACAGCCTAAACCATCAAAGACTAGAGCAGGTTGTGACTTGTTCATTTACATGGCAATGGATACAGTAACGAAAGAAAGCTTTTTACACTCAGGTAGCAGTCTTAATTATCTGAAATTTTAACGTATGCAAGAGCAAACCTACTGTTCAACCTTTTAATGAGAGATTTTTAACACCCATCATGCTACAATAGTTTTTTCCCGAATCTTGCCAAAAAAGTCCCTTGTTTTGCTGTTTGGCATTAAAGCAGTGGTAGATAGCAAACATAATATGACCTCGGTATCAACCCATCCAAAACAGTATATCTTCATTTGAGCCGTGGACACAAGCAATTTCCAGATATACGGGTTGTCAACCCAGCATCAGAAGCCAAGCTGCTTAGAATCACCATAGATTTTGACCTTTCATGGAAGGCCCACATAAATAGCCTTATCAAGAGCCTGAGGACTGGTGCGTATGTTTTTTGACGCACGAAATGGATTTTTTAACTGCAAAACCAGCTTATTTTTCACTGATGGAATCTCATATCAGATAGTGTCTTGCAATATGGGGAGTAAACTCTGAAGAAAACCTTACCCGGATTCTTATACTAAAAAAGGCCATCAGAATCCTTGCCAACCTGTACTTCGGAGACAGCTGCCAGGAAGCTTTCAAAACCTATGACAGTGTTGGGACTGTGACAGTAGTGGCACTGAATATCCAGTCTGTGATACTCTATGCTGATGGAGAGCAATTTTTAAGAGCTGAAGAATTCCATTCCTACAGACAAAACAAGGCAGGCCACTGTTTGCCCAATCACCGAACGACTCAGCTTGAAGCCTTTGTACGCATATCGTAGATTATGCAACAATCTACCTAAAACAATGAAGACTCTACGAGGTGAAGATCTTAAGTCGGCTCTACACAAGTGGCTGCTTCTGAGACCATTTTGGTATTTTATACCATCGGGGAATATTATGAAGAAACAAAGAAGAACACATGAACTCATTACTTATTTGTAACGTTGACTCATTTACTGTTCCTGAAGATCAATACTTAATTGGAAATAAAGAAAAACTATGACTATGGATAATATGCTGTATACAGTCCTATAGTCTGTTTACAAAATTTAGGCGGTTAGAGGGGAAGTTTCCCCACTACTTTTTTTCTAATATATAAGGTGTATGATCAATGTTTTGGCAAACCTCAGCTGTTGAGCTATTGTTTTAAAGGTAGGTTCAAGTGGTGGGGATAGATTTCTTCCCCTAAAGCCGCCTAAAGTTTGTGAACGGAGTATAGTTTGAAATACCAGTAGTTCACTGATTCATCATCAGACGTCACTACCTACCGGGTTGAATTGTGATGAGCAGGTCTTGTCAAACCATAGCAGTGTCTCTTTTGTCAATCTTCCGTAAAGGGTTGATATTTTTAAGCTACTTTTAAAGGAATTTGAAAATAATCGTAAAACCTCTACTGCAACCACCATAAAACAACTAAAACACATAAAACATGGGTCACCTAGTAATACTCCTGTGGAATAATCCACAATAACTAGAGAGTAACTAATTTACTAAATCCTGAATAGACTTACTTTTAAAAACTGATTGAGGTTCATAAGACGGTAGGTTTCCACTTTGCTGGTGGTGGGGTCGACCTTGGCACAAGCTATTCTGACAATCCCTTTCCACAGTACTGTTGAGTCAGATCCTTCCTTGACAGCAAACACCAGCTGTTTACCTTCAGAGTCCGTCCACTTCTGACACCTATATAACAATAAAGTGGGCTGAAATTGACAGTAGCCTACAGTACATCCAACAATTAAAAAACCTCATTGTAGTTGTTAGCCTCCGGATTGCCAAATAATATTAGAAAAGGTTTAAATACCTGCTATTAAGGAATCCAATTTTGTTGTTAGCACAACTAGTTTCGGTGTCTGTGTGACACCATCATCAGGCTGCACAAGGACAGTTTTCTTTCTTCATACGAAGAGCGTCATATTTACATGAAAATAAATAAACATTTAAATTAAACACAACACAAACACGATTACGAGACATTTATGGTAACTGATCAGTTAAGAAAACAGACGACGCAAACAAACTCCGGGTTAGCGTCGTCTGTTTTCTTAACTGATCAGTTACCATAAATGTATCGTAATCGTGTTTGTGTCGTGTTTAAATGTTTGTTTATTTTGGTTTAAATGTGACGATGGGCAGCCTGATGATGGTGTTACACAGACACCGAAACTAGTTGTGCTAACAACAAAATTGGATTGCTTAATAGCAGGTATTGAAACATTTTCTAATAAAAAACCTCTGTCAAAGAAAATCTTCACTTCTGGTTTCAACATATCATCAAAGGAAAATTAAATTACTTTAACTATTTAAGAAAAGTATTAGGAAAATACTTCTTATTAGGTTACAGGTGCCCCCCATTTTCCTAGGGAATATTTATCAAACCATAAAATAGGCCTATTTTTGATATATAGAACTTTTACTGGCTTCTTCTATGAATAAAGAACGCATTATAAACAATAGAACAATATATTTAGATTTCGCCCCCTCCCTTTCAATCCTAATCGCCGCCACCGTTAGGTTCTACCATCAGGCTGTCAGGGGGTAAGTAAGTAGTTTGATTAAGTTTTGCACTGATGGTTATGTTAAGATTTTTATAACTTGTTTTAGGTTTCAATTTGGCGTTAGGGTAATCTCATTTCATTATGTCATTTCATGTAATAGCAGTAGGCTAAATACAAACTGTTCAGTGCCAATGGTTTTAATTCCATAGACTGGACTGACCGGAATAAGTCCAACTAGCCTCTTTATCTCTATGTTCACAGCCGGTCATTCTTATCTCTGCAGTCCACTTATATAAAAGTTCCTCGGTGACCATCAGTTGCTACTCATTTCCCATTTGATTTTTAAGTTTACTAGAGGTTGCCCAGTGGTCGAAAACTCGACCGAAAATATATTTTATGTAATGTAGGCATACAGACATCTCTATTTTCACTACACACTGAAAAATAAAACATTTTATTGGATTTTATTTAATTTGTTTTGATTTTCTGTTTATATTTCGTTGTTGTTTGTCACCAGCATGGCAACACATTAGGCCCAAGTAAATTTTTTCAAATTTAAAATTAATTTTTTTCCTTATTTTTGAGCCCATTTTAATTTATAAAGGGATTCTGCGGACCGGGGCCACTACATATGTTAGGCTACTGTCCGACTGCCTGGCTATTGTCCTTGTACTGGCTCGAGATACATTCCGCACTCGCCACATTTCTCTCGTGTGCAGCAAAGTGCCACTTTGCTCACTAGTTACACAAATAACTATTTTAAATGGAGATTCTGAGATGAAGAATAAATAAAATTCCTTCAATTACTCACAGCTCATTTAACTCTTTGATATATTCCAGGAATTCTTCATAGGTGAGCGTAGCTACTTCCGACAAATGCCTTGCTTGACGGAAAATATCATCAGGCAGATTGTCAACAGCATCAAGATCACTACTAATACTTTGACCCATCACATCTGAAAATCAAAACAAAAACTTTAAGGAAAATATAACGACTAAAGTTCCTAGTTGTCAATTTCATAGCTTTCTTAGAAAACAAAAAGTTAAATATTTGTAAGAAATTTCATTGACACGTAAATTAGGGTGAAACATCTAGTGGAACGGCTAGGCTAGAGTGTAGCCGTGAGTGAAGCTAAGAGGTTTTTTTCACCCACCATCATAGGGGCGCTTGAGGTGCATATAGTAGTGGTGACGTTAGCAAGTCAAATGCTGGATTAACTTACAGTAGGTACTTGTGAATAAACATTAAACCTGATTCATCTTAATGAGAAGGTGAAATGTACTAATTTTTAAAAGAAGAAAATTAATGTTAAAAATAGTAAAATAAGTAAGCTAAACCCTTGGGGTGAAATATTTTATGCGGAGAGGATAGCAAGTCAGTGCGGATACCAGCTAAGTTACACTCCCCACTTCACTATGTTTAGGCGCACCTACGTACATGGATTGTTTAAAACCCACTCAGCTACGCTCCCTGCAACGCTTTAAGTTAGCCTCGTCACCACTATGTTTTTACCCTTAGAAATAGAATGGCTCCCAGGACGTAAACATCCCTTCTACAACACTGAAGGTTAGGATAATTAAGGATTTTGTTTAGAAATGTATAATAGGCTATTAACATTTTGTCTGGCACACAGCCATATAACAATGAAAATGAAAACTTCTTTTTGAAAGATGTCTAAGTTTAACACCAAATGGAACATGATAACTTAGCCTTTGATGTTATGTACAGTTAACTTGTTGTACACATCAATAATCTTCGAGTCCGGTAATTATAATGTAGAGTTGAAATGAAATTAAATGAAATGTCTTTATTGCTTTTAACATCATATAACATGCATTGCAATCGTCAATATACCTAAAATACTTAGTTAGAATTTTTAGATAAAATAATTTTACTTAGCGTTATACTGAACCCAAATTATAGAGAAAATACCTGACAATTCTGCACTCGACCCGTGACCACTAAAGCGAAAATGATAATACCAAGTAGTTATGTAGATTATCACTTTACAATCACAATCAAGATCCGGCAGACGATGCAATGCAATAGAACGACATGTCAAACAGCAAACAGCTGTGTATGATGTTTATTATCTAAGCTGTTTATTGGCTAGAATTTTTTTTCAGTCGTCTGCTAAGTTTTGCCTTTGGGTGAAGGGGAAGGAGAAAATGGCTGCGGTTGTGGTACTTCAGAGCGGATTTCAAGCTGCAAGTGCGTAATTTACCTATAATAATTCATATTTTCAGTCTTGGATGATCTAAGTATAATCTAGGCTATTCGTGACGCTATCTTCAACACTTTTCCAAGCAATTTATAATCTTTTATTCGAGTCGACCTAATCTATCTCCTAATTAAATTATAGGTTAAGTTATAATTTTTTATTGGTAAGGCCTATGCTTGGCATAAGTCTTTACTCGAGTATATATCAATTGTAACCATAAATAATTTTTTTTTAAGTTCTATAAAACGTTATTAATCTGGTTTTTAGGTTCAAAACTATTTATTTTTATTCCATTTACATTGGCTAGGCCTAACAAATAGGCTAGACTATTTTTGAAATAACTTCCAAGACCTAGGCTTTGTCTAGTCTGGATTTCCTTCCTAAAAGGAGCAACTTAAAGATTGCAATCTGTAAGCATCCATATCAAATAATCAGATAATTTTTTTAACTTAAGTTAGTCTAAAACAATCCATAACTTATTCGTTCATATAGAGTAAGTTAAATTAAAAACTTAAGTTAAGTAGGCCCTTGATGTTACCGGTAGTTCATATTAATTCACATTCACATTGGCTACATTTAGGCTGTATGCTAGTTGTTTTTAAACTATAGGTTTAGACCGTTCCTTTAAAAGAAAAAGGGGTAATTCTGAGCAATTACTTGGTCAACCCCAATTTTTTTCGTATTTTACTACGGTCATCAGGAGGTTCTCAGAAAGCAAGAAACATATAATTCAAGCCCCGCAAGGTTAGGTTAGGTTAGTTAGGTTAGGTTAGGTTAGGTTAAGTTAGGTTATTAATTAACCTAACCCAACGTAACGGTACTGTTACAATTGGCCTTAGAGATGTATTTGAGACAAAAAAAAACATAATAAGTTAGGTTAGGTTAAGTTAGGTTATTAATTACCTCAGTAAACTAGCCATAGCCATAACGGTACTGTCACAACTGGCCTTCCGCGCGTCTCCCGCAAGCCACTGTTATCGCTTGGACTTTGAACCTTCTTATCGCTCGGCAACCTGTACGATGGCCTTGCGGGCCTTGAATTATATGTTTCTTGCTTTCTGAGAACCTCCTGATGACCGTAGTAAAATATGAAAAAAATTGGGGTTGACCAAGTAATTGCTCAGAATTACCGAAAAAGGCCAATAAGATAGCACCAGTGGACAGGCCACCAATAAAAATAACCTACGGTACGGTAAGTTAAGTTAATTAAGTTAAAATAAAAAGAAATTACGCATACGCTAATTGTTTAAAGAACTACAGTAACTTAATTCTTTAATTAGCTGTAATCCCCCTCATAAGTTACCTCTTTTAAACATATCCATTTACATTATTTGAATCTTTATGTTGATAGGCCTACCTTGTCAAATTAGCCATTTAAGTTTACCAGTAGACTGGAATGGGCCTGGGTTATACTTGTACTTCACACTATAAAAAGAACATAACTTAAGCATAACTTAATGGTAGATAACTTAAATATTAACTTATTAAACAATTTTCCAAACCAGAAATATGCAAATATAACTTAATTTAGGCCTAGGCTTAGTTAATTTAGCCTGTTTTAGCTTCAAATATGCCCGTACTTTGGTAATATTATCTGCAGCCCACCCTTATACAGTGCACTGTGATGGTTATGTAAGGTTGGGTTATCATAAATATGTTTGTAGGACTTACCTCGTTTCATTTTAAATCAAACAATACCAGATGAAATCAAACAATACCAGATGAATCAGACTTTCTCCCGCCAAATCCCCTCCAAGTATGCCAAGGTGAGGTTGTTGACCGGATTGCGTGCATCACGTGACACCGCCTATATCTGGTGAGGCAGCTAGAGGCGGAGACGCATTCAACTCAATCCTCGCCGACATTGCTGGCTTCTGGGAGGCAGATCTCAAAGGCCACTAATTGTAATCATGTCAAATTTGGACAGTAAGTCAATTAGGATGTATATTCTTTCCATTCATGATAATCCAACCTAAGATAATCGCCGCAGCACACTGTACAAAGGGGGCCTCCGAATAATACCAAAGTACCAATATGCCTCTATATTATTGTGTTTTGATTTCAGAAAGCAGTGCATTGCCTGCATTTGCAGCTGGAATACAGAATGCCTCCTATAGTACAGATGCAGACATTCACCCAATCAAAAATCCAAGTTTGTCGGCTCTCAAGAAGGGAACTGGGGGCCGGAGCAGTTTCAGTGGCACTGTCGCCACTGTTTTTGGAGCTGGAGGTTTCTTGGGGCGTTATGTCTGCAATAAATTGGGAAAAATAGGAAGCCAGGTAATATCATAATTACCATACCTGTGATGGTAGTTATACCCACTCTATGTAGGATGGGATAGTTAGGTTTAGCCTTCTTTTTTTGACTAACCATCAAATACTGTCCACCTTAACATTATGAGTCGAGACTATTTATATTTTTTTCTGCTAATGTATTGACCACTATTTGAGTAAAAAAGATTACCTATTGAATGTGCCAATAACTATTTTCAATGTTATTACAAACTAGCAGAGAACCTGTTGTTGCTTGGGTCTAAATACTATGTACAATAAAAACACATTTTAAAGGAACAATGTATCAACGTTTATTTTCATTAAACATGTTTAGAGTCCCTTCATATTAGCTGGAGTGTTGGTGTAGGTCTCACGTTCACAGACTGAGCAGGTTTGGATTTTCCTTGTTTGTATCTCTCTTTCCATGTCGTTCAATTGTCGTCATTACAAGTCTTGCAAAATTCATTGTCCGTCTCCTTGGTTTAATTTATCTTGACAAATTATGGTTTTTTTCAATGGTTAGATTCAAGTCCTTGATCAAGATGTCAATCCTCCTTTATCTTATCAATCCTCCATTTGTGATCTGTTTCAATCGTTGTTCAGCAGCCTCTTGTTTCTTATATTCAGCTTTTTCTCGATCCTCTACAGTTCCAAGTAATGACTCCATAGATCATCTAGCGGCTCACCAATTTTATGCTCATTTTACAGGTAGCTTTAAGGCATGGCTTGTTAAATAGTCTGCAGGTTTGCTGCGGCGGGGGTATTTACCCTTACTGGGTATTTCTTTCGGTTCTTGTTCTTGTTTTACGTTGCCATACCCCCGCACTTGTCCCTGCTCTTTTACCCCCCGGCTGCTTGAGGGGGAGGGTGGCCGTGAAACGCTACTGCCCCACCTAACACAGGAGGAGCAGCAGCAGGAGGAGGAGGAGGTCCCAAGACTTGGTCCAACAGCCAACTAACTGCCAACCCAACACCTACACCTACCGCAATAGAAAGTACATGAGTCATTGTAATTACTTACGTATGGAAAAGAGAATAGAATTAGTAAAAGAAATTAGCTTGTGTTGGCAATTCTCACTGAAATAATGAAAATGAGCCGTCTCTATGGATACTTAATTTATTGTTATAGTTTGGCTAGAGGATAAATGACAATATTTAATAATCTCACTTTTTTCATGATTAATAATAATTTCCTACTCAAACTGGCATTTAATAGCTCAAAAACATTATTGCTAGCCTTTAATCTTCAAGTCTCTGGTTTGATTCTAAGTGAGATCTTTACCAGACCCAGATGCCATTTATCTATGCTAACATATATTTAATTTATTTTAGGAGCAAAACTCTATTGCGTACAGCTTATTTTTGTGATATTCTCCTCGGTTTAATTAAAATAGTCTTCATTCTCACAATCACTCTTTTTTTCTAAATGTAAAAAGGATGATTCTGAAAATACTATAAAGTTCTTCTGTTACATTTTGACAACTCTGGTTCGATATCAGATATCACAATTCTTCTCTCAATTTCCAAAGTTGTTCTAATAAAAAAATAAGATTGCTACATGGCACATTTGTCCAAAGTATACATAACTTTTTAATAGGGTTGGACGAGACTGGATTTTAAGTTTGAGATGAAATTCTATTTTCTCATCATAAATCGAGACGAGATCGAGACAAGATTATCAATTAATCAATTTGTTTATTGAACAAAAATTGGATACATGCATGTTATAGATCTGTATGGATCTTATTACTATTATTCAATTAATTATTCAATTAAAAGTTTTAAAATGGTTAATAAATAACAATAAAACTATAATAAAACAAAAACTAAAGTGCAATAACTAATAATTTATTACAAAGGTCGATACAAAAAGAGTGTACAAAATAACAAAAGCTTACAGGAACTTAAATAGTTATGAAAATCTTAAAAAATAAAAAATAAAATGAAAACAAGACATATTTGATTTTAATACTGCAACATGCACATCACAACCAACTATCTCACAACAGTCACAGTCTATAAGATGACAGAATTGTAGTACAGCACTAAAATTATCCAATATCCGGTATTCATTTATCCGCGATTCTGGTTTATCCACAAAGGTTAGGGACTGCTTTAATCTAAATAATAAAGTTTTTATAGGCTAAATGGCTAAATCAACTAAATTTAAAGCCAAAAAGAACTACTGTATGAGATGGTGCATTGTAGTAAATAGCCGATTATTACTTGGTATTTGGGAAACAATTTAACCCTCCAAGTGTCCCTTGTTTTGGCCTTAATGTCTGCCTATTTTTTGCTCATTTGCAAGGTTTTATTAAAACGGATCTGAGAAGCTTGAAAACAATGTTAATTATACTGTTCTATATACCATTTTGTTTGGAAAATCATGGGCTTCAATATTACACATAAAACATAAGGAACATTTGTTTCAAAAAATTTTTTTAGGTAAAAAAAAAATATTTTGGAAAATCTTCAAAAAAAAAAAAGTTTGCGCTCAATGAAATTGTATAAATTATAGGCCTATAAATATTTGAAAATAGCCACTTTGTTCTAAATTTTATGAGGATTACAAATATATAATAATATAAGGAAGTAGATTTGCAAATAAATAAGTTATGGGCAAAAAACAGATTTCAGTACATAGCGTTTAGCTAAGAATGCATACCCTAACAATAGCTAGGAATCTGGCTGATAATTTACATCAATATCACTACCTACTTCTTCAGGATCATCAACCAGCCCTTCAAAATCACTTAAATCTTCTTATAATGCACCACTTATATCACTACTTTTGATTTTTAATGCTAAAACAATGATAAACGTAATAAAACACATCAGTCATCGGTGCGAGGTTAACCAAGCTGTTTACAAATACGCACGTCAGCTGTCTGCTACAATATTTTCGGAACTAAAATGAAAAGCACTTAGAGACAGACCTCCGGAGAAAGCTCTGAATCTGTCAAATAAAACGATACCTAACTCGATCCAGTTCAATCCGATTTTGTCAGTCATAGAGCCTTCGCCGTAAACAGTGTTTGTGAGTCGATGCATCGACACAAAACACTACACAAAGTATGTTATGTGTCGAAGCATCGACAAATAACACTCGGAGGGTTAAAATAAACAACTTTTGTGCAAAACATTAATATACTCCCGCCACAGCAAACCTGCAGACTAAGCAAATATCCATATGCCTGATTGGATTTTCAATTAAATCTATTAAATAACATTAGGTTAAACAAGTACCTAGGTTTGCTGCCACAGGGAGGGTAATGAAGTGGGGGTTTCATTTAAAAATATCAATATCTTAGTATAAAATAAATCAATTTGCCAAGTCTGATCAAAGTAAATCCATAAACAAGCAAACTATAACAGTTTACTTATTCTCCATGAAATTGAATAACATGGGAATTTTAAAATTAAGATTTTTTATTATTTCCGTAACCAACAACTGTACAAAAACACTATATACAGCACTAAATTATTTGTTTTCAAGCTCTTTAAAATGATCTAGAGAAGTTGGGAAGTTTTATGTTTTGGGGGTTCGCAAACTTATTCAAGTTTATACTGCCCTACATCTTCAAACCAAATTTGATAAAAATCTAACAAAATATTCCTCAAGCTATCACATTCACGGACATATTTATATACAGTAAATCTATATGTATAAATATTTATAAAAAAACAAAAAGAAAAACAGAAAAAATACTTTATATGTCTCCCATTACTTACTTACATTGGTTACTTTGATTGATAAACCATTACGAAAAACATTTGACAAGTCAAAATTCAAAATTAGTTACAACAAGAAAAAACTCCTTTAGAATAAAACAAAAAATGCCCAACAATAATCGGCAACCAATGAACAAATATGAAAAATCAGGAATATACCCAATCAACTGCAAAGATTGCTCTAAATTTTATATTGGACAAAAAGGAAGGTTAATTTCTTGCCACTTCAAAGCATATAATCAGTAAAAGTGTATTTAACAGTGTTTAGTCTTAAATTTGTTTGCACTGGAAGCCTTTTTCAGAACAATATAGGTACTTGAAAAATTTCCCACTGGCTAACCTCATACTTACTTCATCATAACATTCATACTTTTGTACTTCCTGGTTCCCCACACAATTTTCAGATTTGGGAAAATTTTTCAGCCTTAGTGTTTGATCTACAAAATAATCAAATTCAAACTCAAGCTCACCTATTTGTATCACCAGTCAAAAGTAATTCTAGAGCTTCAGTATAAGTTTGGATCGGTGTCAAACTCAAATTGTGCCACTCCATAAGTTTGTCTCCGTTCTCTCGCAGAGCAATCTTCTTTTTCCTTGAAGATAAAAGAAACACTATAACTAATTCACCATAACCAAAGTCTTATTTCAAATCAGAAGTCTTTGTTTATCATTGATCAATGGCTGTGTGAAACAATAGTAAACCCTAATTTATGGTATATATACCTAATTTATAGTCCCGAAGGCGAGATTGGAACCCAGGACGAAAATGAAAAATGTTTACTAAAAAATGGCGAAATGTTTGAAACACCATACAACAAGTCTATCTCGCCCGACAGCTATAATACTTCGATGAGGTACAACTAACTGTCGTTACTACAGTTTCGGCTTTTTCCATATGGGTGGCAGCACGTACTTGGTCATCACTTTTTGTGTCTACAATAAACTGCATTAATGTTGTCACACAACGCAGTTTTGACTTTCCCCGATAAGTAACAGCACGTGCTGGGTAAACAAAATAAAATTAAAAAATTAAAATTAGTTTTTAAAAAAAATTTAAAAATTTAAAAGTTTAGTTTTGGATTAAGCGGACTTTTGTATTACCAAAGTTCGGATTATGGGGACTCCACTGTATTAGTCGCTAATAGTAAAAAAAATACACATAAAACAATCATAACTCTTCCAATACACATTTAAAGTCTTGTACAATTCAAACTACAATTTAAAATGATCAATATATATTAGAATAGGTGTGAGTTTTTCATAGTTTCATAGTTTTTCATAGTTTCAAAGTTTCATAGTTTTTCATAGACTCACACCTATTCTCTGGCAATTAGCCCTTTCTCTCCAATATATTATAGAGGTATGGTTTAAAGGATAGGAGTTCTAATTACACAATCAACTACACGTATATTTCATTAGCACAACCTTTACAATCTACTAACAATGGGTTTTTAAATATTACAGTTTTGTTAATCTGTCTTATGTAGTTCTTTGAAGACAATTATCCTGCGGTTAGGTTACGGAGTGTTGGTCATGATCACATTATGAGATCGTGATTGCACAAAGGTCTGCCGAAACCAAAATATAAGTGAAAATATGTATAAAATATGCCTAGGCCTTGTTTATGAAAAAGTCTATTTGATTGATTACCATGCATGCTCCTGTTCTCACTCATAGAACAAACAATTTTTATGTTTTGTACTACAATCTTGACCAATAGGTCTCTTTATTTTTAGGTTGATTAAAGATTCTTAGTTAGGTTATTATTTAGGTAATAATTTTAAACAATTGCTCATTTGATGTCTCTAAACACGGGGCGAGTTTACAAGCTAAACGCCGGCTTTTTTACACGCAGCTAGTAAAATAGCTCAGTGTGAACGACGTACTCGCTCAAAAGCTGCTTGTAAAAAAGCTCTGGAAAAAGTTGACGCTGCCGCTACTTTCCACGCCAACTCACCAGCTTTTGAGCGAGTAGGCGTGTATAGTAGCCCAGTGTGAACACAGTTGCTTGTGTTTGTGCGCATGTTATTCAAAGATGTCGGAGGATTTGGTTCAAGCCAGCTACTGAGCGAGTGGAAAAAGCATCGTGTGAACAACTACAAGCGCACTCGCTGACTCGCCGACGTCTTTCTACACATCTGCGGGTTGGCGAGTGGACAATCACTGTGTGAACGAATACAAGCACACTCGCTAACTCGCCGGCTTCTTACATGCTGGTGAGTAGCTTGTAAACTCGCACCGTGTGAACGAGGCTTAATTTGGATTACATACTGACAATTATTTGCTAGTGTATTTTGCAAATTCAGAGAAATTAAATGCATGCAATTAATTTAGTTTAAAAAAAATAAATAAATAACAATTTATAGAGTATTTAAGTTAGTTTTATAGTTTTCTAAGCACCAGTAATGTAGTAAGACTTTTAAGACCATGAATATTGTTCTAGATCATCATCCCTTACAGAGGAGATCAGTATGATATTCTGAGGCTCAGGCTCACCGGAGATCTGGGACAGGTTCTCTTTCAGGTAAATCTTATTACACCTTTATATTTCATCCCTACACATGCATAGTGTTGATAATTGATATGGTTAAAAAGGCAATACAAGTAACCTCTTAATAGGAAAATAAGAGTAGCTTTAATTAAGTTATTGAAATCGTCAGTAATTTTAACCAGGACTCATCTGTTAGCATTTTACACTAGCATTGACTTATTCTTCAGTTTCAATGGCCGTTTAGAAAGAACCTCCAGTCAGTTATTTTATAAATAGCTGTGTCAATACACTGTTAGAATAATAGGATATCTTTTAAAACTACATCTTCTCTTAATTCTTCCATGTTATTGCCATACACATTTAAACTCTTATAATATCTTTTAAGTTTTTACAAATGAAATTCCATCGTCATACAATTCTGCCCCATTTAAATATAGGTTAGTAAACATTTCAAAACTAGGTCTTTCCCGAATTTAAATCTTATGCTTTTATCACATTTCTTATATAGGGCTATTGTGAATATCTATAGGACTAATAAGCTATTACAATAGGTCTCATGGTCTGGTCAGACCTAGCCCCAGACCAAAGTTAACTCTTTTGTTTTCAGGTCCTTAAAGGCCTAAACACAATCCGTTCAAATCAATAATATACATTCATATCTATTGTATGTGTATATATATGTGTGTCCGTTAGCCTCTTAACAGTTAAAATGATCCGATTTTGATGAAATTTGGTTCAAAAGTGTAAAACTAAGTTAAGCAATTGGTGGTTTTATGGGGTAAAAATCTTAACACATTTTAGCGAATTTCCCTATAGGGAAGTAGCTATTACCGTAGGTCTCATGGTAAGACCTAAGCCCGGGACCGATTTACTTTTTCATTTTGATGTCCCCAGAGGCCAAAAACACCATTCGTTCAAATTTTTATTTATCTATATATATATATATATATATATATATATATATATGTCCATCCGCACGATAACTTGAATAATTTTTGTCGGATTTTGATAAAATTTGGTTTGAAGGTGTAAGGCGGGATAAACTTGAATGAGTTCGCGAACCAGCATGATCGGACTATGGGAACGGGGGTTTATGGGGGGGTTTTATGGGGTAAAAATAGGTTTTTCCCATTTTTGACCCTAAAAACAGAAAATTTTACAATTTCTTGTTAAACCATTTTGTAGAGCATAAAAAAACAAATAATTTAGTATATTGAAGCGTTATTATGCGCCTAATTGTTACGGAGAAAATTCAAAAAAATTGTAATTTTAAAATTTTCATGTTATTCTTATGGAGAATAAGTCAACTGTTGAAGTTTGCTTGTTTATGAACATATTTTGATCAAATTTGGAAAATACAATAATTTCTTCCTACTAAACCACAGCACCTTTTAACATTTTACATAAAAAAAACTTTTACCCTCCCTGTTGCAGCAAACCTAAGTACTCATTAAACTAATTCTGTTTAAATAGGGAATAAATGTGATATTTTTAAGAAGACAATTTAGTTTAAATCCAATCAGGCAAATGGAAATTCGCTAAGTCTGCAGGTTTGCTGCGGCGGGGGTATTTAACTAAAATAACAATCAATTTATGTTCTAAAAAATTGTTTTGAACTACAAACAAAACTAGTTGTAGCGAAGTTGTACTTCGCTATTTCGCTATTTCTGTTCATATACAAATCATCCAACTCTAGTGCCTAATACTGGGTTTCAATATTATCTTTTTTCCTTTGTATGTGCAAAGTATCAATAATATCTTACCTTTTTAGGTGGTGTACATTCATTAACACCTCTTTTCCTAACATTAATATTTATTCTTGTACCAACAGCCATTTCATGCTAACGATGAAGAGTCACTCTACAAAGCTATGAAGTACTCTAACGTCGTCATTAATCTAATTGGACGAGATTGGGAGACCAAAAACTTCACGTTCCACGACGTCAACGTCAAAATCCCACAAAGAATTGCAAGGATTGCCAAAGAGAGCGGTGTTGACAAATTCATCCATGTCTCTCACTTAAATGCTGCTGAGAAGCCAGAGGTAAAAGAATAGGAAGGTGTAACTTATATATTATAGGAATAATCAGTACTGTACCATAATTTGAAAACTAATATAAGCTAAATAACATGTTTAGTGATACTGTATGATAACTGTTCAAACTTGGTAAAAATTTTATATTTTCAAATTTAAAAACCCTTCAGAAGACGTTTATGTCTATATGAATCCTATTTCCCTAGCTTCTTTCATAAACGTCTCAATTGTTTCCTTGCCTCTCATCAAATTTTATTCTCTCATCTCTAGACCTTTCCTATCCAAGACTTCTTCCTGTTCTCTCCTATTTGCCTCCTGAAGTACAATTCATCTCTAAGTGACTCGAGTTCTCTATTTTTCCGCAGCTGCAGTCCTCTTCCAGCAAGTTAAATTTCCACAAATTCGACTTGAAATTTTCCATGTCCTGTAACAAACTGCGTTCAATATTGGCCAATTATGGCCCATCTCCCAATCTTGTTCTAGTCTCATTCTGATGTTTGGCATATATCCGAACGTTTCCCTCTCTTTCTAAATCTGCTCCCAGCCAATTTGCCACTCATCTAATGTCTCCTCTCCTCTGGCTCTCTTGCTTTCCAAGATAGTCCTACCCACCTCCTTAGTCTAGTAGAGGGGAGACTCTGCGACTGGGAAAGCTGGTGTTGATGTGCTCTTCAGTTTTCGTGAAGTTTTAGTGGGTTTTTTTTTAACTATTAAAGTAGTGTTTTGTACCAAATTATAGTATTTTTTAATGTGCTTAAATGTATGTGAGTCATTTGAAAAGATTTGATCCACACAATAAAAAATAAAGGATTTTAGCAAAAATATTTCCTGGAAGAACAGGTATATTCAGTAGTGACACAGATAAGGAGGGATCAGAAATAAGCAGGTTTGACCTCTGGACTGTAGATGAGTGAAAATTTAAAAACGTACGTTTTCATGTCCCTGGCCTTTTACTTCGTAGATACTGGATTTGTAGTTTATTAATATGTGTTTTAATATTTTTTGGGACGGGGGCAACATGTTACACACATTTATTTGGTTTTAAATAGGTTCTAGGTATTTTTTTCGTATTTTTAAAGTCTCGAAATTCACGACCATGACGTGTCCCTAGGGTACATTTTCCAACTTTCACACTATTTTTAGAATAATTATTCATGCCGAAATATATAAAGCCATATTTTTATGTCATCAATGGTTATTAAACTTACAAAAAAGGAGCATATTATAATTTTATTGTCATTGCAAACTGACTACCATGACAAAATAAGTCTGTCCCTCGATTTGGCGTCACGACCATTTGGGAAAAATTTTCAACTTTGGGGCACGACAGTGGCAAGCCTGGCGTCGATGGAGTCAGTTGGTTTTAGAGACTAGTTCGGGGCGTACGTCAAGATTGTATTGCCGGTCGTTTCGAGTTGAAAGGAGGAATTACAAGATTAATAAAGGAAAGATTGTGTTTTTTGTAATTTTGGTGTGTCCATGACCGTACGTAGTCATTCAATGAAGTAGACATGGTGTTATTTTTTGTTTATAAGATATTTCAATTGCTAGATTAACCTAGAAGTCCACTTTGTATCCTCGAACATGAGGTGCAGGGCTACCGCCAGAACAGAGCCAAATAACACGTAATTTCACGACCAAAGTTTCACGACCATCGCGGTTTTTTTTCACGACCAATCCAGCCTTATGGATTATAGTGTGTTTGGTCGTGACAATAACTTTAATATAATTGTAAATTGAACAGTTTAGTTCAATTGAAACACATAATTTTATTATATCTAACAGTATAATTGAAGGATTGTTTAGAAAGATTTAGATTAATCCAGACAATTCACGACCGTACCGCTTGTCCCTGACCATCACGTTTATGATTTCTATCATAAAAAATTCAAAAATTAAAATATCGTCATATTTTAATGTTTTATACACAAAAGAAGCACACCTCTATACAAACATAACGATTTTTCGGGTCTCTGGTAAGTTTTTTCGGAGTTATACAAACTTAAAAAGATTTTATTGGCTTTTTTCAATTTTTCGAGTTTTTTTCTTTTTTTCTAGAAAGACCAAATATACCAAAAGCTCAGTGACCTTTTTATTGTATAATGGTCATAAAAGTAAATTAGTTTATAGCAAAACATAGTTATAAAAATAATATTAACTATTTTTAATATTCATTTAAACGTCCGTTATGGTCGTGACAGAATTTTGTGTTTTTCCACTAAAGATGCTCTTTAAAAAAAAAACTACCAAAGATATTGCGTTACCATGGACATTTTATAAAACTTCAAATGTTAATAAAATAAAAAAATAATAAAAGTTTTGAAAAAAGGGGAAAAAAATTTGCAAAGTGCTTTTCCTGAAAACGTACGTTTTTAAATTTTCACTCAGATAACAAATTGGGATCTGCTCAAACTTATCACTAATGTCATTAGCACTGTGTTTACAAACAAACTCCTCATTAATTAAGTTGACTACAGTCGGGACCTTGAGAGTCTGCAGTTAGCTGCAGCCAATCACAAGACAAGGCTATTGCGAAGTTGCCATATCGCCCGTTGACGACACTAATTAAAATACTAAACAATATTTTCAAATCAGCTGGTAATATAAGATTTGGCAAAACCGCACTGTCCTCATTGGCTCCTTCGAAGTCACGTGGTAAATAGGCTCCTCCCTCTCGTGGTCCCGACTGTAAATAGCCATTAGGGACTGTTTAACTTGGCAAATACTTATAACTAAATAATTATATTTAGTATTTACAATACTAGCACTTATTTAAGATGAACTGTGTAGATTTTGTTGAGTGCTGGCAAATACTTGTTTTGAAAATTATTACAAAAATGACTCTTAATTTGTGAATTTATTACCGGTATTACATTATTTTAATATCATTTATTCTACCCAATTAGGGCCAAATGTTAAAGATTCAATTGGAGGATGAGCTGTTAAATTACAATTTACTTTCAAAATCTTTTTTACCATCGCTAGATATAAGCTTTAAACTGGCCCTTCTATCTTAAAAATCAGTTCAGTAGGAAGGCTAAAAAAAGGATGTTACAGTACAGAGAAACCCCTTTTGGTATTAAGTTACAGTTTATAGATTTCCTTAAGATGTGTTATTTTTATTATTTATTTTACTTGGTTTGGCCTGGTCCTTGATACCAAAGAACATGATTTGGCCTCACCTTAGAAGGCTCTACCCCCGATCATGTGTGTCTTTTTGTGCCCTGACAATGTTCATGCATTTAGCTACTTTTCTGTGCGCAAATTTCTGTCTATATTTCGGAATCCAAGAAGTCTTCTTCCATCTGGATTTTCCCTACATTTGATATTTTCTTCATAGCACTATCTATCTTATTACTATTACGTATCTATTCCGTCTCAAATGTCCGCTTTTATCCTCAGCAGCCATGTCGTCTGCTTGGAATATATGCCTTGTTTCCCTATTATGCTTGATTGTCTATAGGCCTACTCCATTTTCTTTTGCAGGTCCAAAGAGTTTTCTAGGTACTTAATTTTCATATGTTAGTAGCTTTTGTTCAGGACCCAGTCTAGAGCCCATGTTTCAGGTTCGTACATGAGAATTGGTTATATTATTGTTTAGTAAATATTAGGTTTGATGGAACTAAATGCTTATCACTCTCAATCACTCTTCACAGGTTGCCTGGGTGAAAGGAGGGTCCAAATACCTCCAAACAAAATGGGAAGGAGAACAAGCAGTAAAACAAATGTTTCCTGAAGCTATTATCTTCAAACCATCCGACATTTACGGCTCTGAAGACAGGTTTCTAAGGTAGGTAAAGCTACTTGGTTTACTTGGTTGTAGGTTGGTAATACAGTAGACCCTCTCTAATCCGGCACTGCACCACTCCGGCACTCCAGTAATCCGGCGTCTTTTGACGGGAGGTCTTCTGCGATCGCGGCAAAATTCTGATTATCTCCCGCGGTCACGGAAAAGTCATCGTCGTCATGCGCGATCGCGGCAAAACCATGAACATCTCCTACGGACGTATAATCGCCTCCCGCGGTCATGGAAACATCATCGTCGCCATATACGATCGAGGCAAAATCGTGAACATCTCCCGTGGCCGTGTAAACATTATTGTCTACTCCCGTGGTCACGGAAACGTCATCGTCGTCTTGCGCGATGGCTTCAAAATCATCCCTGCCGTCATGTAGACATTATCGTTGTCTCCCGCGGTCGCAGCAAAGATTTTATCATCTCCTGCAGCCGTGTATTGTAACCACGATCGTCTACTCCCGCGGTTACGGAAACGTCATCGTCGTCATGAACGACCGTGGCAAAATCATGATTATCTCCCGCGGCCGTGTTGGCGTTATCATCAACTCCCGCGGTCATGGAAACGTCATCGTCGTCATGCACGATCGCGGCAAAATCATGAACATTCCCGCGGACGTATAGACGTTATTATCGCCTCCCGCGGTCACGGAAACGTAATCGTCATCGTCTTGCGCGATCACGGCAAAATTATGAACATCTCCCGCGGTCATGTAGACATTATCGTTGTCTTCCGCTGTCGCAGCAAAGATTTTATTATCTCCTGCGGCCGTGTTTCAAACTTTATTGTCTACTCCCGCAGTCACGGAAACGTCATCGTCAACTTGCGCGATCGCGGCAAAATCAAGAACATCTCCCGCGGACGTGTAGACGTTATCATCGCTTCCAGTGGTCACGGAAACGTCATCGTCGTCATGAACAATAGTGGCAAAATAATGATTATCTCCCGCGGCTGTGTAGACGTTATCATCGTCTCCCAAGATTACGGAAACGTCATCGTCGTCATGCCCGATCGCGGCTATAGCGGTTTCCGATCATGCGATCTTCGGAGACGAGTTTTAATTTTTAAGTGTTTAAAACTGATAACATTCCAGTAATCCGTCATTTTCACTAATCCGGCAGTATTACAGTCCTATATCTGCCGGATTTGTGAGAGTCTACTGTACTATTACAACATTTTTGAATCCATCTATGAACACAATAATAACAATAAACAATAATGTTTGTAGCGATTATTTCCTTTTAAGTCTATAATCAATCTGATTATTTTTTGCAACATAGTGAATTGCAGACTAATTTGTTTGAGGAAATGCATTTTTGTGCAGGACATTCGCTCACACGTGGCGACACCAGTACCACTTCATGCCTCTGTGGAAGAAAGGAGAACACACCATCAAGCAGCCAGTGTTTGTATCTGATGTCGCAGCTGGCATTGTGGCCGCAGTCAAGGAGCGAGAAGCCAACGGACAAACTTATCTGGCTATCGGGTAACAAATAATAAATAAAGAAGTAAAATTACTTTTTTCATTGAGTATTAGATTGAGTAACTGCTTTTCAAAACCGCCTGTGATTGTTTTACAAGGTACCTGATCTAACCCTCCAAGTCCAAAGGGAAACATGTAATGACAGGCAAATGTGTCACTGAGAACCTTTAAGAGAGAAAGTTGTTATATAGGTCGGCCAGTTAGAAAACGACCTACGCAAAATTTTTAGCGCATGTAGGGGAGGTAACGGCGAGGGAGGGTATGTTCCCCCTCTCCGCCAATGGCCGTTTTCACGCTGCACGACACGACACCAACAAGGTGCCGCCCGGTGTCGTGGGAGTTGGAATCCTGTGTTACCAAATGGAACTGCTTACACAATGATATAATAACATTTCATGTGCTCAAATATTGATGCGATTTAGGCTATACAATATTTTTTGCAGGAACTATTTTTCTCAAGTTATGAAGAACGTAATTGTATACATTTTGATCAGCTGTATAATTTAATTTGATTAGCTGTGTGATCGGGAAGGTTGGGGGTGGGGCAGCAGCGGAGTAGGGGAAGAGCCATAGTCTGTCTCACTCCCACAGCTCTGTATCTCTCTCTCGCACCAATGCTACGAGGAGGACGCTTTCTAACCGGCCAACCTATAGTAGGTTTGTTATCACCAGATGTTGTAAGGAAGACAACTGTTGTGACTATAATAACAGGTCTCCACATTCTAGAAAAGTCAGGGATAGTCATGGATTTTTCACAAATGTACGACAATTTAATTTATTGTTTATGAATTTTGAGTTTGTATTAGTTCATTAATTGTACTCCTTTGTCATCTGTTAATACATATTTCAGTATTTTTTGTGAAACAACTTGTCCAGGCAGTATTATTCTTGTTTGTATGTTATATTATAATTTTTGAGTAAAGTTCGTGGGTCATGGAAATCAATGGTAAATAAATAGTCATGGAAATTAGTGACATATTTTCTGTGGACACCCTGTATAATTTCCATTATGGTTATCGTGCTGACCATGTAATTTTCCATGATGACAATGATATCTTTGTCTTAGTGATAACCTCTTGAAATATTATTTCTTTTTTTCAAATGAAGATTTGAGTTTGAAGATTTATCGTCTGAGTAATGCCAGGTATACAAACGTTTTTGACATAGACAATCTGAAAGTACAGTAGAATCCCAAACCTGTAACGTGAAGGCCTATCCAATCCTGAAAGACGACCATGTTTGATCAATCGCTCACACATTTTACTATGTCAGTGGAGCTTTTCTGTGTTTTAATTTTAAATTATGATATTTATATTCACAAGTTTACTGATTTCTACCATTGTTTTTAGCTCATTAGGCAAATGATTTTTTTATCCTCTAAGTTATCTATTCGATTGTGTTTGTTTTTATGTTCTGATTCCCACACACAACGGAAGTTTCATGAAATGTTTTTTTACGATCAAATCGTGTGACGATAGGCCCAAGAGGTACAAGCTGTCTGACCTGGTGGACTACTTCCACACTGTCATGCGCAAGACATGGAAGTCCTGGGAATACTGGCGCTATGACATGAGATTCGACCCCATCTTCCAAATGAAGGTCCAGTTCACAACCCTGATTCCTGGGACACCCATCGCCAACATGGGCTGGGACCAGATTGAACGGGTGAGTTTGAAGCCAAAATGCATCTTTATTTGGAACATAACTACAGTAAATTCTCAATTTCCAAGAAAAACTTTTATCATTGGTTTCAATACTAATTAAAAATAATAAATGCACCAATATGTTTGAAATTTTTATTTTTATGAGTCCTTTCGCCAGCTACAGTTTTTGTTATGTGTCGAATGATGCATAGCTGGGGAAAGGCCTCGTGAAAATACAAATTTTTAAAATATTGGTACAGTTTCTATCTCTATCATAAAGTCTCAATTATCAAACCTAAACCACTTGCAGCAAGGTTTGTTTCAAATTTCTTACACTGAAACAACCAACTTTTTAACATTTTATGTTCTTATAGTATCATTACAAGTGACAGGAAAATGAGCATCAAAAAGCATGTGATTTCATGGTACTTGGTAATCCACAGTTGTTAGGGTCAAGGGAAGTGAAATGTTGAATAACCGATGATAAGATATTCGAGACCACTGAACCATACACATTAATAATAACACAATATTCGAGATCTGTTTAACTGTCGCAAATCATAACTGAATAAAATTGCCCTAGTCTGTTTCTTACTCAGAGGTGATATAGGAAAGAAACTTAGCTGTAACTAATTAATATTCACTTCAGTAAAGTTATGTCCATCACTATTCATAATGACACTGTATGTGTGGCAGGAATGTGTGAGTGACAAAGTGATCCCAGGAGTGCCAACCCTGGAAGACCTTGGAGTGACCTTGACCCACATAGAGGACCAGGTGCCGTGGGAGCTGCAGATGTACAGGGCGTTCAACTACTACGAGGAACAACCCGGCGAATTTGAGACTCCCGTACCCCCGCCTACAGTGTAGAGCTTAGCTATTGTAAATATCAGTATCACTGCTAAATAAACTCAAGTTGTACGTTTGGTCTGTGTCGGACATTTCCTTGCTACCTTAAACTTTAAATTAATTTTGTTTAATTTGTTTAATAAATGGTTAAGTTTAATAGTTACAAGTTTTTTTCCCCCGTCACATCACAATAATTTGGTCTCCTTGTTTTTCAAGTAAAAGTCATTACTTTCATTATTTTCTGTTTACATAGTAATAGTAAGTAAGACTGTGTAAGCTTAGCTCATTGTCACCTCAAAAGATTTAGGCCCAAAAGAAGCCTACCTTGAAATGGATTGTGCGAGTTGGTATGGATCAAATGTAAATTGCGTGTAGCAAACCTTGCATATCGACTGCAATATGATTCCTTAAACATTGTTAAATAGGCAAAGTGATGAGAATAGCTCAATTTGTTTCACATAATAAAACAAAATGATCAATAAAATAAAATGGAATATGATTTTCAATTGGCAACCAAAATCAATTTTTCTAAAATATTGTCTCTGTGGTGAAGTATTTAAAACTGTACAGTCAAAATGTCAAATGCAAACAATTTCACTTTTATAGGCATTGCAAATTGTAGTATTCCTCACCAAAGAGTAAGAATTTAATTTATGTTTTCCATTTAGTGAACTTGATGGAAACAAAGCTAACAATCTTTACTTTTCAGTAAGGTAAGCCAGCCATAAAACCCCCTGTCAACAAAACACAGTAGCTTAGTTTGTGTCAAGGGACTTTTACCATAATGTTACTTCCACTGTCTTTAAATCACTGAACAGATCTTCAGTCTATGGTGATGGAAAGTTTTACCTCCTGAATCCACCTACAATGGTTATTATGTAAAGGCTTTATAATTAGAGGATTATACAACAATGAAATGCATTATGTATTTTACAATATATTTATTGAAAACATAAAAGAACAGAAACAATTATTAAATGCTTTGATAAATTATTTTACCCTTTCAAACAATAAATAGTTCAAAGTTTCTAACCTACTTTCATCACAAATTTACATCAAGCTTACACTTTTAAGTTTACAACATTTACACAAATGAGTTAGGGTTTAAATGATCAAGACTGGTTTGAATGTGGTTTTATAAGATTCTATAACTAGTTTTTACATTATTTTGTTATTTACTGACAAATATAACATTTAAGTTGTATTAAGTAATAAGTGGCACAACAAATTTATGGGAATCATACGTCTATGTTTATGAAACAAATTTTGTTCATAATGGCAATGAAAACGTACAAATTGGTTTTAATATCTAGTTTTTACTCTTATATCTAATATTCTAGAAAAACAAGCTCTGTTCTAAAGCATTTCATCTTAGTTTTACAGCACAAGACTAACTTTTAAGTGTTTTATTGGTTTCTTTATTCTATCCCACCAGACGTGGGCTATTGCCTGACAACCTTGAGGAAGTCAGATGGGTTACTAACAGCCTACTCGGAACATCAGATGACATGGCTTGTGTAGCACCTAAACAGCTAACTGTTAATGGTTTCCTAAACATATTTGTATGGCTTTTTCTTTTTCTATGTTGTATTTGTATACAAAACTGTTCTTTTTGGACACTATTATCAACAGTGAATAACGTACGTAGTGTCAAATTATAAAAACTTAAAACCACAAATCAATATTATATCAAAATTTCATTGAACTCAACAATAGAGTAAAATTCAATAGACCAACATAATTTTTAAAGTGTGTTGTTTCCTATACATGCACATCAATACAATTTTCTTATAAAGTCCATATTAATGTTTTTATTTTATTTTTTTATTGGTGCAGGTCACTTGGCCACAGATATTTTAGTTAACATATTATTGTTGGAAACTGGAATCTTACAGTCAATTAATATGTAGAGTCTGACTATTGCTCTTTGCTTGTCCTACCAGCTGATATAGCTCTAGATGATATGGCTCTCTAGTCCTGAGACTTGTCAAGGTAACAATAGGGCTGGTGTTTTTCTAAATAGTCTTTTTATTTAAGAAAAAAACTGACACAAGTCCCTGAACAAAGATATTCATAGTTTGGTTACTGGTACCGTTTGCTTATACCATAATTAATCAGTCTACCATTGATGGTTTAATTACTTCTGGTTAGAAAACTTGTTTATCGTTTATGGCAGGTTTCTACTAGTATACATAAATTAATCATCATATTATTGAGCATACTTTGTCAGACGCATAAATATATTTAGTACAAAATATAGGATATTTCCCCAAACAATTTTTAAATAAATGAACAATTATTGCTATTATCATGATTTTATCCGTGAAGTTAAATTTTTATTTATATAATTTTTTATACCCAAGTTGTCTATGTGATCTTCAAGATACTAACATAAAACAGAAGTATTACAAAACAGTGAACATGTCAAGAACTTAAGAAACGCTTTACGCTGAGTTGCAAACATTCGCTGTGTACTTTGGTGTACAATGTCACATGTATGATATGAGATGCTGCTATAGTCTACTGTATATCTATACACACGCTATTGTCACGCTTAATAATTACAATATGGGTTAGGAATGCTAACATAGCACGAATACAGCCACTCCATACAAGTGGCAAAGTGTACAACACCACATAATCTACTCTACCTTAAACTAGCATAAGAGAAGGGTGTGCGATGTATTAAAACAATAATAAAACAGGGGTTCCTAGATTGATTATTTCTCCCCATTATTTATGGTCAAAAACCGAAATGTTAAATCTTGAAACCGAAACGGAAACTTTAAAAATTTGTTCTTACAACTGAAATCGTGAGGAACCTTGGTTACTTGTCTGAAAATTCTATGAAAAATTCAATAATTAGTTACACGATCACCGATTTACTTTCTTTGTTTAAATTTTTTCAGAATTTCAAGAGTATAGCTTCAAAGTATTTTAAATTTATCTCAGGATCCAATAATGAAAATTACAGTTTTTTTTATGCGTATAGTGAGCGATAAAATGTGTAATTATTGTTTTTTCTTGTTGAGTTTCAATTAATGGGCATCTTACGATCATTTGGGAGGGAAAAAGGAAAATAAATTAATGATGTTTATTTCTAAGACAACACGATTGAAAGTGAAGGACAAATGATGTTTGTGTTTTAAAATAAGCAACTGTTCCAAATTCACAGTGGTTTAGAGTTCATTCATTTAGGCACATCCTTAAGGGGGTTCCCTACCTCTAACTGTTTTCAATTTTCTGCGACCCTGGTGAGTTTAGTTGGAACTACAAGACGACAAAATATTCCCTAGGATTGCTGTCTGCTGGTCCATTTAGCATTATTGTGGTCCCTCCGCGAGACAGTAGTTTCGATAAAGGCCGCTAGAGTCCGTCAGAATCATAGCACTTTTCGCCGTGCAAGGTTTTACGCGGTTTCATTTTGCACATACAAAAAATAATCTTTTCTTGAAACTAAAAGTGAATTGATATTTTTAGTTAAATTTCGCACTAATATTGCTTTATTAAAAATCGATAATTTCATAAAAAGATATTATTATTTAACTGTAAAGTTCACTAACTTTGACAAGTCGTTGCCCTTGATTGCGTAAGCATAGAAATTTTTTAAAAAGCAAACTTAGTAGAACCACTCTTTATGTACAAAATGGTGTTTGGTTCACAATTTAAATGTTAAAACTAGAATCGCTATATGATACAGCGGGAAGCGGTTTTCTGACGTTTTTCGGCGGGGGTAGGGAACCCTCTTAAGGTAATTAGTTGTATTGAGCTTAGTTGAGAATGTTTATATACGTTCATGGTACAAAAAGTTCAGACAATAGCGGTCTGATTTACTATGAAATTTGTGAAAACCGTACTTTCTGCAAATAGTTGAACCTTTCTTGGCAAAAACTCATATCCAACATTGTTTCTGAAAACGGTGTTAGTACCTTCTTTCTTCTTATAATAGTCTACAGATCGTATTTAACAACTGTCTTTAGCACCAACGTAAGCTATCCTAAGGCTAAACAAGGATAAACCATTTATGCACTTTTTTTAAATTATTTATTGATTATTAAATACATAATATTGTTTTTTTTTTATTCCTACTGAGTTTTTTGGTAGGTATTCTTAAACACGTAACTTGAACTTAATTACAACATCGCACACCATTCCACTATTTTACTCACACATTTGATTTAATCTAAGACGCAACACACATACTGCTAAGCGTATTAGTCTGATTGTACTCATATAATACAGAACCAGTGCTGAATAAATCAAAATACTTTCTTTCATTTTCCATTTCCTTTTCACCACTGTGAGTGAAATTAATCAAAGTTTAAAAAATACAATAATAAAAGGGGAAAACAAAAATGTGCCCATACATTTCACTTATAAAATCATTTTTAAGAGAATTATTATAATATACACAATTTTTTATTGGTCCCGAAACACATTTTTACCTATAACACAATTATTACTTATATACTCAAATGTTTCAATGATTAAAAAAATTATCATGGTATGAAAATGTAAAATCTTAAGAAATATTTAGCCCAAGAGTACCTTAGAAAATACATGGCAGCATCAACGCAACACTACAGAATCAAAAAGTAAGAAATGAATAAATTGTCACATTTCTGTTAGGTTATTTACAAATGCAATTTCAGCTTAAACTTGAGTATGGATACAAACAAAGTCATATTAGGTTTCAAGTACTGTGCTTTCTTATGATAGTAAATTCTGTGCTTTCTTACAAAAAAAATAGTATATGTCATCACAAGGACCTAAAGTGACTTTTACGACTCAAGCTCAAGTTTAATGACTAGGTGATGTCGAGATCTGAAACTAAGCGAGGATTAAAGGGACACTTTTGGCATGTGTGATGAACTCTATTTTTTTGTCATATTGCACCATTTTTTGAGGATGACTAAAAGTTAATTGTTGTAAATTGTTTACTTAACTAAATTAACTTTCTAAAGCTTCTCATCTTTTTTACAAATAGCTGTTGAAAGTTAGATGCAACACAGGTATTACTTCTTCAACAATATGAGGAATTCAAACTGATAAAATATGTTTACATTTAAATTCATCTAAATATTGATAATGGGCCATTTACTTAAGTAAAATACATACAGTATAATGAGATAATAAACAAAAATTAAATTTAATAATAAACACTAATTTATTCATTAATTAGAATTATTTTTTTGCTAAATCCGCGAACAAGATGCTACTACTGTCAAAAATTTACAGCTGATGTCTTTGACTTCGGCTGATCGCCTTTAATGTAGCCAATAAAAATAAACTTTTGCCCAGCAACACATTTTTTGTTAAAAAACACTGTTCTCTACAGTATGACAAAATTGTTCCATCATTCTGTTTACTGGTTTAAGAAACTTCAGATTTACAAACAAAGTCATATTGAACAATTATATTGGATTAGCTTAACCACCTTAAACTATAAAAGATTTTAAAAACACATTTAAAAAACAATAAACTCAATAGTTCTTTTTTGCAAAGCAAACAACTTCAAAGTGATTTCTCTTACAAAAGATCTCACTGGACGTACCATTAAAAGTGTTAAATCATTTAACATAATTAATCGGGAGGTGGAAGAAACCTGGGATATAATAGTTTAGGTAACAGTTCCCGTTCACTTCCTTTTTATACAGATTCACATCTACACATATAATTTAGTATTTCCATTTCATTGTGGAAACCAAATTACCCTTATCAATTACTTATATAAACAGACGACTTATCATATCATTTGACAAGTAGGCATAAGGATGAAAAGTATTTACTGAATTAGGATCAAGGGAACTAGAAAACATTTTAATTAACAAATAACTAATCTTCAATGCATAATGTGAACACATATTATCTTACAGAGCAATGTTAAAATAAAATACAATTTTTAAAGGTACGCAGTTGAACTATAAAATTCAAGAACTAAAAAATTAACCAAATACTTATTCAATGTTCATCATGAATGCTTTAAAACAACCTACCATTGATAGAGGTATGGATTAACAATAGTTTTGGGAGATTTCTCACTCTTATCACTTGTGCCAGTTGTTACTTATGGTTAGAACGTCAGGGAGAGAGAGAGATAGAGAGAGAGAGCGAGAGAGAGAGTAGAAGCCAACTAAAAATTCACTATAACTAAACAACCATCCAGCTCACACTCGTTTTTCCTCATATCAGGGTTAAATTAATATAGTCTTCCTTGTCTCAAATATTGATGCAGTTAATAATTCAAAACCATCAAAATTTCAAACAAAAATTACAGGATAAGTTTTAAAATAGCATACGGTTTTTAAAAAAATTAGTAAAATAAAAAAAATATAAACACAAATAATTAAAATTTGTTTGCAGTGACGTGAAATCTATTGAGTTGTGCTATAACAGCTTATAACTTGATTGTTTACGCAACTTTGGAAAAAGCATTGGGATAACCGACAGAACTCAGCGGATCCTGACGAGTAGGAGTCTACTGTACAGAAACAAATCTTTCAATCTCTTTCACCGACAAACTACCTCATGCTGTAAAATCCATCCCTAACCAAGACTTAATATTTAGTCAACAACAGCACTGTGATAATAACAAGGGTGAGAAATATACTTTCAGTATCTATAGATGAGATAGAAGTTAAAAGTTTTATGTTACAAGTTCTCCAGTTCCCCTAAATTATTGACATTTTCATCCTTATATCTGAGAGTCCACTGAGATAACCTTGTGGCATCAGTGAGGTTAGTATCACATCAGCTGGAGCTGTTAGTACAGTCAGAAGTTGACTCAGTCGTCCGCACCCTCGACTTTACCTCCGCTCACCTGTTGTCTAGGTAGTTCTTCCTGCAACTCCATGATATGTCCAACAGGTTCCGGCCGGCCATCCTCCCCAATACGACAAGGGTTGATCACACCTTGCCTATGGCAACAGAAAATAAAAGTCAAAATACAAATTGCAGGCTACTTAAGCTGGCAATAATTGATTTAAACATGAAAGTCTACATCCATGAAAAGGTGGTGAAACGAATTATTTGCTTGGAGATTTCTCTGGTACCAATCACATCGTTCGATGAGATTTACTGCTAGGTCTCACCCTAATCACCAAAAAGGTTATTTCACCTCAAGGGTGGAGCATCCGGCAGTAAATGTAATAACTATTACATTGTGGTTGTATAACATCGTGTTGGTATAACATCAAATAAATTGATGGATTCTGATACTGACTGCCACAGTCTACACCACACTGTAATTTGTAAGAAGGTAAGCACTGCAACCATCTTACAGGCAGGCAAACTGATAGTAAGTATTCATCCCTCTTTCTAGCAAGATTGGCGTTGTTGCCAATTATTGCAAAATTGGACATATCAGCTTCTTTTGTCTCTTTTATTATCTCTGTCCAACCAAAGCATCTTTATTCTTTGTAATCAAACGAATGTACTGTTCACATCCGTTTGCACGTTAGATGCACAGTGAATGGAGGAATGGAAGAGAGGTTGGCTTGATGTATCAATAGGTACTTGGTATAAGAGAAGAGTTACCTGTGCAGTTTGTCCATCATGTTGACCAGTTGCATTGCCTCATATTCCTTTTGTTCCTCCGTCATGTGAGCCGTGGGGTCAGGCCTGGGTGGCTCGTAACATCCGACCACCGGGTTGATGCTGCATCAGCAAAGAGGAGAAAATATTAAGACACAAAAATTGAAAAGACTTTACCCAATTTAGACACTAACCCAGAAAATTCATTATGGTTTAAAATTCTGTGGTTCATTCAAGAGTTGGCATTAAAGAAAAATAGATTTAAAAAACAACTAAACTGATTTTCAAAATCAACAAACCTTTAAAAAAAACTGAGAAGGCCTTGGATAGACTTACAAACCAAAAGTCATTATGGTTAAAAATTCAGCATTGGAGTAAAATGCTCCATATCTTAGGCACCGTGAAAAGTGAGTTTTGAAACAGTTTTATGGAAGGTCCGAGCAATTAGTAGCTGGAATCGAAAAGCAAATTCACGATGCTATGTCAAAATTTGGATACACGTCTTGAAGGGAATGATACCTCAGGTAGGTAGTTAAATATTCCTTGCAAAGAACAGTCATCAAATTTATAAACTGCAGACACCAGTGAGCTTGGAAATGACTACCCTCGACGACAAAATCATCATCAAATTTGTTTCTGTAAATCTTAACTTGACATGATTCATACACTTATAGATTGATGCATATACCATTGAGCAGGACCGTTGAATAAGCGTACATTATATGAAAATAACACTCGGTAATTTGTTGACCATGGCACTGCGGAAACGCCCAGGTCGGTCTTAAAATGACTAATCGGAATTTTGAGGATTAAAAATAATTTTTTCTGTTAGAAAAAAATCAAACTTTGCGTCCCCAACACGGTTTATTTGTTAAGTAACAGATGAAAAAATTACCAAAATTTGCCACCCTAGGCTGCAGCCTACTTAGCCTATGTGGAAAATAGGCCCTGTCTATATGTCCATCCCCTGAAAATATGTCCAGACAATACAATGAAAAATTTGAACAAGCCAATTCAAATGTAAACCCTTCTACACATGAAATAAATATCTTATCAAAGGTAAAAGATCTTGCAAACAAATATCAATATCTATGTTGTATAACTAGAGATGTGCCAGACTGAAATTCTCCATTAGCTTAATCTCTATATTGTGATTATATCCTGCAGTTGTGGAGACATCTTAATCGTCTTCTGCAATCGCTACAAAATATTGCTCAGTGGTAACGGACACATTATCAACTTCTTCCACCAGTGGCGTAGCGACAGTGGAGAAAGTGGAGCATTCGCTCCAGGGCGGCAAGCACTAGGGAGGAGCGGGGGAGGCGCCAGGCTAGGATTTTTTTTTTACTATGTTGTTGTCAAGCGTGGTAGGGCCGGAAGGAAGGTGAAGGGGAGGGGGGAGTCACTGATCAGTCAAATAAATAAGTGAATATAGTGATTCGTGAGGTTATGTTTATCGTGCCGCACACGCCGTTATTTGAGTTGTTAATTTATTAATATACCACTGTTTCTTTAGAAATGTTGTTTAGGGCTAATAATGAACTATGAATTTGGTTAAAAATATTTCTACAAAGTATGCGGGTGGTGAGGTGGTAAGTTTTGAACGGAGAGTTGAGTTAAAGCTGCTAGGCCCGCCAAAGCCCGATTTAGTTATTACACAATGTCAAAAATCCTATAAAAGTAGGAAAGGATTTATGTTTGTATTGTTCAATTATGCCAAAGATAATGCAAAAAATGGGCATTATCTTCTAACTATGTGCTTATACGTCACCGACATTTGTAAATTTGTGCCCTTTGCTCAGTTCCCGCTGTTTACGTGTACTTGGTAAAGCTATCCTGTTTTGAGGAAATTTCTAAGTAAGGATAAGTTTTGTCCGATGAACTTAATTTAAATTCATGTTTTTATTTTCGAACACACTAATCAAATAGCTTAAATATAATAAACCCAATTAAAATACCAATTTATATTTAAAAAATTATTATGTCTAGATTGCATATAAACACTAGTTTACAGTTATTGTTTTTCAAAATTTTGTTGTATTCCCATGCTCCAGGGCGCTCCAAACCTGGCTTCCACGATAGCAACTGGTGGCTCAATTCAACAGCATAAACATGGGAATGGAATGGCTAGTTCTATAGGTAATGATATTGTGTCCCTGCCTCTAACTGACCCGTGTTTGTAAGTAGCATACTCATCAGTCTCACTGTCACTGTCAGAGCTGTATTGTCCGTGAGGTTGACTGCCCTGATGTTGAGCCAGTAGACCTCTGTTGGCAAACTGTCCAGCAGCATTGCCATACCCAGTGTACTTGATCATCCGGGAAACTGACACAGATAAAACATCTGGTAAGTCAATATACATATGAAATTCTTTATTGTTCTTTAAAATTCAACTCTTCATTCAAAGAATGTTTGTGGATGATTGAAATTGGAAGAAACTTTATACTAGTTTGATGACATTGAGTCGTGTCACTAAACGCTAAACTAAACAACAGCTCATCAAAAACATACAACCTTTTATTGGTAAAAAATTGTTTGACCTTTATTTTACATTTAATTATGTAATAAATTACTCTGGCATCATCTGGAATGTCTAAAATCTTTTTCACTGCACACAAGGTCCAATGTTATTTCCATTTAGTGTTAAATTGTTGTGACTGTGAACAAGTCTAGGAACTAGATTAGCACTTTTTAGTTCTCAGGGCGTAATCATAATACAAACAAAGATAGACATTTTTGTACCTTATAGGCATGGTTCCCAATGAATTTCAATAAACTGAACCAGATAATGACTCACCACTCTCCTTGCACAGTACAAACAGCAACTCGGCTACCAGGTCTCGCACGTTGGTGACAGGTGAGGTGAGCAGACGACACAGCTTGTTGCGCAGCGTCTGCCCCTCCTCCGGGCGAGTGTGCACGTCGCGCAGAGGTGGCAGTATGCGCCATCGCAGATACTTGCGCAACAGTCGGTGGTTGATGGCACACTCCAGCAACACTGTGACGATGGGAGCCAAGCGCTCCTGTAGACTCTGTACACCCTGGACAAAGTTGCTTTGCATTCAGCATTAAAGTTTACTATGCGATGCTATGAAAAAGATACAAACACTTTCACACCTGATGACAGTTTAAAAGATCAATATCTTTGGAAAGTATAGTACTCTTGGAAAGTACAGTAAAAGCCAATAATCTGTATTGGTATGAGGGTGTTTTCCACTCTCTAAAACATAATTATGTAGTCGGTACTTTGGCACTTTTGATTAGAATATAAAGTAGAGTAAAATTCCTAATTTGGCCACTTTTTTCAGTGGAAATTCTCAGTTGAACTAAAAAACAAGCATGTGCTTCCAATATGGACACTCACACGAAATAACCTCAGCTTTATCCAGCATACTTTAGGGTGGTTTCACAATGGCAATTAGTAGGATGCAACATAAAGTACAAGAGCCCGGATTTCAAGGATGTTGTATATCAGGGTCACCACTAAAGTCAAAGGCACTCATTGCCAACACCTGATAGACATCTTAAGGTCCAATAGAAAGGTGATAGTGTTTATTGCACCACAGTACAATCTTCCCCATTCAGGAATGCCTGCAATCGTTACAAAATTCTTATAATAGTGGCAATTAGGTAGAGTGCAAAAAATTTAGAGCTTACCGGAGTCTGGTCCAGCCTGGTGGTCAGGAAGCCAACGAGGACAGCCATGGCCTCCATGTTGTATCCCTCAAACTCTGCATCCTTGGGTACATCTTTCGTCAGAGGAGTCATTAACTCTTGGTGGCACTTGCCTGGCATTGTGGTCAGCAAGTTTACCACGTGCCTGTCACCAATCGTCAGTTATTTCCCAGTATGATTAAACAGTTTTGTGATGGGCGATGTAAGTAAAGTAGAGATTTCAAGTAGATTTTTTTTTTACTTGGGATGTAGAGAATAATCCTAGACAATAATGCGCTAGGGCAAGTTTCCATGGTTGATGAGACTATTTTTTAGAGGGATAATCACAATCTCTGAAAATTAACTGTTAAGGTTCAGTAAAAAAATAATCTTACATAATATATTTTAGGATAGTTTTTAACCATGGCTACTTAATGCAAAATTGTGGTCCTAAACATCTTCACCGGAATATTATTGTTGCAAAGCTGTATTTACTGGTGCAGGGCTGTTATTCATTTTATCTATACTTATTTAATACGCAAGCACGATTTTTGTGACAATTACTCCTCCGAAACTACTAAACCGATTGACATGTTTTTGGTGTCATTTGAAAGAGCGTAACGTGAAGTTGTGCAGGAAACCTTCTTTTTAAGGAAATAATTAGAGAGTGAGGCCCTGGGGCCCTTTAAAGTTTCGTATTTCTCCATAAGGATAACAAGGGAGATAATTTTTATTTACAGAAACATATGTTTGTTAATTGAAAATAGTCAAAGTCTACTACATAATAATTTCTGTGTAATATGACTACTAATGTATACTACATTTCAATCAAGGATTGTGTGCCTTAAACTTTACTCATAATGGATCTCACTACTTTATTTTCATGCTGGGAATAGTAAAATTTAATTGAGAATAAGAGAATAAGTAGAAAAACTTTACTATAATAAATGATGTATTTAAAATCACAATCTTTTGACATTATTAATTCATTAGAAACGAAACAGCTGATCAAGAAATCAAACAAATCATCTACTTCATGTGAATAACCTTTTTACACAAACATAGTTTTTTTTAACCAATAACTTGATTATTTTTTACTTGTGGGTGTATTTTGAGTTTGCAGTTATGAAAGCACCAAGCTAAGTACTTTTTATCTATTTTTTTTTATAAACTAACAGTATTAATGAATTACTACATGAACTTAACAAGTTAGGTAATTAATTGTCAGTATGCCAAGGGGAAGAGTGGGTCCTCGAAAACAGTCGAAGGCAGAGGCACCCATCTAGAAAATCCAACTGAGTTTTTAAATATTAAGGTCAGTGGATTGCCAAGACACAGATTATGCAAATAAAAGGAGGCAGTGGTTTTATTGATATTAATACATCAAAAAGGGCCTCATTAATGGCACAAGGCTTCATGTGATCAGAACGGTTAACAACAATGTAAAGTAGAATGTAAAGTCCTAACATGGAACAAGTGAGTAAGGACATACTATGATTTTGAGGATAAAAAATTTGCCCGTCTGAAACAAAGTTACCTTTTAAAATGGAAAGATGCTAATTTCTGTTATCTTTGGCATTTGCAGCACAAGCACTTTAATTAAAGAGCAGCAATGTTCTTAGCCAGACCAATTTCAGTCATGAGCAACTATATACTGTATAGGTTGTTTTAAGTAAGGCTACATCTTTTAATAGTAGGATAAGCATATTCATTACGGAAAATTCTGACCAGGGTAATATTCCTGAAGGCAACTTTAAGACTAAAATCGTAGTATTCATGGAAGTGCTTTTGTGATAAGTGTTTTCTTCAAGCAGCATTTTATGACCCTCAAAATATGCTACATAGGTATATACTACATTCACTGCCTATTGGTTTGATATGATAAAATGTTTTGTTTGTGTTTTTAAGAATCTTAAAAAAAAAATAACTACCCTGTAACATACTTGAACTTGAACACTTATTAATTTACTAAATATAATACGCATACAGCTAGAAAATGGCTGGATTGCTTCCCTTCTAATGCTTTATTATTACTGTATTTAATTTTCGACGAGTCAATATATAACACGATGAATTTGTTTTCTAAATTTATTCATATGTTTTTGCGGGGCATTGAGCCGCACAGGTTCACTAGTAGTGTTTATTACTTGCAAGGTGTTACGTACGTGTGCAGCATTTCCTTGTTGGATGCAGGCTCTGTGTCACACAAGAGTAGATCCTTGAGTATGGACTCCAGTCTGACCAGCTGGGCGTCCTCCTCCTCGTCTGGCACTCCTTGACTCTTGCATGTCAGGTTGAACAACACCTTCAGCACCTCACTGGCCAGCTGTACTTGACTGTCCTACAACACGACAAAGCATACTCAGCAACTCGTTTGGCACTCCTTGACTCTTGCATGTCAGGTTGAACAACACCTTCAGCACCTCACTGGCCAGCTGTACTTGACTGTCCTACAACACGACAAAGCATACTCAGCAACTCGTCTGGCACTCCTTGACTCTTGCATGTCAGGTTGAACAACACCTTCAGCACCTCACTGGCCAGCTGTACTTGACTGTCCTACAACATGACAAAGCATACCGGTACTCAGCAACTCGTCTGGCACTCCTTGACTCTTGCATGTCAGGTTGAACAACACCTTCAGCACCTCACTGGCCAGCTGTACTTGACTGTCCTACAACATGACAAAGCATACCGGTACTCAGCAACTCGTCTGGCACTCCTTGACTCTTGCATGTCAGGTTGAACAACACCTTCAGCACCTCACTGGCCAGCTGTACTTGACTGTCCTACAACACGACAAAGCATACTCAGCAACTCGTCTGGCACTCCTTGACTCTTGCATGTCAGGTTGAACAACACCTTCAGCACCTCACTGGCCAGCTGTACTTGACTGTCCTACAACACGACAAAGCATACTCAGCAACTCGTCTGGCACTCCTTGACTCTTGCATGTCAGGTTGAACAACACCTTCAGCACCTCACTGGCCAGCTGTACTTGACTGTCCTACAACACGACAAAGCATACTCAGCAACTCGTCTGGCACTCCTTGACTCTTGCATGTCAGGTTGAACAACACCTTCAGCACCTCACTGGCCAGCTGTACTTGACTGTCCTACAACATGACAAAGCATACCGGTACTCAGCAACTCGTCTGGCACTCCTTGACTCTTGCATGTCAGGTTGAACAACACCTTCAGCACCTCACTGGCCAGCTGTACTTGACTGTCCTACAACATGACAAAGCATACCGGTACTCAGCAACTCGTCTGGCACTCCTTGACTCTTGCATGTCAGGTTGAACAACACCTTCAGCACCTCACTGGCCAGCTGTACTTGACTGTCCTACAACACGACAAAGCATACTCAGCAACTCGTCTGGCACTCCTTGACTCTTGCATGTCAGGTTGAACAACACCTTCAGCACCTCACTGGCCAGCTGTACTTGACTGTCCTACAACACGACAAAGCATACTCAGCAACTCGTCTGGCACTCCTTGACTCTTGCATGTCAGGTTGAACAACACCTTCAGCACCTCACTGGCCAGCTGTACTTGGCTGTCCTACAACATGACAAAGCATACCGGTACTCAGCAACTCGTCTGGCACTCCTTGACTCTTGCATGTCAGGTTGAACAACACCTTCAGCACCTCACTGGCCAGCTGTACTTGGCTGTCCTACAACATGACAAAGCATACCGGTACTCAGCAACTCGTCTGGCACTCCTTGACTCTTGCATGTCAGGTTGAACAACACCTTCAGCACCTCACTGGCCAGCTGTACTTGACTGTCCTACAACATGACAAAGCATACCGGTACTCAGCAACTCATCTGGCACTCCTTGACTCTTGCATGTCAGGTTGAACAACACCTTCAGCACCTCACTGGCCAGCTGTACTTGACTGTCCTACAACATGACAAAGCATACCGGTACTCAGCATCGTCTGGCACTCCTTGACTCTTGCATGTCAGGTTGAACAACACCTTCAGCACCTCACTGGCCAGCTGTACTTGACTGTCCTACAACACGACAAAGCATACTCAGCAACTCATCTGGCACTCCTTGACTCTTGCTTGTCAGGTTGAACAACACCTTCAGCACCTCACTGGCCAGCTGTACTTGACTGTCCTACAACACGACAAAGCATACTCAGCAACTCGTCTGGCACTCCTTGACTCTTGCATGTCAGGTTGAACAACACCTTCAGCACCTCACTGGCCAGCTGTACTTGACTGTCCTACAACATGACAAAGCATACTCAGCAACTCGTCTGGCACTCCTTGACTCTTGCATGTCAGGTTGAACAACACCTTCAGCACCTCACTGGCCAGCTGTACTTGACTGTCCTACAACACGACAAAGCATACTCAGCAACTCATCTGGCACTCCTTGACTCTTGCATGTCAGGTTGAACAACACCTTCAGCACCTCACTGGCCAGCTGTACTTGACTGTCCTACAACACGACAAAGCATACTCAGCAACTCGTCTGGCACTCCTTGACTCTTGCATGTCAGGTTGAACAACACCTTCAGCACCTCACTGGCCAGCTGTACTTGACTGTCCTACAACATGACAAAGCATACCGGTACTCAGCAACTCATCTGGCACTCCTTGACTCTTGCATGTCAGGTTGAACAACACCTTCAGCACCTCACTGGCCAGCTGTACTTGACTGTCCTACAACATGACAAAGCATACCGGTACTCAGCAACTCATCCTGAGAGAACATTTTTAGCAAAAAAAAATAATTTAATGGACAGGGAGTCCTTGAAGTATACAATAGAATACAGTTGTAAATTGGCTGCTTGACGTAGAAATAAATAAATAGATGCGTTACCGCATAGTGTCATGGCAATCAAACCACATAAAGCGAGGATTGTTTATTGACTAACGCCATCTGTGAATGTTGTTAAACCCCTTCTGACAAAATTGAGCAATGGATCCGGGTCTCAATCCCATTATTGGAACAGCTATCATAATCAATTTTCAAGTACCAGTAAACTTGAAAATAAAAATCATTCAGCAGATGTGCTTAGGTAAATCTGGTAAAAAATGCAATTTTGACCAGACTAGGTTCTTGTATAGTATATAATTAAGGGCTGCCGTAGGTAATGCACAAAAAATATGAGACATGAATAAGAAAATAAAAAATTTGTGAGAATAATTTGGATCTTATAATCTGTGAACTACGTATTAGGAGAGGAACAGTAGGTGTTATAATATACATAGATAATTGTAAAAAGGGTACAATTAGTAAACTGTAATGTCTTACTAGTAAAACTGGTGGTCTAGAACAAGCGGTGCGTTCTTCTTCTTCTCCTGAGGCTTCCTTCAGTATTAGGTCTAAGATTTCCATTAAGTAGGTCAATCCATGTAGCTCTTCCTTTAAGCGGGGTCTGTTTGGAGGAAAACTAAATTTGAGTAATGAACTACTGTAGCAAAACACTAGTTAAGCAGTCCTACATATTTCTGAGCTTTGCAATAATTGGCCAGCCCTAGATGCCTTCAACCACCAAATTTCACAACACAAGCTCGGTTTGATAGGGATCACTCATTTCAGTAGAATCCCTTTTATTTGCCCAACACAGGACCAAGCCCTTGGCTGGTGTTCGGATAAACCTACCTATTATAAAAACTATAATTTTTAACTAATTATGATGAGTACAAAGTAAATTTAGTAAAAAGTAGAAGTCTCTCTCAGGAAAATGTTTATAAAAAACGAATGTTTCTAAAACAAACATTTTATTTATAGATAAAGTAATTAACATAAAATTATTATGATATTAGGGTTTAATTATGACCTATTATTTTATGGGTTTAATTATGACCTATTATTTTATGGGTTTAATTATGACCTATTATTTTATGGGTTTTTATTGAAAAATCCCTATTAAAAAATTTTATTTAAAAAAAATGAAGAAAGCCTGGAGATATCATGGATTAGTACCTACATACCAAATTTCATCAAAATCGGACAACAGGTGTGGTCTGTAGCTCAGTACACATCCACACACACAGACATCACTTCGAAAACCAATTTTTTGGGTACAGGGGGACCCAAAATGGATCCACTCAAAACTCAAACTCGAAAATCTTGACGAAAACAATACATTCTTCATATACTATGTATAGGGGGAGAAAGTAAAAAGCAGTTTTTTTTTTAACTTTTTTAATAAGTAAGAGGTATGTTGAAGGTGTAAATGTGTTGCACAAGGTACACTTATAATCATATCTACTTCACCTTATTTCAGGCTGGAGGGCAGTCATGACGAACAGCATCCTCATGTCGAAGAACTTGATCTCATGAGGCAGTAGTGGGTCGCGGTAGGTGCGGAGGCGGATCATGATAGCCTCAATGGCATGGTTGTGACTACACAACTTCTGAGCCTGCTCACAGTTGAAAATCAGGTTGCACAAGCACTTCATGGCCTCCAGGACAACTGCAATGTAAACACAAGTGTTCAGCAATGAAGCATGTTGGAGAATCTTCTATATACCGGGTGTCCAAAACCACCCGTACACCCCTTTAAAAACGAGGGAAACGTTTTCTTACAAACAAAAAATAATACAGAACTAGATAAATTGGTCACGGTCTACCAAATGGTGATAATTTCAAATACAAAGTCACACCGGAAGTGGCTTTTTCAGACCGGAAGTGGACTTTTTTAAATGTAAACTACCAATTTTGATCACAGAATCAGATTCTACGTTAAAAAATACATAACTTTCGTCTAAAACATTTTTATAAAAAACTTGTTTTCTACCCTTAATCCCCTATTAAAATCAATAATTTTGGGTCATTTATCTGTCAAAGATACTCGAAACAATAATAGAGAAAAACAAATAACAAAGATTACATAAATACATATGATGAATAGGATCAGCTGTTTATTGTAAACGCCTTAGTAATTGAGTAACACATTGCTTGAATTATTTTTTTTTATCATTTGTTTTTACATTTGACCACTTTAATGTAAAAACAAATTATTTATTTTAAAAATAAAATGAAACTAAGTAATGTGTAGACCAGTTGTTACTCAATTACCATAGTGTTTACAATAAACAGCTGATCCTATTCATCATATGTCTTTATGTAATCTTTGTTATTGTTTTTCTCTATTATTGTTTCGAGTATCTTTGACAGATGAATGACCCAAAATTATTGATTTTAATAGGGGATTAAGGGTAGAAAACAAGTTTTTTCTAAAATTTTTGTAGACAAAAGTTATGTATTTTTTAACGTAGAATCCGATTCTGTGATTAAAATTGGTAGTTTACATTTAAAAAAGTCCACTTCCGGTCTGAAAAAGCCACTTCCGGTGTAATTTTGGATTTGAAATTATCACCATTTGGTAGACCGTGACCAATTTATCTAGAGCTCATCTTGAAAACGAACGAGATTTTGACATAAAACCACATTAGGACAGGACGACGTCTGTCGGGCCAGCTATTATTTAATGAAATGTACTTTGTCTTTGTTTTCAAAGATTCTCATTTTAAAGCATCTCTTTAGGGGTTTCAACAAATTGCCTATTGATGGTTTGTAAAATTATTACATAAAAACCAAACATTTCATACCACCTCTGTATCTAGTGGTTCAAGTTTTGTTTATGTATGATAAACAGTTGTGATGATTTTGGAAGCTAACTGGAGATTTCATTTTTTTAAACTGAAATTAATTTAAATAGTAGGCTTAGTTCCCAAAAAGGTGAATTGGCAGAGGGGAAACACATCTTTAGGTTAACACGTTCGCTACTGAGCGTCGCATACATGCGACACCGCGGTCATTGCCACAGACTGAGGTATACATTTGAATCTTACACATAGACCGGCTGTCACTTGCATAACAGTACACACAGACACGGGCGAAAACCTGTAAAACAGTGGTCATTTACATTGTAATACGCAACAATCGTGTTTGTAAATAATTTATTCTTGTTTTTTTGTATTTTTTATAACCTTTTGTAATGTTGCATATTTGCGACGCCCGGTCTACAGCAAAGACCATAGTGAAAATTATCATAGTTTTATTGAAATAGACCAAACGTCGCATATATGCAACAGTTAATTTTTTTGTGTTTTAAGGTGAAAGTAAATAGAAAAAAAACAGATTATTCAAGAACACTTTATAACTGAACGAATATAAAGGCTACATAGGATAATGCAGCATACATACTGCATACATACTGCATACATACATACAGTGATGCAGAAAAGTAAAGACCAGTTTTTCCAACTATCATATGACGTCACCAATCATCATATCCACAGACCAAGCGACACAGTTGTGCGTCAGACATCTCTGTAGACCACTGCAGGGAATTCAGTGCCTTCAAAAAGACTGTTACAAAGATATAAGCATTTTAATAACGTTAGAACCCCGACGCAAATATGCAACGGAAGTCTATGGGTGGAAACCGGGCGTCGCTGGTCCATGTGAATGAAAAATTTCGTACTATTGCAGTAGCGAACGTGTTAAAAGATTAAGCTGCTTTATCAACCCACTAGCTGGCCCGACAGACGTCGTCCTGTCCTAATGTGGTTTTATGTCAAATGCTCGATCATTTTCAAGATGAGCTCGTTCGCATGGCTCAATCACGTCATGGTTGAAGTTCGTTCGCTACGCTCACTCACCTTTAGGTTGGAGCTCGTTCGCTGCGCTCACTTGCCTTCTGGTTAGCTCGTTCGCTACCCTAACTCTCCTCCAGGTTGAAGTTCGTTCGCTACGCTCACTCACCTTTTCGTTGCAAGTTAACTGTTGTCATAAATAAGAAAAAAATAATAGTGCTGCACCCTGTTGGTCATACCGATGATGACGGAGGGTGAGGACAATTGGACCTGTGTGTCACATTACATCCAGGGTATTCTCCGCACCAAGAAGCTCGACCTTGACCGGGATGCGGTGTAGGTCATGAAGTATCCAAATGCCATAAACGGTGAGAGCCCTGAGGGCTTAGGTAACATGTTGGCCTGACTTGAAGTAATGTGACAAACAATTCCAGGTCTGTGTCCAACAGAGTAGAGGGGGTTTTTTAGTGAGTAGTCTGCGATAGATTCAGGAGTCTCACACTACAGGCTGGCTACCCGTGTGCGTAAAAGCATTTTCCCTCCTCTCCCTTGAAAAAAAAAAAAAAACCCTGTTGGTAAACCTATTAATTTTTTATTTAATGCTATTGAACATCACAGAATCAAATTGTTTTGTTGAACCAGCTGTTAAGATTCTTTAATTCCATTTAAATATGAATACTCATAAGGTTAACATGAAAAACTCCAGAGCCACTGGGGCGGAGCCCTTTTGACGGATCTGCACCAAACTTTACACAAACCGTCCTTGAATAATGCTTAATAATGCCTGAAAGTTTCATTACAATCTGTCGAGCGGTTTCCATAAAGGACAAACAAACAAACAAACAAACATTTTCACAATACTTACATTGGAGTTTATATATATAGATTAAACTTGAGTTTGTCAAAAGTTTTAAAACCCAAATATGACAATCAGAATTATTGATTATTTATGTTTGTTATAATAACACACAAAAAATGGTGGAAGGCAATTTGCATATGTTACATGTCAGCTTCATTACCATAAATTATGTCATAGTTAGCCAATATAAAATATTATGTCTCGATTGTGTTAATTTACATCCAAACTAATTAAAACATACTAGTATTCATTAGCAGGAAGCCAACCTAATTCATTTGAATTCAGTTTTGTAAATATAGAAGAAGTTATCTTACTAATATTATAAATGTGAATGTTTGTGTGTTTGTTTGTTAGTTTGAAGTTCAATCACACATTAACTACTCGACGTATTGGGCTGAAATTTGGCATGATGATAGCTCACATTCCCGATTAACATATAGGCACATTCTTATCTCAAAAATCCTTTCGGGCTCCGCCCCAGTGGATCTATAGTTCCCTATGTTAACCTTATGAGAATTCATATTTTAAGGGAATTAAAGAATTTAGTTAGTGGCTGTTTCAACTAATACAAAAGTTGATTCTATGATCTGCAAAAGCATTTTAAGTTAAAAGATTTACCAACAGGGTGCAGCACTATATATATTTTTTATTTATTTATGAAAACAGTTAATTTGAACTAAGTAGCAACAAAAACTTTGATACTCAATGAGAAGTAGGATTGTTTACAGTTATGTTTATGTTTTTAATTTAATGAATACTTTGTGATATTGATAATATTTGAATATTTGATTTATTTATTTCTATGATTTAGGTACAGTGATAGAACATTATTGCTATGGTAGATGTGTTATACGATAGCTTACGGTAAATTTAAAGAAACAAATTTAATTTTACCAAATTGTGTCCTTACCCATTACAAAAGCAAAGCTTGAGTAAAACTGCAATAAGCACTTTATACTTATTTGCCAACCCCGTACGAAGGACGGGTACTCTTCTAGTTAATAATATAAAATCTCTCAAAAGTTAAAATCTGCTGGATAGGATGGGAATGTATTCCTATCGATCTGATGAAAATTGTCTCTAATTTCATAGCTGAACCTTTATCTATAATTATAAATCAATGTTTTCAAACAAACACTTTTCCGAATCATTTAAAATATGCTGAGCTCAAACATCTCTTCAAGAAGGGCGAGAGACAAAATCTGGACAATTATCGACCAGTTTCCCTTCTACGTGGGTTGTTATCCAGAAAGTAAAGAATGTTTCGTTATGACGCCTCTAGGCGCGTGCCGATCTCGTACATTTTGGTGCATGCGCACTCGGCAACTCAGTCGGCGTCCAGCCGTGACAACGGGAGCATTCTCGCGCTGCCCGTTTTTTCACAATTTCAACTTAAGATGAGCGCTGCGATTAAAAATACCGCCAGTTAAGAGGTGCGGTCAGTGATACGGTTTGTGGTGGCATTAAACTTAAAATCGATAGACATTTATCGCCAAGGGTATGAAGTTTAAGGAAAAAAACGTAATGATTGAAAGTTCTGAGAAAATGGTGCATTCAGATTAAAAATGGCCGATCTGACGCTCATGAGTCATGACGAAGCGAAGGGCGGACGCCCGAGCATTGTGACCGATGGAACCGGTCGCTAAAGTTGATGAAAAGGTTCCCTAAAACCGCCGATTCCCGATAACGGGTCTTTCGCTTTGTTGCGTGACAATTTCAAACCACAAAGTCTGTATTCCAACAAAAATTAAGTGTATTCCAACAAAAACCGTATCACTGACCGCACCCCTTAACTGGCGGGATTTTTTATTGCAGCGCTCATCTTAAGTTGAAATTGTGAAAAAACGGGCAGCGTGAGAAAGCTCCCGTTGTCACGGCTGGACGCCGACTGAGTTGCCGAGTGCGCACGCACCAAAATGTATGAGATCGGCGCGCGCCTAGCGGCGTCATAATGAAACGTTCTTTACTTTCTGGATCACCTGTGTACCATCATTTTAAAAAGTAATTGAAAAACTAGCATACAAACAAATCTCAAGTTTTCTAGAAAATAATAATATTTTGGCTAGTGAACAATTTGGTTTTAGAAAGGGTTTAAGCACATTGAAAGCTTTACAGATTTTATTAGTGAGGTTTCATGGGCTTTGGATGGGTCACAGAGCACAATGGGAGTGTTTTGTGACCTATCCAAGGCATTTGACTGTGTCAACCATGATATCCTTTTGAAAAAGCTAAATATTTATAACTTTTCAAAAAAATCTGTCTTTTGGTTGACTTGCTACTTAACAAACCATTTTCAAAGAACAATAATTTTTTAAATAATAAAAAATCAATATCAGAATGGGAAAAGATTACAGTTGGTGTTCCTCAAGGATCGATTCTTGGACCAGATTAAATACTATGGAAGAATTTGAAATATATAAAGAAATAAAAACCAAGGACAGCACACAAATTTAGAATGAAAAACTCAACTATGAATCTCATTCGATTTTCAATACTCTCCTCCGTCACTACAATAGACCAGTATCAGATGTTGATAACGCAGATGACAACCCAGAGTCAAGTCACATGACAACATAGCATTCAGTCTGCTTTCTGCCATGTCCACGGCAGTGTGTGTAGTTGATAGGCCTATCACTATAGTTTTTTATGTTTTGTGTAAAATGTGTGTTTTATTTATTCTGACGACACATCAAGTGGATCCTTTTGTTTGCCTGACGATGGCGGAAATGCTTAAATAGCCTCCGAAACATATGTAGCAATTTCAAACTAAATGCTAAGGATTTTCTGACGAGGTATGTTTAACCATTATTTGTCATATTAATGCAATCCTGGGGGCCATGAAAAAATGTTTTTATTTTTATTTTACAACTACAACTTTACATTTTTACAACTTAAATGTGTACTCAATTGTATTTGGCATGAAAAATCTGTAGCTACGATGAAACTAAAACAGATTGCTCAGGAAGGAACACAGGTAACTTTGACATTTATTTGTGAATTCTGGTGAACACAGAAGCCAAAACACGCTAAAAAGTATAAACACACCTGTATATAGTAGGAACTTAGCTGTTGATACACAAACTTTCACACATGGCACTAATTATTGGTCTAAGCTAAGATTTACTAACCATCAAAGTTGTCAAACGGCTGGTTAGTCATGAGCATGGCTTGTTCCTGCGGCACCAAACCCGCATGGTAGAGAAGAATGTTCATCCACTTCTCACAACACAACTCTTCCAAGTCCGCCTTCTCCCGGCTATGACACATTCATTGCTTATTAATGTACAAGAACTCCAAAAATAATTGATTCTGGAAACCATCTCTTTCCAAGAGTTAATTAACTGTAATAATGACCATTAAAATGCTTTAACTATTTAACTATCTTTGCTACTAAGATCAGTTTTTTTTTTCAGAATTTATAAGCCAGCACTTTTTTTTATCAAAAACATAATAATAATAGGTAGGGTTGCCATGTGGTAATTTGTAAATACACCCACCGCAGCAAACCTGCAGACTAAGCAAATTTCCATTTGCCTGATTGGATTTACACAAAAAAATGTCTCCTTAAAAATAACACATTTATTCCCTATTTAAATAGAATCAGTTTAACACATACTTAGGTTTGCTGCAACAGGGAGGGTAAAAGTGTTTTTTTATGTAAAATGTTAATAGTTAGTCTATATAAATAATACCCCCGCCGCAGCAAACTTGCCAACTATGCGAATTTTCATTTGCCTGAACTGATTTTCAATTGAATATATTTAATTAACATTAGGTTTTATGAGTACCTAGGCTTGGTGCTACAGGGAGGGTAAAAAAGTGTGTTTTTAGTAAAATATGAATAACTTTGTATAAAATAAATAAATTCACCAAGTTTGATCAAAATATTTCCATAAACAAGCAAACTACAACATTTTACAATATTCTCCATAAGAATAATATGGGAATTTTAAAATAACATTCTTTTGAATTTTCTCCGTAACCAATAATTGTACAAAAACACTTTGATATACATATTTAATAAACGGTATCAGCATTCTGACACATACTTTCTCCCATAAGTTTGTCAACAACATTTATCATATTGTGTAAGCGGTGAGAGTAAATATACGGAATTGGGATTAGTATAATCTTGTTAAGAATTTAAAGGACTACATACAAAATTTTTATCAAAATCGTTTTGGGCCAGTTTAGTGAAAATCCGATTTTTCCGTTATTTTATGGGTTTTTTTATGGGAAAATAACATAATTTACAATAACTTTTGAACCGTAATTTTTACAGAAATGGGATTTGTACCATTTTGTTTAGAATATAAAGGACTATAACATACCAAATTTTTATCAAAATCGTTCTTGCCGTTTTTGGGAAAATCGTATTTTTCCGTTATTTTATGGGGTTTTATGTGAAAATTCCCATAAAAAATTATTTTTTTTTAAATGAAAAAAACTATCAAAACTTTAAGGACCATAACATACTATGTTAAATTAAAACTGGAATTTTATTCTAAAATCCTATTTTTCGTTATTTTACGGGGTTTTTATGGGAAAATAACATAATTTACCATAACTTTTGAACCGTAATTTTTAGAGAAATGAAATTTGTACCATTTTGTTCAGAATTTAAAGGGCTACAACATACTAAATCTTTATCAAAATCGTTCGGGCCATTTTTGAGAAAATTCGATTTTTCCGGTTTTTTATGGGTTTTTATGGGAAAATCCCCATTAAAAATCAAAATTTCAAAAAAATGAAAAAAACGCCTGGAGATACCATGGATTAGAACCTACATACCAAATTTCATCGAAATCGGACCACAGGTGTAGTCCCTAGCTCTGTACACATCCAGACACACAGACACACACACACAGACACACACACACACACACACACACACACACACACAGACATCACTTCGAAAACCACTTTTTTGGGTCCAGGGGGACCCAAAACGAATATATCCACTCAAAACTCAAACTCGAAAATTTTGACGAAAACAATACTTTCTCCATATACTATGGTATAGGGGGAGAAAGTAAAATTTTAACGAATGGTGTTTTTGGCCTCTGGGGACATCAAAATGAAAAAGTAAATCGGTCCCGGGCCTAGGTCTTACCATGCCACCTACGGTAATAGCTACATTTTCCCATGTATTACCGCCTAAACTTGCAATTTTGCAATCAACTTGACAAGGCATCTCCCGAGGCGTCATTATCGTCTTCCATGATCGCGACAAAATCGTAAATACTTCCTGTAGTCATAAGTCATGGAAGAAACATTATCATAGTTTACCATGATTGCAAATGTAACCAAACCTATGACATCATTAGATGTCATCATCGTCTCCCGCATTCACGGCCCAATCTATTATCACGGCCTAATATCTCCCCGCGACCCGTCGGTGGTGATGGGTAAATCATTTTTCCGTAATCGCTGCTAAATCCTAGATATATCTCTCGCTAAAAAAGAAACGTCATTATCGTCTTCCGCAATAGCGACAAAATATTGAACATCTGCGGCCGCGGAGACATCGTCATCGTCAGCCGCGGGGAAATGTTCTCGTCGATATCCGCGATCGCGGCAAAAGCGTATAGGCCTAATCTTTCAATTTCGTGAGAGTGATCCTCACGGATATAAAAGCTTTTAATTTTAATTGTGCATTATTGTATTGAATACTGAGACAATCGGCTCGAGCTTGATTTTCTGACTTTGTGCTTGATCTCTCAAGCTTGTAGTCCAGGCTCTGCTCAGCTCGAAAATCGACATTATAGGCCTATTATAAAAATCAACCGTTTCCAAAGCAACCCGATTTTGAACCGATCTGATTTGGCCTTAGGCCCTTAGGTAAGTAACATTTTTTACCTGACTCGATGTTGTAAACACATCTAAAGTGCGAAGTAAACAAATCTAAAGGGCAGCCTCCTAATAGTAAGACATGAAATTAAATGAAAAACCTTCTTTAGCATCAATGAAAGAATGGAATTATTTATTAGCTAGTGCCCTAGAGACCTAGGTTAATTTGCCGATTTGATCGTAACAAAATTATCAAGTTTATTTAGTCGAATCAGCATAGAGGATCCTCTATGGTGTCACCCGCTGGGGACTAGGAGGATTAACATTAATGATTTATCTTCCTAGGTTGGTAGATAATTTATATCGATCGGTTAAGTAATAGTGTTAGTTTAGCTGTTGTAAACTACTTAAACTATAGGTTTGAACAAATTTTCATCATAAAAAATGTAGGTATTTTTATTCTCATAAAAATATTGTTATGGTAGGGGACCCGAGTGGCTGAGCCTGTCACACTATCGCAGGCCCGTGTGCCGATAAAATTTACCAAAAATCCCGGTCAAGGCTCACGGGCCCCCTAGCTAGCGGGCCCCCCCGCACCGCGGGCCCATGGGCCCGCTATCACCGCCACTGATAGCTACTTCCCTATAGGGAAATTCGCTAAAATTGGAGTTTTGTCTGCTCAGTCATTAGAGTCATTGCTCAGAATCATAAACTTTTAGGTTATTTTTACATTTTATACATTAAAGAAACCAAAACAAGTCTCATCTAAATTTCTGTCTGTTTGCCTGTCTTCCTGTCTGTCACGGCCCAAGAGCTGTTTTACGCGGTCTTCTCCTGAAAAACGAGAGTACCTATCAAGTTCCAAATCATTTTAATGTATTCACTGGATTGGCGAGATTGTCTTTAGCCATTAAAATATGGCGTCACTACTTTGTAAATAAAATGACGAGCGTTTAAAAACCCAAATTTGACTGTGAATTCAAACAATCCACGCGGACATTTAATGCAACCCGCATGACTGATGACAATTCTTTTACTTAGGTTGGTAGATAATTTATATCGATCGGTTAAGTAATAGTGTTAGTTTAGCTGTTGTAAACTACTTAAACTATAGGTTTGAACAAATTTTCATCATAAAAAATGTATTTTTATTCTCATATAAATATTGTTATGATAGGGGACCCGAGTGGCTGAGCCTGTCACACTATCGCGGGCCCGTGTGCCGATAAAATTTACCAAAAATCCCGGTCAAGGCTCACGGGCCCCCTAGCTAGCAGGCCCCCCCGCACCGCGGGCCCGTTATCACCGCCACTGATAGCTACTTCCCTATAGGGAAATTCGCTAAAATTAGAGTTTTGTCTGCTCAGTCATTAGAGTCATTGCTCAGAATCATAAACTTTTAGGTTATTTTTACGTTTTATACAAAACAAAATATTATACAAAACAAGTCTCATCTAAATTTCTGTCTGTCTGCCTGACTTCCTGTCTGTCACGGCCCAAGAGCCGTTTTACGCGGTCTTCTCCTGGAAAACGAGAGTACCTATCAAGTTCCAAATCATTTTAATGTATTCACTGGATTGGCGAGATTGTCTTTAGCTATTAAAATATGGCGTAACTACTTTGTAAATAAAATGACGAGCGTTTAAAAACCCAAATTTGTGCGATTTTTTGTAAAGTTTTCTCCCAATGTTCATCACATATTAATTCATCTATGAAATAAAGAACAGCTGTTCGAATCAAGATTATTTCTTCTAGCTGTCACTGATATGTTTACATTCAATGTTGTTTACAAATACCGCAACCATTTTCGATCACGTTTTGAAAGCATATCCAAACCAAGTAAAATTTAAAACGTTTTTCCTTACATAACGGATTTAATTAATCGCAAGAGCAATGTGTACTGTAACCGTAAATGAAAATAGAGTTTCATTGTGTATAAAATTGTTTTTGATTTTTGATAACCAGGAAAAAGACCTTGAATCAGTATTGTATATGGCTGGGAAACTTACTTTTTTAAATGAGCGTTTTCAGTCGCTACTCGGCACACGACCGACGGGCGTCTACATGTCCATAGTAAAAATAAAAGTAGGCCTACCGTGTATTTATGTTTTATTCGTCATGTGTAAGTGTACAGTTCGTGTATGTGTTTCAAAAACTCCAAGACGCACCTAATGGGGAAACTCAAGACCTTATATTAGGACTGATGATGGCGATTTAATTTCAAAACAATAGTCAACTCGTGATAAGGAAGGAGGAGGGGGAGGAAATACACTTAACGCATCAGTCTAGACCTGCCCTCTGTGGGTATAGTGTTTCCCGGTACCGGCGTGTTTGTTATGTTTATTTATTGTTCGTGTTTTGGTTTGAGTGCTAAATGTATGACATCGATGGATTTTCATTTTAACCTTAACGACTTCCTCTGGAACGAAATTTGATGTCTTTGACAGCCTGATGAAGTTCCCATCATCGGGAACGAAACTGCAGTAGCCTATATTTGGACTACAAAGGATCACTTTGACAGTATAAGGTATTTAAACCATTATTTATTACTATACCAGTGATCCGGAGGCTAACAACATGAAGATTTAATTTCGCCGAAATGCATCTCCTGTAATAGGATACATTAGGATCGACCGGCGGACGCAGGTAATTAAACATTTTATTGATTGTCATGCCGATCCGGAACGAACAACATGAAATGAAGTTATGTATAATAGTTGGCCAGCATATCTGAAAGTATGCAAACCAACTGCTGTTCTTTATATAAGAAGGTTTCAACTGAATACTATAAGATCCCCGTTCGTAGAACGGGTACACAGCTAGTAAGAAATAAAAACATTTTCCAAATTTGGGCAACATAATTATGTTAATAAACAAGCAAACTACAACAATTTACTTATCCTCCATAGGCCAGGGCCACACTCATCTTATCTCGCTGAATTTTTTCCACAGGCGTTACCCGTGGGTTTGAGAGATACATTACGGTATATGGGGCAGACCACACTAGAGTAAAAACGTCCGTGAACGCGTTTACCAGCGAGACTGACAAACGGAATTGCACGTGTATTCTCTACTAACATTCCACGGGCGTTGCACGTAAAACTAGTCGCGGGGCATTGCGGCTTATGGGAGTGAACACACTCATCCTATCTTGCTGAATTTTTTCCATGGACGTTTCTAGTTTTATCCTGACTGATTTACTGTAAAGTGAGCGTTGAGGGGGGGGAGGCGGAACACGGACACGGACGATTTTTATTGCCAGTGTGGCATGCTCTATCAGTCTCACTGGTTTGCCCAAAAAACCTATCTCGTAAGACGAGTGTGGCCACGGTCAAACTGTTTCACGTGCGTCGCACATGAAAACAGGAAAAACAGTCTCGCTGGTTAAAAATTACAAGTGTGGCCCCAGCCATAAGAATAACATGGGAATTTTAAATTTACAATTTTTTTGGAATTTTCACCGTAATCATTAGGCGCATTATTTCGCTTCAATATACTAAATTATTTGTTTTTTTAAGCTCTACAAAATAGTTTGGAAAACCCCCAATAATAGGTTGGAATGGGAAAAACCCATTTTTACCCCATAAAACCCACCATAAACCCCCATTCCCAAGGTACGATCATGCTGGTTCGCGAACTCGTTCAAATAAACGTAGGTTTACACGTTTGTACCAAATTTTATCAAAATCGGATCATTTTTGCTCGAGTTATCGCGCTAACGGACACACACACATATATATATGAATCTGAACGGATGGTGTTTTTGGCCTCTAGGGACCTCAAAACGGAAAAAAAAATCAGTCCCGGGTCCTGGTCTTCCCATGAGTACTACGGTAATAGCTTATTCCCTATTTGGGAAAGAGGAGATTTCACATCACCGCACATTGGCGGCCCACTACAGTAAAAAAAATTTACGGGCTAGCAAAATTGTACAAGTTACCTACATAGCACAAATATTAAAACTGAAACGGTATAGGTCATACACATAAAAAAAATATGCCACTGCCCGAAAGTAAACACGTTTTGATTTATATTTAAATGGAACTGTCAAAAACCGTCCAAACCAGTTGTTATGGATAGGCCTATTGACATTCGGGTCAGCGACGTAATTTGTTTATGTTTATTAATCCATACCGTGTCTGTTCAATATTCTTGCTACAATGTCAATATTCAAATATGGTACGCGAAAGCATAACATTTGCATCTCGCTTGTCACATCTCACTTAAAATATCGAATAGCGTAAAAAAAACGCTCTCTGTCTGCTAGACTCGGTTCGGCTTTAGTAGTGAACACGGATAACTTAGAAATGGCCGGCAGGGCGGCAGACGCGAATAGAAGGACTGGGTCCAATGAAACAGACGATAAACTAAGGATGTTGCTGGCCAAACCAAAGTAAAACTAAGACTAAGGAAAAAAAACGTTAGTAGAGAGTACAAGAGTTGCATTTTTCAGTCATTACATAACAATTATTTGCGAATACAAACATTTATTTTATTCCAAAAGTGCTGAATACAATGTTTTTTAATAGAGAGTAAAAAAAAGGAGATTTCTCACTTTTTGCAGGAATCCCCTGGAGCTGAATTTTGAACGTCAAAATCCAGTAATCTCCGGGGATATGGCAACCCTAATAATAGGCTTCAAGGCTGGGCTAGCCTCAGATACCCAGCAATATTGATTTGCATGTAGATCTAAAATAAATAAATTTTATAAGTTTACCTCAAGATGCGAACACATGCCAGACATTCTTTGTGGCAACTGGCTGAGGATGGTTTGTCCAGATGTGAGAAGAGAAGAGTCCAAAGCTTCTTGCGACGATCATCAATGTTCAGCTCAGCAAATGTAAAAGATTGTTTATGCTATAAAAAAAAAAACAGACCCTAAACTATAGAAAGCTCTTAAGTACCACAGTTTTCTCTTTTAAGTAGTTTTAACCATATTGCTTAATTCTACCTATTTTATATAAAACTAGCAGTTACCCAGCGCGCGTTGCTGCTCTAACAACTATTATTTTAAATTGTAATTTGTTCTTTACGATAAATAGTTCCTTCTTTTAATGACAGTAATGTGGTGGGTTAATGACCAATTGGGAGGCATTTGAATACCTGAGATAGCACGCACGATTATTATTCACTTAATAGGCTTTTTTTTAGAATATAGAAAAGATTTTAATTTTAAAATACTAGCTACTTGGGATGTATAAAAAATAAAATGAAAGCTCAATAGAGCAATGGGGGAATCGCGGCACCATCTTCAAATTGAATGCTTCGAACTTTACGTCAGTTCCCCGTAGCCTAAGCGAAACTGCTCGAATTATGGAAAGCTGGCTTTGGATCCTCAAACCATCCGATAATTTGGGAGTATGGTTTTCTCCATTTTACAGCCAGGGCTTCGCTTGTTCTCCTCTGAAACGCATATTCTTTGTGGGGGACTCCTTCCGTGGAACATATTAATGGTGTGAAACTTCACTTAATAGGCTAATTTATTTTAGATTGTTAGGGTATAGAACAAAAGATAAAAATATTAAGGCATTGCCATGGCCCTTTTATTGATTACTAGCAGAGTACCCGTCCTTCGTACGGGATTGGCATCTAAGTATAAAATGCTTATTGCAGTTTATACTCAAGCTTTATGTTTGCAATGGGGGAGGACACAATTTGATAAAATTTTCTTCTTTAAATTTATGGTATACTATAGTATTACACATCTACTATAGCCATAATATTCTACCACTTCACCTAAACAATAGAGAGAAATAAATTGTTAAAGATTCGCAAAATATCACAAATGATTCATGAAATTAAAAACATAAAAGTAACTGTAAACAATCCTACTTTGACAGTTCTCATTGCATATCATAGGTTTTTGTTGTTGCTTAGATCAAATTATCTGTTTCCATAAATGCAAAAAAGTAATAGTGCCGCACCCTGTTGGTAAATCTTATAACTTTTGCTTTTGCATACCATAGAACGATAGAACCAACTTTTTAAGTTGAAACAGCTGAATAAATATTTTTATTCCCTTTAAATATGAATACCCATAAGGTTAACATGTGGAACCACAGAGCCACTGGGGCGGAGCCCGAAAGGATTTTTGAGATAAGAATATGCCTATATATGTTAATTGGGAATGTAAGCTATAATCATGCCAAATTTCAGCCCAATCAGTCCAGTAGTTAATGCGTGATTGAACTTCAAACAAACAAACAAATACACAAACTTTCACATTTATAATATTAGTATGCACAGGTGTGCTGCGATTGGGGTTAAATATATATGGACCTATCCAAAAGTAAAATAGTTTTCTGTTCTGCATTCTGTGGAAACATTGTAGCACTATTTCAAATCATGATTAATACAGAATGTTGTGATTCAAACCTATTCAAACCATAGACAAATAGAATAAATGTAGACTGTCAAAGGAAGGTTCCGACGCCCACCGCTAGGATGGCCGTGTAGTTACTGCTCACGCCGCTGCAGGCGAGGAGAGCAGGAGCCGTATGCAACCAGCAGACGCTGCAGGGGTTTGCGCCGTAACTACACGGCAAAATATAGTACAGTATATTTACTACACCTAGTGGTGGACGCCAGAACTTGTGCTAACCGCAGCACAGCTGACGGTCTATATTTATTCTATTTGTCTATGATTCAAACCTACAAAACAGTTAGTGAAAGTAAACATCTGCTTTTAAATTAGGCCTATATTTATTTGTAAACATTGTAGTTCCAATAGTCTAACATTGGACCCCTAAAAACCCTCTGGAGCGGAGCCCTTTTGACGGATCTGCACCAAACCATCCTTGAATAATGCTTAATAATTCCTGAAAGTTTCATTACAATCTGTTGAGTGGTTTTGGAGTCCATAAGTTACAAACCGCTCAACAGATTGTAATGAAACTTTCAGGAATACATACGTACATATTTCCTCTTTTATAGACATAGTTATTCAGAACAAAGCATTAATGATAAGCAATTTATGCCAAAATGATGAGTTCATAATATCAAGGAAAAAAGAAGACCAAGTTTTGTAATATAAATCAATTAGGTGCGGCCACCATCATATTATTTTGTCTTTGCTGTATTCTGCTTCTCCAGTGCAGCAGCCTTAACACCTTCATGGCTGTAATGACTGATACATGGATGTGTTATGTGCTGTAACATGTATTGTAGCTCTTTTTCCCAATACCCTCTTGTGTGTATTTCCATGCAACAAGAAGTTCTCTGATTAGTTAACTTACCTTAAGAAACCTACAACTTAACTTATCTCTTGGGTAAGAAACAAACTTGATCCTCATAAGTCGTAATTAGGCCTACCCTACACACTATGAACTATTTTGCTTGGGTTGTGAACCCATATAATACCGGTATCTTAATATTTTAATATTTAACTAGCCTAAATGCCCAAAATTCAAATTCAAATTGTTTATTTGGCCATTAAACATTACATAATAGGCTATGTCAATACATAAATCAGTAAATAAAAATAAACCATCATCAGAGATTGGTTAACAATCAAATCAAACCATGCTTAGTTTTAGCCGTTAAATAGTTGTCCTGCCCAGTGAAATAGTTGAATCTAGGCCAACAACCTAGGCCTATGTAACAACAGTCTTCGGTTCTAAACAATTTACAAAAATTATCATAAACCCTTTCTCCTTTTTGTAGGTCCACCTTAGTTTTAAACTGATTAAATTCAATAAATATTTTTGAAGTTGGGGAGGCATGGTGAATACACAATAGTCAGGTACTACCTTCAAACCTACCTTCTCAATGAAATTCTTTAATATATTCTTTACATCATCCAGACCACCGTTCTCTAGGCGCAAGAGGGTGATATTATCCATTACAACCATTATGAAATGTTTGGTATAATAGCCAACCAAAATTATTAACTTCACAAATCTCTGATCCTGATCACTTTAATTAAATATCGGTTTGCACACAGTACTGTCACTCGCTGCAGACGACGGTACCCAAAATCCAATAACAAAACATACAGACGTAATAAATAGACAAGATACTGGTGGCATAGAGTAACGATTAAGAATTATAAAATATGGTTTATATTATAAATGCAGAAAGCTAACAAGGCTGTGGCATAGATTAAACATGATTAATTAATTTATTTATTTATTGCTTTTGAAAATGTTTACACCGTGTAGCATATAATACTTATTCTTCTAATATTTATAGTTACATAGAGGTTATTTTATAAAATTACACTTTAAATTAAATTTAACTTTAAACAAATAAATCAATACATTAAAGAAATGGAGGAAAACTAAAAAAAACATTTTACATTTATTAAGAAAGCCTTAAAATATTTAACTCATAACCCCTGGGGAATATAATACTGTGGCCCTTAACTCCAACGGTGTGCAGTGAACTCATCAACCGAATAGAACGCCTGATTTTTCAAGTCACGCTTCAGTTTCGTTTTGAATAGAAGGGAACTTTCCAGACTTTTAAGCCTTTCAGGAAGACAGTAAAGGAGCCTGGCACCTAATTGAGAAGGAAGTTTCTCAAATGCAGCTGTTCGGTGTTGGACAGTGCGAAAACTATCCCTTGCTCTAGTCCCGTGGCCGTGCACAGCAGTGCCTTGGATAGGCACATGTTGAAACCGGCAGTATACAGCCGTTTCCAATATATACAGCGAAGGAAGGGTCAAAATTCCAAGCTCCCTGAAAGCTTGTCTACACGACTCTCTCCACCTCAGATTTGCAATTAATCTGATGGCTCTTTTTTAAAGCCTAAAAATGCCCTGTTAAAATTTCGTCTGGCACAACCCCCCCACAATCTTAATCCGTAGGAAAGATGGGAATGAATGAGGCCATAATAGGCCATGACCATAACTTGTGTTGAACATAAAGGCTTGAGATTACGCAAGGCAAAAACCCCTTTTCCAATTTTTGGACAGATGCTATCTACATGATCTTGCCAGCTCAGCACTCTATCCAAGTGCATCCCTAAGAACTTTGTGGAATCAACCTCTTTCAGGCAGGTTTCATCCATCATTACATCAGTTGGCGTTGTCTCGTCGTCACGGTGACGAAGGAAAAAAATTATGTACGTCGTACATCGTTTTTGACTGATTCGTGTTTAAATTTTCGGACTGAAACATTTTGGATGCATGCGTTCAAATTGATAAAACTTTCAATTTCAAGAGTTTCTTGGGATTCTGATTGAAAATAGAGAGTCGTGTCATCTGCATATTGTATGACTTTTCCGCCGACTATAGAGGAGCGGAGGTAATTAACATAAATAAGAACAAAACTGGACCAAGGATGGAACCCTGTGGGACCCCTTGACAGTGTTGGGTAAACTACTTTTTAAATGTAGCTTGCTACTGCTACAACTACAATTCTCTAAATGTAGCTTGCTTTTGCTACATCTACATTTTTACAAAATGTAGCTTGCTACAGCTACAACTACAATCAAATTGTAGCAAACTACGTTTTTGCTACATTTCATTTTTACTAGTTTTCAGAATGTGAGTGTAATGAATCATTAAAATAAACGGTATCAGCAAACTGACACATACTTTCTCCCATAAGCTTGTAGGCTTGTAGTTATAAACAACCTTTATCACAGGTAAGCCAGTGGGACTAACTATGATATTATTCTATGGGGATCAATCACAAAAGTTGCAATAACTTTTGACCGTAGTTCTTACAGCAATGGGGGGGTTGAACTATATTTTTGTTTAGAATTATAAGGACCATAAAACATTAATTTCAATCAAACCCGGCTTTTTCCTAAAATAAAACTTTTGATCCGTACTTTTTACGGTAATGAGATCTGTACCATTTGGTTCAAAATGTTAAGGATCATAATATAGGTACTAATTTTGATCAAACCGGCCTTTATTATAAAATCCATTTTTTTGTTTTATGGGGTTTTTATGGAAAAATAACATAATTTACAATAACTTTGGAACCGTAATTTTTACAGAAATGGTATTTGTGCCATTTTGTTTAGAATTTAAAAGACTATAACATACTACATTTTTATCAAAATCGTTCTGGCTATTTTTGAGAAAATCTAATTTTTCCGTTATTTTATGGGAAAATACCATTAACAATAAGTTTAAAAAAATATTAAAAAAAAACACGCCTGGAGATTTAATGGATTAGTACCAAATTTCACAAAAATTCATCTGTTTAGATATTGTGTTCATATAAACTGTTAAGTTTGTTATAATTTTTTTTTATTGTTAACATTAAAACCAGTTAATAAAATGTTTACTACTGTATAAGAGAAAATTTCATAGATTTTAGATTTCATACCCCATAACCTGGTTTAAGAAAATTTCTTACAGAGGTGGGAGGAGGGATTTAGGCTTGCATTGTGCAGCCTCAGGGAGGGAGGGAGGGGTTTAAAAATGGTGAAAACGTGTTACATAATATGTGGACGACCCCTTAGCTGTGATCCTTAACCTCCTATAAAAAAACAACTCCTCTACCGTACTGGTAACTTAATATTATTACCGTAAATAAATTGGCAAATGTCTCACTTAAATTATGCATAGTTTAAAAATAAAATATAAAATATATTAAACCAAACTTTACAGACAAACATATTCAGTAGTCCACCAAGAGACATGAGCTGGTTGTTAAAAACACATGTTGAAAATATAACATTAAGAAAAACAGGTTACGGACTTGAAATCATGAATTAATAAAGCATACATTACTGTGATTTACTAAGTACTGATAAAGAAAAACATATCGTTGTTGTAAAAAGTAGCATAAAAAAGTAGTGAATGCTACATTTACTGCTACTACAAATATAGCATGCTACTGCCTTTGCTACAGATTTAAAAAAGTAGCAATGCTACATTTACTGCTATAAGAAATGTAGCAAACTACAGTAGCGTTGCTACTTGTAGTTTGCTACTACCCAACACTGCCCCTTGAGAGACCCTTAAGGTCTTTGATCTGCAAGTCGACACCTGTACGTACTGGGTCCTACCCTCAAGGTAAGATCTAATCCACAGAAGTGGGACTCCAACCACGGATGCCACAGAGCTCCAGATTCCTTAACAGTATGTCGTGATCGACGCAATCAAACGCCTTTGAAAGATCGATGAAGACACCAAGTATCTTTTTTCGATGAATAAAGAATGTTTTGACTTTGACTTTGATTCTCTAGTCGTTGAATGACATCTTCAATAAATTTATTTACAGCGTCTATCGTGGATTTTCCCTGTCTAAATCCATATTGATTTTCTGAGATAATATTATGTTTTACCAAAAAGTTTTGAAGCCTAGTGAGAAAGATCCTCTTAAATATTTTACTCATAACTAGTAAGGTTGAGATTGGGCGGTAATTATTTAAAATTTGTGGATCATCTTTTTTATATATTGGAATGCCTTTTGAAATTTTCAATGCAGATGGGAAAGTTCCTGACTGAAGTGACAGATTGATGAGTTTTGTCAATGGGATCAGTATTGGCAGATAAATTTGCTTAACTGTCCACATTGACATGCCATTAATATCGTCAGATTTTTTTATGGAAGATCATGAATAACACGTGCAACCTCAATCTCACTGGCAGGAGCTAAAATCATTGATGATACCGGAGTGAGCCAGTAATGACTGTTAAGAGGTGTTGGGCTTTGTTTTAAGTTACATTGCCAACTGACTGGGAAAAAATATTGAAAGCATTGGCAACATCCTCTGGGTTATTCGCAAGATTGGCGTTTAGCGCAATTGGATTGACTTTTTTTATCATTTTTTATATCGTTGATAATACTCCATATTGTTTTTGAGGCGTTCTCTGAATTCTTTATTTTCTTGTTGATAGCATAAGCCTTTGCAGCTTTAATAACCTTCCTATAAATTCGTTTGTATCTTTTAAAAAATATTTTGAATTGCTCATCGCTGGTTGTTTTATATATCAGAGAATAAGATTTTAACTTTTGTCGTGAAACCAGAATTCCTTGGGTGATCCAGGAATTCTTTGTACAGTATTCTTTCTTTTCTTTCTAATTTTTTTTTTTTAAATGGGCAGGCTACATCAAGGTTATAAATTAAGACTTTATTAAATGCATTAAAAGCTTCTTCTGTTGATAGAAAACTCTTTTGGGGACATGTCACGTTTCATACTAATAAAAGGGGGTCAAGTTCCGGTAAACATCCTCCGATAACCGTCTCCTGAGCAAAGTGGTCAGATATAGCAGTTTCAATTACAGTAACATGACTATTGGGCACGTCGGTGATTAAGTTATCAATGGCAGTTTTAGTGGTGGCAGTCACACGGGTAGGTGAGTCCACCGACCATTGGAGTGAATAGGTCATGAGTATGTCCTGAAACTGTTTAGTCACCTTGTCTGTGGTCACAGGGTCATTTTTGTTGAAGACGTCTATATTAAAGTCCCCTACAAGTACAAATAATTTCTGCTTATTCACTAACTTACATAATAGACTATCAAAGTGCTCAAAAAATATCTCTGCCTTACTACCAGGGAATCTATAAATACCTATAATATTGACATGTTGACATATTGACTGATGTTGGTTAGTCTATGGCTGTGGGGTCCTAGAGCTCCTATTCATTTAACTTAAAATCACATTTAGTTGCAACAATTTCAATTTTCTTTAGGCTTCGTCTGACAAGTCTTGGGTAAGCCTTCGAGTTCATTCCAACATATATTTGTTCTTCGGTCCTAGGACGCTAAGCACGAGCCCGGGATTGCTTTTCAAATTCCTTCAGGCTAGACCTAGGGTTGCGGCATTATCACTTATAGATCAAATCCTTTGGTGATTTGGCGGGATTTGAACCTAAGACATCAGGGATCAAAGACCCGCGCTCTAACCACTAGACCAGCTCGCTCACCCCACCGCCCGACATATTGGATAAGCCAAATTTAATAAAACTCTGATAACATTTTAATCGTGTTATCGCGTACACGGACTATACCGTTTTTAGCCTCTAGGG